AAAAGCAGTTGGATGTGGGCAAAACAGCTTTGTAGTTATGAAGATGTGAATTACGAAAGAAAACTGACGTGCGAGGGTTGTGGGGGAGTGAAACATGCAAATTTGATTTTATCAACGACGGTATTGGTGGAAACATGGTAACATTAAGGACATTCAGTTGAATGAAAATTGCTCATTGATTCTCTGGTCGGGAATGTTGAGTGCCGATTTGAAAGACACTGAAATTTTAATTCTAGAATTTTGTGACTTTTCATGTTGGCTTCATGCTATTTTAAGGCAGTATAAACAGGGTATCATATTTTCAAAGGGAGTCCAAAAGAGGTCTATTTCACAGTACCCTTGGATTCGTAGATCTAATTCAGTTTTTTAAGGCTATGGGGAACTAAAACTTATATAGCTGTTTACTTAGAAAGTTCTTTTGTCAGTTTTAAGTACGAGTTTGGAAAGGCTATAATCGGTTGAACAAACATGTATCTTTTTCTTTTTCACACTTGTCCCTTACAAACTTACTCACATTTTTAACCTCACTTCCTTTTTAGGAATCAAAGATGCCGAAGAAAAAAAGAAAGCGATGACGGAGATATTTGAAACATTGCCCACTCCAAATCGTCTTACCTGTGTTTATCTACTGGATCATCTAAGAAGGTCTGTATGTATATGCGTTAATACTGATAAATACTTATGTTAAGAATAATATATTTATTAATATAGTGGCTAAATGTCTTAGTGGCAAAAATTAATTCGCTTCTCCGGAAGATGAAATTAAACGCGAGGCAGTCCTAGCCAGCGGTTTCTGAAGTTGCGGCTCGGGTGTGCTGCGGGGCAAGACGCTGAGCTAGCAAGCCTTGAAGACCCATCAGGGCTCATGTGCTTGTAACCACGAGGCTCAGCCATACTTTAGGTACGTAATATCACTATAAAAAATATCCGACGGTCCTTGCAGAGGTAAGGAGAATGTTATGATCAAACGTGCTAAAAGAGGCGATTGGGTGTTTAGAATACAGTTAAATGTAATGCCCTTGCGGGGTTTATTCTAGAAATTGGCCAATGAGGGTCAAATGGGCCCCCTTCCTGTAATTTTAGGGGGCCCTTTTTCAAGAAAGGGGGTCCCCCAAAAGGTATTTGAACTTATTGGTACAGACTGTTCCATGAGAAAACGAACGTTTATTGACGCTTTGCCGCCATTTTGGAACATTTTGGGCAGGTGAAAAAACGTGGGCACGAATTACTGCAGAATCCCGGATGTTTGTCTGGTGAAAAAATAACTCAAACAAAGAAGAGAAAGGCAATTGAGACAGTAAGAGGCTATGAAGGTTCAAATTAAGTTTATAGAGCGGCCATCAAATCAGTGTTGTTGTCAGGGATGTTTTCGAAAACTTTATTTCAAAAAATAGTACTTATCCTTCAGTCTATTCTTTTGCGCCCCATTTGACGCGGCAACGTAAATTTCATTCGGCATTTTTTTTTCCAAATTGCGGAAATCCAGCAAGGCCGCGCTCTAGAATAAACCCTACCCTTGATGAAGAGCAGCTCGTTGATTAAACGGGCGAAGTTGCGTGTAAATTTCCTCAAGGCTTTGAAGAGATGATTGTTGGTTGACTCTGTGTTCAAAGCATGTTACATGACAGGATACTTTCCGATCGCAGAAGCGACGAATGATTGGCTGGCGTATTAAGTTTGCTTTTCTAACTTAAATTTGTAATAATTGTTTGATAGATTAAGTGTGCATCAAGATCAGAACAAGATGGGGCAAAATAACTTGGCAACTGTATTTGGTCCCAACGTTCTCCGTCCGTCTTCAAGTAGCGGGACTGACCCAACAGATCTCGCGCAAGGTACACTGGATGTTATGAGCCAAGTAGGAATATTCTTGTGGTTCCTGAAATGTAGCTCTCTCCAGCTCCCCACAGATCCAGAGCTCATGCGTAGACTTGATCCTGGAAGAATGCTTGAAGCTGCAACCTTGCCATCCGAGAGTCCAGGTAGACTGATATGATACCCTGAGATACTAGCAAATAATCAGGCTCAAATTAGTGATTCTCACGCAAGTGTGGATGCACGCTCGTTATAAAGCTCAACATAACCGGAAAGAGTGTGTTGGGCGCCAGTGTTACGTAAGCATTTGGTCCTCGGTGCCTCGCTATCACGAAACTCATTCCCAGGACGTTCTTCGCGCTCGTATAACCTTGTCCAGGGCCTCTCCGCCATTTGGATTTCATAGAGATCCCTGGGGAGTTGGTGGAAGTCAGTGTCTTATACAGGCACGACTGTTACGTAACGAACTGATTATTTCGCTGACAGTAAGAAGAAGTGAGCCTCAAAAGAGCTCTAAGATCGCCAAGCTGAGAGATCTTCAAAGTAACTCATCCTCACGGGTTCCATGTTTTATGAGGCATTTTGAGAGTTCGTTAAAATAAGAGGACCTCGAGGCAGCAAATACGGCTTCGTGGATTTTACTATTCAGTCTCAATAAGGAAAATAGTTCAGTTAGATTTTCTCCAAGTCTCGGTGGACTTGTTTTATATCGTATTTTGGGAATCCTTCGAGTTCTTGGAAGTTTGTATTCTTTATCCCCCAAAGGATTGTTTTTTAGTTACGCAACGTTTTGTTGTCAAATTTTTGTTTTATCGTTTTACCATTATTTTAGTTTAGAACCATTTTATGTATTCCATTTAAAGCTGCGTAGGTAGTACATATAATTAGGGATTGTTTTTTGTTCCATAGTACGCGCACATTATATAATTATAAAATTCATACGTGGCTACGAGGCTAAAGTGCATAAAACAAAGGCAATTGCATTAACGTTCAAGGATTATATTTAAATTAATGTTTTTTTCATTCTTCTCAGCCTCGGAGAAGATAATTCGAACTGGCCTACAGAGCGTTTTCACTTCCGCGGCCAGCATCTTAGCAAATTTATTGGAGCAAAAGAAATTGTTTAAATAAGAAAAGAATTCAACTTCCACAGGATTGATCTGAACCCACAACATGGCCGCCCTTTCATTGTTTCGGAACACCAATATGGCCGCCGTGACGTCACGTGAACACGCTCTGTTGAGAAAGGCCTATGTTCATCCAGACTGCTTTGCGTTCTTCTTTGTTCACTGTGAGATGTTTCAGTTGTCAACTTTTTCAGTCCTAGACGGATTTATTGTGAAATGATTTGTCTTTTGCGTCTGGGGACGAAATCTCACGTTGTTGCCAATTAAATGAAATCCCTTTGGCAGAAGTTTTGCTGAGTACCATTTGGATCTTAGGATTTTACAAAAACAAATTTAAATTTCTTAAAGAATTTCCCTTTGGCCACTATCAGGCGTGAAACGATCAGTTTAGTCCTCAGGTTCAGGCAAGAAAAAATAGCGAAAATGGCTATAATTAATTTATTGAAAGTAGCGCGTTAAAATGGCATTTCGTTCACACATCTTCTGTGTAAAAATTAGCGCAGACATCAAAGCGCTGTGAGGAAAAATGGTTCTTACTATTCTTACAGTGAAATGTGCTTCACTTATGATGACACTTATTTTTTTCTGCCTCTTTGTGATCGCAGCAGTAAAAAGACTTTCTGTTTTAGATAATGGTTCGCGAAATCTGTTCAGTGATATAAGGGTCATTTTTCAAAACCCAGTCAATTTTTCAAGTCGGTTTCTATATGATTCGTACCAATCACATCCCCTTAGAGCAGTTCTAATACAGGCCGTTCCGTTCTTTTATGTTCATAGAACCTTTAAAAAGTATGAAATTTTAAAACAGTTGTTTGTTAGTCAATTTATAAGGCTGAATTTCAATGCTTAGGCCCGGTTCAAACGTCACAGATTTTCCTCATTAGCGTTAAATTCGGCACATATGACTGCGACTTTTGAACCGGACTTTACATTGGTTTTCGTTTTATGTTGTAACAGCGACTCAATTTTGCAATGTATTGTGTTTAAAGAAGAGTTTTCTTTACACCAGAGATGCAGAAATGTTTTGGATTTAGTAATTTACAACAAGAAAAATGAAGGAGGTTGAAGTCCCTTTGTTTTCTCCTGTTTATAGTTAGTAAATGTAAGCAGTCATGTAAAATTACTTTTAAGTAAGCTTGTGTACTTAAACTAAGTACACGTCTTGGATATCTTAATATAATTAAAATTATTTATATAAAACTATAGACGACCTAAGTTATATGAATTATAAAATTAGTTTTTTCAACGATAGTTGAAAAGTGATAAGATTTTGTGGTTATTTTTGTCAAAGCTAAGTAACTTAGTTCAACAGCTTAGCGTTCAAGCAAATCAACTTACAGTTACAGCCGTGGGTTGTCACGCAACACTTGATGGGACAGAGTGTTGCGTGACGATTTACACAGCCGCTTCAATAGGGTGGTCAGTCCTATCCTTAAGGAAGTTCTTAATGTATTTGTAAGCGAGTTTGTTGTTATGAGGAGATTATTTGTAATGTGAGATGCTTGACGTAATGCCTTTAAGACAACTTCGCTACAAAGGTTCTTGGGAATCTGCCCACCTACCCCTCCCCTAAGCCAACATTTTGCCCTAAGTGAGAAGTATGTGTTAATGTTAGCTTAGGGGAGGGGTAGGTGGGCAGTTTCCCAGAAACGTATAATGATCTTACAGGAAAGTGGCGCTCCATGCAAGGTAATCCAAGACAGTCTTGGAGCGTGCAATCCGGAATCCAGTATCTGGAATCCGGAGTCCCTAAGCTAAATTCCAGATACCAAAGCCCAGGATTCCGGATTCCACTAGCAAAGATTTCCCGGGTTTCTGAATCCCGAGTACCTTGCATGGGTGTAGAAGTGAACAGAGTGAACCTGGGAACGAAGTTATGTTAAAATCGTAAATAAGGTGGGTTCCAGATGCTCCACTGCGGTTAAACGTATGAGGCATTAAGCGGATAAACAGCCAAGGATGTTTAAACTAATAAGTTAACGAAACTCCCTTTCAATTTTCCTCAGAATATTCAGCTTCCTTTCGTTTAAAGGACTTCGCGCCGGTGTAAATTTCTGTTGAGAAATGGCTCTGGAAGTATCACCAGTTTAAGTTTTCAATCGCTTAGAACTCTTTTCCACTTATTTTAAAAAAGTTTTAGTAAATTACTACGTAACGTGTCGGTACGTAATATATTAAATTTTGAACAATGATAGTAATAACCTTAGTTTTGACGTACTTTGCTTAACTTTTCCAAAGATTTCTCTCGTTTGACCGTGGTGAAACCAAATGCATACTTGATAGCCCAAACAGTTCACCTTAACGTCATTGTGAGGCTGTGACGTTTATGATCGTATAATTGTTTCCTAAATGGAAAAGCTGTATATAATTTCTACCCAAAAAGTGAATAGTATTTATATGCTGATGAATATCCTATTAAAGATGAAGTTGTAAATTCAGATAAAAGGTTTGCTTTAAGAATTTGAATAAAATAATTTTTGTCTTTCGAGTAAGTGAAGATGATTAGTGTCCTGCAACTTCCAGTTATACGCTGCATTGTCATAAGCACTATCAAAACCAATTACCGGCCTTGTAAGTGACTTGGTTGGGAAAAGCAACTATTGTAACAGAGTAAAGCTTATCCAAAACGGTTGGTAAGCATAACTATACAGGTTTAGGTACATGGTGTACGAGTGAACAAAACTGACCTTCAAGGCAAACCTGGGCAAAAGATGGTGTGGTTTTTTCTCCACCCTGAGCCGGTATGCGCAAATGACGTCATCTGAATTCAAACTAGAGAAATTATCGATCCTTCCGAATTTTTACTTTCGTGAAGTATTTGAGCAGCTAAAACCTAACATATATGCAAATTTTCACTTTAAAAGGGTCCTTCGTTTTGTCATAGAATACGCTTGAATTTCTGAGCTTTTGCGTGGCGCGGCATTAACATGGCAGCGGGAAGAGATGTCGTGTAGGTTAAAAAACTGACTTTATGTTTTGAAAACCAACAATATGTTGAAGCACTTGATATTGCAAGGAGTGATGGCAGGGTGGTATGAGCCCTTGGTTTCAGGTAAGCGCGAAAGGGACTGGGGAGGAAGGTGAGAGGGGAGGAAGAGGGGATTAGGAAGAGTTTTCGGGTTCCCTTTTTCTCCCCACCCTCCCCACCCTTTTCCCTTTTTGCGGCAGAGCATCATACTGGGAAGCTAATCCTGAGCCGAGAGGAATAGCCGCCCCATGTAAGGCAATCCAAGACGGTCTTGGATTCTGGATTCCACGCCATGGATTCCGGATTCCAGATACTGGATTGTGGATTCTTTGTCAGTCGAACTGGGATTCCGGATTCCTTGAGCTGTATTCCCGGTTTAAAAAGCCCTGGACCGAGTTGTTCAAAGCTGGTTTAAGATAACCCAGGGTTAGTGCGAGATTTGAATTCAGATTTGAAAGCTTAAAAGGCATTTCAGCTGGAATTCTTTTTGTCTACAAGTTGATGATTGGGAGCTCTAAGAATCATAGAGAAAATTATCCGAGAAAATGTTTTTGAACACGAGAAAAAGAAACTCGGGTTAAACACTAATCGGCCTTCGAACAACTGGGCCCTGGAATCTAGATTCCACAAGCAAAATATCCCAGATTCCGGATTCCAAAGGCAAAATTTCCCGGATTCAGGAATCCAGATTCTCTTACATGGGGTGGAATAGGAGTAGTATAAAAAGTAGCTGAACATTAGTGATTTCAATGCCCAACTGGCACCGCACCTCACACGAAAAAAATATAGAGTCACTCCAGTAAACGTTGCTGATAGTTCCAACATTATCTACGTTAATGGTAATTAACATAGAACATGATAATTACATTTTTTTTCTTCACTTTACAAAGCTTTTTTCATGCTGAACTTGCTTAAAAAGACGACTTTACATCGAAAATGGCAAATCTGAAACATGCTAGTGGACGTTATGAATCTCATTTAATTCCACACTCGATTAATCATTTAAAAGACAATGATCTTTAAAACTCGCACCGTTATAACGCGACCTATTTGCATAAAGTGTTTAGAACAAGTTAAATCCACTCAGTAACGAGGGTAACGATCCTTTTACAGGCCATTTTCTGTCAGTTTCAGCCTGAATATTAGCCGCCAGCTTTCTTGAGGAACGAACGATTCAAAGGTAAGTTGGATAAGAAGCTTCCCTAAGCATTCTTCAGGGACTCTTGTTGCTATAGCTGAGTATATCTGATGACACATTCTCGACTTCAGCTGCTTTGAATCGAATATATATTTTAGGAGGTAGTGGCAGTCGTTCCACTCAGTTTCACATTGTCAGTTGTCAGGGGTATGGATATTTTGTGAGGAGTCTGATCGACTCCTAACGATCCTTTTAACTAGGTTTATGGAGTGAAAACCGAACTTGTTATCTGCTCTTGGTATTGAGAAGAGTAATTTATGATTACTTGTCATCTGCTCTTGGTATTGAGGAGAGTAATTTATGATTTTGCAAATATCACATTGACTCCCAGAGATAATGATAGAATACTGTCGATTCGTCAGACTTAGTTTAAAGGTCCAGTATTCAACAAATCATACAGCAAAAACGACTTCGGTAGCACCAACTATGCGAATCGTCAGTTCTTCGGTGTACTTAGAGCTGAAACAACAATTAATTTATTTATTATTTTCTTGAATAACTATGGCTGAAAATTTCTGAGATTTTAGTTTTAGCAGCAAGTATTATTTTAAACAAGGTAGAACCTCGTTCTGATCTTGGTAAAATAATTCTGCTCGTAAAAAACAGAGTGAACACCTTCAAACCCAAGCTTGAATATGTAAATAAGTCAATTCATCATGCGGAAAACGGAAATCGGTGCACAATAGGTAAAATAACGCGTTATACATACCTGTGCAAACTTGTTTTTCAGAGCAGAGTTTCTAATTTGCTTCACAGAAATTTATCGCAGGGAAGGAAATCTTTGTTTATTAATAATTTCATATTTAGGGTTACTGTTTATTATGAACTTTTGGATTTTTTGTCACAATCGAAAACGCCAAAAATAATTTTTTTTGCAAACACACTAAAGCGTTCAAGGCTCACGGGCCAATGAGCCGCAGAATAGACCAAGCTCATTACGGGATCAAAGAACCCATATACTGAGCTTGGGTGACCTGTGGTTATTCTTAAAGCCTCGTGCCTACTCCCTTTTTTTTGGAACACGGTTCCGCAGCCAAAACTTTAATCTCGCACCCACACAATACCGCCAGCTACGCAGGCTACTTCGCAGACGAAAACTATATAGTTTAATAGTACACGTCATGTGTGCTATGAATGTATGAAAGGTGCATTTTAAAGCAGAACCGGCTTTGGGTGGAATGGGGACGTAGGCACCAGCCCTTTTTTGTCCTTCGTTAGAATAAATCAATGTATGATGACGAAAAATTATCGAATGAATGAGAAAGATAATTCTCATTAGTGACACAGGTGGCACGAAAGAAAAAATCCAAGTAATCTCAATGGGAGTTGAACTTGTGACCTTCTGGTCTCTGATTCAGATGCTCTACCACTGAGCTACAGGAGACTCGTGAGAGCTAGGTCACTCAGTAAACTAGGTTCATGCAGGAGCTCATAACCTCCTGGTTCATGTGACAAGCATCCCGCATACTGTACTGCGAGGACTGGAATGTCGAGATGTGCTCAGTTATGCGTAATGATAGAAAAATGATGGTGAATTTTAAGCCTGGTGAATACACGAGAAAGATGTTCCTTTTTCATTCGGTGACGGCACAGGTAAAAAAAACCTTCGACCTCTGGCTACTGGTCCAGATCCTTTACCACGGAAGATAAGACCTCACACGCAGCCCTTGATAAAGTATACGTTGTTACATGTAACATCAGTCACGATTATAGTCAGTTGTTATCGATAAAAGAGAGAGCCTTTACACTTGCCTTTCACACAGGTGTTATGGCAGCGTGCACTTGACTTTGATCGTAAAGAAGTTAATACTGTAGAATTGAGAGAGTAAAAATTGTAAATTGTAATTTACTTACTCACGAAACACTTAGGAGTTCTTAGGAACTCATTAAAACGTGTCTGTGCGTTCAAGATCGAACTGGATTATGAAAGTGTTCGTTTTTGGTGAGAGGGAAAAACTGGAGCACCCGGAGAAATACCAACAATAAACTCAACCCACAGATGGCCTCAACGCCGGCATTTGAACCCAGGCCACGTTGGTGAGAAACGAGTGCTCTCACCACTGTGCCACCCTTGTGGGTGGGAGCGTTGTTAAGGTGGGGAATTTGACGTCCAATGTAACCAGGGTTGAATTATGGCTAAACTGGACCAGGTGCCATCAACCCTACACCACACCCTATTGAAAACGAGGCTACGCACAATGTATAAGACATCAGTCCAGAACGAATTTGCTAGTTCCTATAGAAATGTTTCTGCGTATTGAGCAGCGCCAATCTGAAGAATTTAGAATCGTTGCAGTTGATGAAACTGTCTATGCACCGTAAACCAAAGTAAACTTAAACGATTCTAAAGCTGATGTTAAGAAAGTAGTCTCTTAAGTCGTCTCTAGGATGCCACAGATTAGTCTGTTAGTGCTGTTGCTAACTGTCGATAACTGGCAATGTGTTTTTATGAAAAAAGATTGAAATGATGATTTCAATTACAGTAAGTAATAGTAAAATGAGCGGTTTCTGATCTCCGGAAAGTACTTTTAAACTGCTCTTCAATTCAGTCCAAGCAGTAGCTGGGTATCACAACCAGTAGCCATGGCAACTCCGCAACACGTGATGTTGTCGTATCAGTGGAATGTTCAGAGCCTAGTGGAGCAAGTCTATCAAGGCTTACGTCATCTTGGTATCAATGCCTGGATGGATGTGCACGGTGGCATTACAGGAAACATAAATGACAGGTTGGTGCTTCTGACCACCGTTAAGAGTCTTAAGATAGCTAAGTTAATTTACCGCTGGTCTGTGGGGCGGGCGAGTGCGAACCCTACCTAGACGAGCAACCTGGAAAACAGTTGTATAAAGCCCAAAACAATTGCAAAATGTGATGCGTACTGCGGACGTATTAACTTGTCTTAAAAGAAAGAGGCTATTTTTCACGCGCCCCTGTACAGTGCCTCTGAGGTCGGTTGCATAAAACGTACAGTCAGGAAAGTGTGAATGAGCTTGACATCTGAAGTCCGTGTTGACGTCAGACGTTACGATTTGGGCGACTGACTCCTGACACCTACCTTGGCGAGCCCCCTTCAAGAAAAACTTTAAACATTATCTGTTCTTCTAGAAGACGCTCATATTGTATTTGCGTGTCCTTTGTTTCTGTTTAGTATGGCTTATGGAGTGGATAATGCTGCTGTTGTTTGCTGTTTTATGACTTCCGATTATTGCGTAAGTTTTATTCATTCTTGTGGCCTTCCATGCCTCCTCCTTTAACTTATAATTAACTATTCTGATTACCTGTAATAGTTTTCAGAGCCTGACTCATACAAGTTCGTATTAGTACGACCAAAAGGGAAAATAAAATTATCATTATTTTTTTTAATGACAAATGAATTCAAGCCCATGTTGGGTTGTACCATAAAAAGGCGAAGCAAAGTTTATACTTCTGTTTTTGTGGTGTATGCAGGGACATTAGGAACTTGCTTAGCCCATTTCAGTAGACCTTCACATAGAGTTTTTTTAAAATTCTGGTTGACTCTTTTACAGATATGACAACGCTTCATGGATACTTTTTTTCGGCATCGCCTAGGCTTTTCTTTAAATCTAATGGTGTGCACTGCTTTCAGGGTTCTAGGAATTGTAAAAAGGAACTAAACTATGCTGATGGACAAACTAAATCGATTGTGCCTGTCATGTGCGAGAAAGGCTTCAAAGCCCAAGGCTGGCTTGGTATCATTACAGCTGGCCTCTTATGGATTGACTTTAGGTATATAGACAAATGCTTTGCTTCATTTTGTTCCACCTCGGCTGTTAGTAACTGAAGGAACACATTTCCCATTCATTTACCAGGCGTTAAACTCATCATTACATTTATAGGGCCTTTTTACCCACGTAGCCAGCAGCTATGCACAACAGTGTATTGAAAAAAAATAAGGTAGACTGCGAGCAGCCTCTTATTTTCTTCAAAGTCGCTGGGGAAGGACGCGCGAGCCGCGAGAAACGAGGGCGTCTTTTCTCGTCTCGCCCCAGTCCCTTTTTAGCTAAAAGCGTTTTCAGTGCCAACGCGCTCACTCCGTCTACGAACTCGACGGAGCTTAAGAGAACGGGCGGACTGCTTGCAGTCTAAAAGAAGGTTTTTACATGAGAAAAAGGCTCAACTCCGATAGGACTGACTGGTTTAGAATGAACACTAACATGGCCACCGTTTAATTTCATTGTTTTTGGGACACGAATATGGCAGACAGTAAGGTCGTGTGAGAACGCTCTGTATTCTTGTGCACATGCCCTTCGGCTTCTACATTCCAGTCCAGTTACATACTGTACATACTGTAGCTCAGTGGTATGTAGTGTACATATTGTAGCTCAGTGGTAGAGTAGCTAAACTAGTGACCATTAACTCATAACCTCTACTTCCTTTTGGGGCAAATCGTATTTTTTTCCGAGGCACCTGACGAGGTTACTTAATGTGTCTCTTGCTAAGCTAGGCGCATCACGCGCGAATGGTCTTCTAGGTATGAGAGAATACGATTTGCCGGCGTGAAATCTCAATACCTGGTTGGTCTGCCGAGAGAACGGCAATACATGGCAAACTACACACTAGATATTATAACATAACAAGAAATATTGTAAGAAAGCCTATCCCGACTGAACAGACTGTCTCTGTTCTTCTGTTATCGAAAATGAATTTTGTATGTCTCAAGACTAGCTGATCGTTCTGGCAAAGGGCTATCTAAGAGCAAACCAAACTTTGAGCTATTTAGAGAGGCTGTCACGTGATCGTTGCAAGAACTGATTATCCCGTTCCCGTCTTTCTGTCCTCTTACAACTAACTGGAGACTCTTCCAGATCGAATTCAAATTTAGTGTGCTACGGTTTGGGGAGAGGGGCAAACTGGACTTGAAAAGAACCAACAATTCAAACTCAACCCGTATAATTTTGACTGATTTAACAACAGAGCGGGAACGTCAGTTGACGACGGCGCGCGCAAATCAAACAACCGGCTTGACCAATGGAAGAGCGGCAAATTGAGCACCGGAAGTCGTGTTTAGTCCTTTCCGCGCCCTTTCCCGTCGTCAACTGACGTTCCTGTCCTGTTGCTAAATCAGCCTATTGACGTCGACGCCGGGACTCGAACCCAAGCCACATTAGTGAGAGTTCAGTCCTGGTTCAGTCCTAACGGATGTTTCTTGGTGTTACATCTACCGTTGCGTCATCCTTGTTTCTCCTGTTATGAATTCAGACAGTAAATGTTCCCTATCTACCTCGCTTTTGAGCGCCGGCTACCAGGCAGTCAAATTAATTCCTGCAAGCCCAAGTTAGTCCTCGGAAAGAAAGGTCGACTTTTCGCACAATTTTCGCTCCCCGCTCACAGAAAGTCGGCCAATGGACAAGTCTACTAAGAAATCCGAATTAACTGGCAATTTCTTTCGTTTTCATTATTAGAGATGGAACTGTGTTCGAAAATTCCTTAGCATCCCTAGCAAAAGAGATCGTTAACGCCCTGGATTCGGGTGTGCCGGAAAGTGCCATAAAACTGAGCTCATCTGAAATTCCACAAGAAATGGACCTCCCGACAGTGGACATCCAAAAGAAACCCGGAAGGGCCTTTTTACACAAACTCACTGGAAAATTCTTGGCAGTGTTCGCTTCGTATCTGGCCCAGATCGACTTTTGAAAATCAATAACCGCAAGCCATATCCTCGCTGGCGCACGGTACGTCGCCCGAACGGTGACCGAAGGGCGACCGAGGCACGAAGCCGATCTTGCGAGCCCTCAGTCTCTTGGTTTGCGGTCTATAGAATGTGTTACGAAACTGTAACGCGATCAAAATAACCCATTTTTTCAGAGGTTTTCGACGGGTTTTGATGTTCTAACGACAAACACATCTCCTTTTGACCCTGTGGTAAAGACATGTTCATATGGACTTCCTACTGATTTCCTGAATGTACGCAATCTATCCAAAGTTAAACAGCGGCTATTGACATACCCTACGTTGCAGACTTAATTTACTTTTACTTTACATAAATGTGTTCATTTTTGCTCTGCAAATTTATGTTTTTTTTTTTTTTTTTTTTTTGAAGATGACACTAATATCCTTTACGCTGTCAAAAAATTCAGTGAAATCCATCTAGACTTGATATACAAAAGAATGCGTTTTCAAACATGCCAAAGAAGACCTTCAGAAAAGACTCAAAGGGAGCATTATTAAATATTTTGAAAACCGAAGAGAACTATACAGAGAACTACAAAATCATGGCAAATCTGAAAAAACATTTACTTATATCTTCTATATATACATACAGATTGAAATTTACAATAAATAGATAAACTTGAACCTGCTTATGATATACTTAATACAGCGTTTGGGTCCCCTATGGTTACCGCGTTAACTATGCCAAAGAGGCTGAGGAGTCCCTTAAACTTTTTACTTAATTGCATTAGGCCAAGTCAAGTTTCATCCCGCGAGTGGAAGCCGCAGTACTGTGGTTTTGAGAGACCACCCTGAAGACACCAGCTACTGGGTCGAGGAGAAACAAAGCAAAAGCGAAATTCATTTCTTTAAGAACTACGCCACAAACGGTTACCTGGGTAAGATGACATTTTTAATCAAAATGAGTTGATTCTTTTACTATTATTTATTAAAATGAGTTTTAGAAAGAAAGCAGTACTTTGCTTTGAATTACACTGATGTATATGCGACACATTCATCTTGAACAACCGAAAATTTGCCAAAGGGTTAACAAAGTTGACGAAGTTTAAAATGGGTCGGTGTAGCAGCTGCTCGGAAGAGAAGTCACTTATGGTGCCTAACCCTGACCCCAAGCAATAATGAAACAATTGGAATCACTGGAATCACTTTCACAGGGAAATCTTTGTATGCAAACTACAACGAAGCATATGCAAAAAACAAACAACAACAATAACGTTCTTCTGAGAATTCACATAAAGCACAAGAAATGTACGGAATCTTTACTGAACGGGGATTATTCAGTTAAGTTAAGTGACCCCGGCGCAGGAAAACCGACTCGAAAGAGGCCAGTTCGCTTTCCCAGGAGTCCCTTCTTACGTCCATCTCTCTTGGTGCTCGTTGTGCCTTAGGAAGGTTGCGCCGCACTCAATGGGCTCAACGCGTTCTCTGTTTTCTGCGCGATAGCAGCGCATGGAGAGAAGGTAAGAAAGCAAAGTGCAAGCTTAGCTCTCGATGGATGTGTTTTACGTCTGCGTTGATGTTAATGTTATGGCAAAGAATCAAAACCCTAAATAAAAAGTGCTTTCCATGGCCAACTGATTTCACAATCCCCCTGACCTCCCCCAACGTGGCGTAAATGATTTCTAAGAAACAGGATTCCCTTTTTTTTTTTTTCGAGTCACTTTTTTCACAAACTGAAAAAAAAATCATTTCCCTTTCCTTTCTTTTATTTCTTTTCTTTCACAGGGTCAGATGGAGATTATATTTACACCAAGGGTCAACATTACGGCGCGGAAGAATGGATCCTGAAAGCTGATGAGCAGTCTACCGACGGCCGTCGAGCCGTGGTTCTGTTTGCAAACTTCGGCAAAAAGTATTTGGCAATTAGGAATGGAGAACTTACAGGAGTGGCTGGTTACTCAGAAGACTGCGTCTGGATTTTGGATTAAAATTTCGTAGAATTAACCAAACATTTTCGAGAGTTTTGTTAAAACACGTGTCAGAAATTTTACTGAGTTGGACTGCAGATGGTCTCAATTAAAGAGTCTAACTTATATGCGGACACTTAAGACTAGGGAACTTAATTCTTGGTGTGTTAGTTCTGAAATAAATCATTTAAGGACAAACTTTTACTGTAATACTGAATTACATTTGTTTAGCATTCTGCACAAGCCCTAACATTCGAAAGATATGAATGGCTCTTGCAGGTTTTATTTGGTGCTTACATTTGCCATCTTTTTTACCGTCTCTAATTTCCACTATTATTATTACTATTATTATTATTAAATAATAGTTATCGAGTAATCACCTAATAAACCAACATATACGGACTTCTTGGCAAAGAATCAAACATTGTTTAGGGAAATTCACTTACCAATTACCGGTATCCCAAAACCCAAGGGCTAGCCTGGATTCTCTCATGGTTGCACCTACACGATTAGTCTCCAAAGCAGATGGTTAATAGATCGTTTTCACTCATGTGGTCAGCGGCTATGCAAATTTCTTGAACAAAAGAAATTTTTTACATTAGAAAAGAGTTCAATCCAGAGAGGATTTCTTCTGTACACCAACATGGCCGCCGTTTCGTTGTTTTGTACACCAATGTGGTCGCCGTGACGTCATGTGAAAACGATCTACGAAGAAGGGGGAGTAGCCTGTGGGAAAAATGAGTTGCGTAAAAGAATAAAATACTGGCTCTCACAAAAGCTGTTGCACTGAAACGCAACGATGCATACTCAACTGCTTGCCATATGATAAAAAAAGGAGTGCAACTACTAGCAATGTTTGTGGCACAAAAAGAAAACTATGAAAAAAGTTCTTGGGTCACATTACCTGGCTACGACCTGAACAAGGGCATGAAACAACAGCAGAAGACCCCTTTTTCTTCGAAACCTTTCCCGCTTTCCTAAAAAGCAGACTTGACATAGAAAAGCACAAATTTAAATCTCAAATCAACCTGGACGGGGGCGATGATATTTCAGACTAAAAACCGTTAAACATATCATTAGTAAATCTGTTTGTTCGCTTGTTTTTTGTCGCACTATGTATATTTTAATTCGTTAAGTATTAACACTCTGTTAACGTAAGTCTATAGTCGTTAGTTTTAGTGCTACTTATGTTTTCTTTTTCTAGAGTCTTATTTTTTGTCAGACATTTATTGTACTGTATATTATGGTTGATGTTAGTCGTTACCTTGATTGATAAATTTTTTGTTTTGTAATACATTTGAACTAAAGTACTTGCAAAACGCAAAAAAAATTTTGAAACGATTAAGAATCACAAAAAAATCATTCTTTGACCCCACAGACAAGACGATACATGGCTATTTATATTGCCCTGTCTTGCAACGGAGTTTTACAAAGGTTTTACAGAGATTTACACTACTATTCTAATGTGCATAATTTTCAAGTATCACGCTATCTAAAGCACTTCACTTCAAGAATAATAAAAATTTACAAGGGAACTTAAAAATCCGAGTTTCCCAAACAGCAAGACCTCCCATTGGCTCCTCTGAAGTCACATGACCACTCTAACAAAGAAACTTTTTCCCGCCAAATGTTTCTGAGAAAAAAATTATCACATCTTTGAAGTCAGGCCGGGATAAGATGGCACTGTTACCGTGTGCTGTCTTGCTGATCAGCCCAATTTGCTCGTATTAAATCGTTATACTTTAACAGTTTAAGGCAACTTGGAATCGGATGTCATTTCTTCTGGCTTTAAATCTCGCAATTTGGCAATGTAATCGGACGAGCGAACAATATAACGCTGAATGTGATCTTTAGTATCGTGATGCCAGTCACCAGTGCCGCTGCCTCCAGAATTCTTCAAGAGTTCCGGCGCGTGGTCAGTAATCTGGAATTTCTTATCTCTCCGAACCGAATCTTTCTCAGTTAACGGAGTATTTGAAGGAACAAGATTTCCTTCCTCTCCTAGCTTTTCCAGCGCCGTGCGAGCCATTGTTGAATTTTCCCTGGACATTTCCTTATCAATTTGAGAGGACCGTGCAGGAGTTATTGACTGCTCCGTTATTCGTAGATGATCATTTAGCGGGTTTGAATATGGTGTAGACGGGCTATAGTACGAGAGATCAGGAGCACGAGAGGGTTGTCGTAAAGTTTCGCTCTGCAGTTCTGGGTGCATGGCCAAATTTTCAACTGACCTTGTAATTTCTTTCAGTTTTGCTCCAAGAACCTTCAAGGATGACAAGGAAGATTTATTATGGGTTAATCGATGAAGACATTCATCGCTTCGCCTTTGCGCGCTTGAAAGCCATCTCATTGAACTAACCTCTGGGTTTCTCGAATAGCTGAGGTCCCCGTCCAATCTGTAAGTCTCGCAAGTCAAGTGCGCTCTTTGGGCGTGTACCTTTGCCTCTCTTTCCCTCATCTCTCTTAGTAATCTTTCTGTAAATTGTGTTGTTTTGACGAAAAATTCGTTTTCTTCTGCGGATGTCGAAAGTTTTCGAATCTCCTTTTTCATCTCCTTGTTCTCCTGTCGTAGTTCTTCAATTTCCTTCAAGGCGCTCTTCAATTCTTCCTTCAACTCTTTCATGTCCTCGCAAACATTTTGAGACGCAGAACTATTAGGATTCCATAAGCCTTTATGCGAGCTGTCAACATCTTTGTTAACCGGGTGAATGTTTCCTTTGGGCATGGTTTGCTGTTGTGAATAAAACCCTTCTAAAGTTCCCTCGTCTGTTTCTTTAACACCCTCGGTTGTGACGTCATCAATCTGGAGCTTGCTTGCAAACCTCAGCAAATTTACTTCGTGAGCTTGTTGATAGTTCCCAGGATACACCGCTACGGTACGGTCTTCAGCCATCCCATGATGCCCAGGGGAATTTACCCTTTCTGACAAGTAACCAACAGACTCATCACCAGGGGAGGTCGGTGGGGATGATTCTTGATCTTCACTGTTTAGCGAGCGCTTTCTTCTGTTCTTGCGGGCTAAACGTGGATGTCCACTTTCTGATATCTTGTCTCCTTCATCATCAGGCTTCACTAGAGATCGCGTAAAATTGTTTTCCACGTTTGCTTGAAAAGAACTACTTTCACTCAATGATATATGATTTCTTGGAATTGTTAATTCCGTCACATTGCTGTCTTTTCCTTCCACAAATTCGTCACAGGTTTCGAAAGAGGAGTTGGCATGACTGGAAAAACAAATTTCAGAGGAAGTGTTAGTCTGAAAATCTTCGCTTTCTTCCGATTTTTCAAGAAGAGATGGTTTTTCTTTCCAAGATTCAAATCCACTTAATGCTAAGGATGAGACTGGTGAAACATCTGACTGCCAATCTTCTCCATCAGGGGCCTCTCCTAGTGGTAAATTTTCAGGCGAGCTGTTTTCAATCGAAAGCTTTTCCTCTTTGTTTCTGATCGGCTCCAAGCACATTCCGTCATTTCCACTAACCTCTAAATCGCTCAGTAAATCACTTTCAACTTCCTTCTCTTCAGTCGTCTCTTTCGAATGAAAACTTTCAGAGCGATTCTCCTCTGGCTCCTTCGACTCGATCAATTTTGCATCATTTTCTTGTATTTCAAGTACGTTTTCTAGACCTTTCATTTCTGAACCTTTTGATTTTCCAACGTCTCCAGTTTCTTCTGAATCCAAAAATCCACTTTCAGCGCCCTTGTCCGTTTTCTCGTACTCAGTATCTTCTCCCAGATTTCTGCCTGTTAATTTCTCCTCTTGTGATTTTATCACTTCTTTAAGCTCTTCCATTTCCTTTTGTATCTTCGCCAGTTCTTCTTCAGCTCGTTCCCTCTGTCTCACTGCATTTGCCAGTTTAAAGGTAAGGGTACATACCTGCTGTGTTTTCAAACTTTTCACTTCAGTTGAATTCTTCTTTTCTTGTTCTAACTGTTCTTTCAGCGTATTCAATTCGGCCTTTAACTCTGCTGTTACTTGCTGTAACAGTTCTACTTCAGTAGGAACTCCATTTTTATTTGAATTGAGACTGACGTCTTCGGTCTTCTTTTCTGGGCTCTGAGTAAACAAAAAACACCTATTATAGCTAATTGACACTGTTAATTTTAATGGAAACTAATTAAACTACAGAACTCATTAAAGAAAAGTGCAAATTGCAGAACAGAACTGGCCAATGGAATTTTATTAGTTTAGAGATTAGACTAATTTCTCCCATTAGCACATAGATTATTCTTTTCATAAGATCGCTAATTATCAAAAGCTGCCTTTACCTCAAGATCGGAAAGATTACGTCTATTACATACAGTGTCCTGTCCAGTGTAGTTGTCAAGGTTAATGCATAATTGACAAATTGAAGACAAAATTTGTTTTAATACATGATTTTTTGTTTGATTCTCTTATTTATTTTGAGATCGGGGAAAGTCTATTGACATGTTGGTGCTATATTTTCTGGTCCCTCTATTCAACTAAATTTAAGATGAATCATTAAGAGTAAAAGTTTTTCAAATGATATGCTCCCTACTCGCTGCCTTTGAGGAAGAATACCTTCAGACCTAAAAGAGTAGATGTGAGTCCATATAATCAAAGAGATTATAATAAAACGACTAGTACATTTTTCAATCACTCCATAGGTGGATCACATGACTGAGGTTCAGGTTTAATTTTATGCATATGATCCAAGAGCTTACAGTAAGTGAGAAGGGAACTGGAACCGAAATACGTCCTGCAGTTGTTTCTGCGATTGCTACTGGGAACGCGCCGGTCAGCTATCGGCTAATGCTTTTCGTCCCATACTCTTTACGAAGAGTGTGTGGATACACACTACAGGATTTATTTAATGTGCAAGGGTTTCGAGCGTGGCCTGTGGGTTATCGTCCTCATCCGAGAAGACGAAAAAGTCTAAACCTGCGCAGATCTCATAGCCACGGCAGCACTTTCTCTCCAGTTTCTAGTTGTACAAGATCATTTCTTAAATGCCGAGATCCGCCTTGCGTTCACAAACACAGCTGCCCGCGAAATTGAAAGTTTTATTTTTATTCTCGTGTCCGTGAATGTAAAACTCTTTTATACTTACATGCTGTTTACTCGTCTTCCTTTTCACTAGTTTAAGCATCTTGTCTGACAGACTTTACTGCACTTCTTTAAATATTTATCGTTCTTGTTTACCCTTCCAGGCTTTGATCTTTCTTAAGAGAATAAACCTGCGAGGATGAAAATCGATTAATGCCACTCAATTAAAAGCGAGTTGAGAATATTTAAATGATTATTCAGAATTGTATTTCCAAGTCTCAATTAGCTAATTCAAGATGCTCGATTTTACATCATGCATCGTCTGCTTCATCGTGTTACGAGAAACTTTAAGTTTTTCGTCTGATTTATGTTAAAAGAAGGAAAAAGACGATAAACACATGTTTTTCCCGATTAGCAAGCGCTGCATGTACGTACTTCTTCAGCCCGTGAAACGAACTTAGCTACGAATAATCGACATTGGCTGCGTTCACACGAGTAAAAATACAATCTGTTTTATAAACTACCACTGTCCATACGAAGACGTCTCAAATCTAGGGAACATTAACAATAATCGTGTTCACCATTCACATATCGACGAAAGCTGTCGACCTATGATTTTGTGTGCGTTTACTACCTCAACGAGCTCGCGTGGGCACAGCCTGCGCACGAAGCAGGCGTGTGAAGTGTAAGGAAAAGAGACAATTAAAGCGCGCGTTCATACAAGGCGTGCGAGTAAGGAGCCGAGGGATTCGCGTCAAACAACGGTGTCTTTTCCTCAAGTTCTTCCTCGAGCGCTTATCGCGTTCTCACGCGCCTTTTTTTCTCCCTTTCTCTTCCCCTTCAAACGCCTGTCAAAGAGGCTATTGAAGATAAAGCAAAAGATTTAAAGGAAGACCGTGTCCCCCGGCAACAATAGACACGCGCGTTCGAGAACGATAATCTGCGCCACCATTCTGTCCAGTAGACGTCTAAACACGCTTGAACTTTCCTTGATTCTCAATTGTTTTTGAAATTTACTCGTATTTTACAAAGAAAGGTAGAGAAAAGTGAACGCAGCAAAGCAGACTTACTAATTTGTTAGCCACAAATTCAAACATGTTTTGTTTGTTTACGAACGATTAGTTGAAGGTAACGCTAAAGAAGCAATTTCACGCTAGGACTCAAAACCATGGAGAGAGATTACAGTGTAACAAGTATGCACTTTACAGATTAAGAACTTTTTATCCAAACTATGTCATCGTAGCCTTCAACACTTATTTTATAAATAACAAATGTAATCAATATGTTTACAACCAACCTGGGTTCAGGAGAAAGCAAGCTCCTCTTTTCGACTTCACCAACCTCAGCTTATGAGTTTCTCTTTGCACTGATTTCTGTTGTCATTTCCACCTCTGAACAACTCTTAACAAGTTCACTGAGCCAAATTTAAGGCTCCTTTTCTCAGCTGTTATCTATACAAACGGAACGCCAAAATAGCGTGGCTAATTAAATGTTAACTCTGTTATAGGATGGAGTTAATTAAAAATCTTTTCAAGTCATATTCATTACAATATGGTACTCGACTGTTATGCAAATAACACTTCTGAGAGTAGTTCAATAAAAGTAAAACCAGGTAATCCAAGCCTATTCAGAGAAGTATCGCGGACGATTATTTTTGAATTCTCCGAATTTTTAATAAAGGAAACTAAGCTGTTCCTGACTCTTGAAGAGCAAATAAATCTTTGAAGGTCAGAAAGGTAACTAGGGGGTCATCAGAATTTGCAAACTTCTTTAAAAACCTTTAAAATAAGAGGAATAAAACATTTTTAAACAAAACACTTTATCAGTGAAATCTAAACAAAAGTGAAAAGAATAGATACTAAGAGACAACTAATTATAAATGGAAACACAGGCAAAAAATGTCATGGCTATTTAGCCGTTGAGAAGTTACATTTACCACTCATAGAAAAACGTTTATTCTTTAAAAAAATTGTTTTACTATTAATAGTTTAAAACTATGAACAGAGAGCAAAAATATTTAGAAATTTAAAAAAAAGGTATATAAGTGTTTCAACATCCCGTTTCATGTAACAACAATTCATAGGCAACCTTCGTGGTTGACGTTCATCACTATCAGAGGTTTCTTTGGAGTATCTTTAATTTATCATACAATGGAAGTCAAAAGTCTTGGTAGACTTAAAACGATACGCGACTCCCTAACTCCCCCCCAACCCCCCCCCCCCCCCTCTAAGCAAAGTTGTATTTTCTGCTCCCTGTCCACTTCACTGTGTCTTGAACCTGAAGTGTTTGCTTATCCCAACACTGTTCCGAGGGGGAAGGGGACGGTCATTAGAAGCCTCCAAACTATTGCAACAGAGGATATTATGCTTCATTTGCGTATTTGAAGGAAGGATTTTTGGCCTCTATTGTAGCTTTGAGACTTCGACGTTTTATTCAGACAAATCGAGAGGGGCTGGGGAGAGGTAAAGCCAGCTAACAGAGAATAATAGGATTGTCATTAATTCCTATTTCTTCACGTTTCTTAACTTGATTTGCTGATCTTCACATCCTCTTCAGAGGTGAAAGTTCCTGGCTTTTACTATTCAAATATAAATAATAAAACGTTGGAGGTTTGGGATGATTGACGAAGGTTTTGGCTACACCAGCTCCCTGTCCTGTAGATCAGAGACCAGAGACTTCCAATATACGTAGATTGTCAGATCCTTAAACGGCAGTTATTTGGACTTTCACAGAGATATATAGCTACTACATCTGGATTTCCTCGGGAGCCATTTATCATTCATGTGTAGCTTGTTCTTTGCCATCGGAAGGAGAAAGATTTTAAAGAACATTTACTTTAACTGCGTGAAAAGATTAAAACAGATTTACTTGTTAATTGACTCATTTACTGAATTCTTTAACAACTGACGTTTAATCATTTTATTCCATAATTAAGTATTTCTACGTGAGGATTATCCTACGTTTTACGTACATCATACTAGGATAGGGCCGATGGCACATATTTTCGCGATATTTATCTTTAATACCTGCTATCTTTGTGCATGAATTAATTCCACTTTCATAAAAACCCTTCATTTCTTGATGCTATAAAATTTAACACCCTCGACTCGCCCCCTTTCGCGGTTTAGAAAAGGAAAAGCATACCTCCTCTCCACGATTCTATAAATAGCGTGTAACTACAAGAGTTTATCCAATTTAATTTATGATAATGTCAACCTATTTTTGTCCCCTTTTAATTTAACGAAAGTAGAGTACGTGTCTAATTTCTTACATATTATATTCCGGCAGGCTTAATTTGGTCTGGTGTTTTCCCCAATGCACAAACTGAAAACAGATAAAGCGATTTCACTTTATCTTCTGACTATTAAAACCAACAAACATATCTAAAACAGACATTTTGTTTTAACCCACCGTTTGAAGCTTCTACTTTATGAACCTACGAACTACACACATGACGATTTAAGATCTTTCAATTTAACAATTTTTCGGTTTTGTTTTTTATCAGGATAAATTAGACAATTTTAGAACAAATGTATTGCCTAGCTAAGGCTTGAGACATCATAAAACAAATTTCTTGAATTTTCATGCAGTTTATCACAGTAAATGAAAATGTTTCTTTATACCTGTATGTAAAACTTTCATTGATTGAAAGTTCTGCCTGAAATACAAACTTGATAAGTAAAAAATTAAATTGTTTTTTCCCTTGTTCCCACAAAGGAAAATGGAGGCACAGACTCATCGAAGTCGTCTTCCATGTCGCTTTCCGAAGAGCTCCAGTCTTCGACGCGAATCAGAGGAACAGAAAATATCGAATCTTTCCGGTTGACAGTCACTCGCGTTTCGGTCGCACAGTCCTCGGAAATATCCATATCGGAACCATTGCCGTCTTTGTCCAAGGCAAAAACACCTTCTCTCTCGCTGAAAGAAGAGATAAAGTTTCTTTCGATAAGTTTATTTCCAGGTAAGTAACACGATAGTTCGTCGATGGTATTTTCAGCTTGGTTAGGAGACATGTTCTCTTCGCTTTTGACTCCAGTGAAAGTTATCGAGGCTTCCATCTCCAATCGGTGTTAACCTCAAGGCTTTCAAAACAGTAGTTTTTCTTGGGAAAGCGACAGCTGACGTTTTGTTTTCTTAAAAACTACTTTTATTCTTCTTCCAAAAACTTGACGACACCACGCAAGTCAACTGTCTTGTAACCGCCAACAGGGAGCTGGTCTTGCGTAGAAAATTACCGCCCTAGTTCGAGCGTTAACTGAACAAATATCCTTCCAAGTCAGTTGACGGCCAAAGCTTGCTTTCCGTTCATCAGTTTTTGCTGTCTTTTTAAGCTTTTCACCATTCTTTGTTTTTCCTGTATTTAGATCTTCCCACTGTCAACAAAACAAAACCCAGTTCCGCCACTCGAGTCTACCTACGCAAAATAAAAGGGAAATAAAAGCATCCCATTGGTATACATCGTTTTTTATTGATTCCAGAAAAATGCAAACACAACTTATTTTTTACGGCAACTGGCCGCGCATGAATAATGTTCCCATTTACCTTTCAAAGCAACAATTTCCTTGTTTTAAACTGAGGAAAAAAACCTTTTTTGATTGACTTGTACATCATACCATTGACTCTATTAGTATAAAAACAAGAATCGAGAAAAGACCATCGGTAATCTTTCCGGTGTCGGAGCTGTTTGATGACAATACTTTTCCTTAAATAAAAGCCAAAAATAAAATAAGTTGTTTTTTTCCTATTAACATCTTCATTATTTTCGTGCTGAAAGCGACAGTGTCGCCAGAAACAATCAAAACAGCGACTATAAAACTATAATTATTTGACGTAAGAGCGCTCAGCGCCGTACCAGTAAACAACATCAGTTCAATTTCGTCCATATCTTAGACTAAAGAAAATCCCACACCCTACTGTAAAGATTGCTTGCTTGATATAAATGTAGAGCGTATTTCTTTCGGGTCACATTGCTCACGGTATTACGTTATTCCGTAATTATGCGATTCCAACTAGAGTTAATCGCTGTTACCAAAAAATCAACTGTAAAATCCGCTGAAAAGAACGATAATAGAAATTCAAGAAGTGGTTACAACATAGCAAAGTCGTATTACACAAAAATGACATTTTTTTCTTGAAGAAGTAATGAGAAGCAAATATTTTTTTGGCAAAGATTTATTTTAAATCAAGAAAATTACTTTTCAAAAATTAAATGAATTCTGCCTACGTGCCCCAGAGGCAATTTTCTGTCAAGCGCAAAGCTGGAAAACATAATACCTCGATCGGAAGTGAGGAGAAATCTTGGCAAAATAAGGTAGTTGAAAGTGAGAGGTAAGCATCGATTCGTTCAGACGAAAGCTATTATTTTAATAATAAAGTTTTGAAGGAATTTAAGGTGGCCAATTCACGTTATAAACTCTGCTGGAAAAAAACACGTTTTTCCCCGCTTCCTGTAATATACGCAGCACCACAATTTGGGGTGGGAAATGACCCGTTTTCTGAGGTTCTGCTTTGATGTTCCCGAGTCAGTACCACATTTCAAACACAGACTAAAATATTAGACAATGCATATTCCTGTCTACAGTAGGGTATTTGCACAAGATGATTATTATACTTTATTTACGCTATGTATAATGAGCTCTCCCCTGCCCTCCTCCTGGTTCATTATGCCAAAAGACCGCATTCCCTCGCGGGCTCAGAGAACAATATTACCGCCCCATTGCTATCCTTTTCTATTCGACGGTAACCTGAGATCAGGCGTTATTTATTTTATTATTATTATTATTATTTTGCTTCTTTGCTTCTTTGGCTCAAGAGAAAGTGGTGCAGAAACTCTGAGCCCTTATAACGTGGCTAAAACTTTTATTTGAAGAAAAATTCGCCCCTGGGAAGCGAGAATGTTTGTGACTTCATTCAATGAAATTTTATTGCGTCCAAGAAGCAAAATTTGTGTCTGTAAACTTGAAAACATTTACGTTCGCAACCATGCTTCTTATACTAGCCACACGTAAGGCCCTGTTTTACAAAGCGCTCTTTTCCCGCACCTTGCCACACAAATTTCAACAAGTTCAACGCCGGAGACCACGCCTGGTGCAACACCCCATGCAAATTCTCCTTTTAATACGTAAAAATTGTTGCAGTGTTTATACCGCAATAGCTGCGAGAATTAAAATTTGATTCTACTTTCTGCTGCCGCACGGTAGTGGTAACAAGATACATACTTTCTTCGGGGGTGGTGGTGGGGGGTACACTACTCAATTATTCATGCATACTCGTGTGGGAACAAACTTGCGATACATATTACAAGAAAAATAGGCTAGTTTAACTGAGCTGTTAGTGGCTTGTTATAAGTAAGGACATCTTGTCTGATGTTTGATTTCCCTTTCTTTCAAAATTACCGAAGGCAGAAGGTTTAGATCAGGGCAGATCAAAGTTTCTCTTGTTTCCGCTTCTGACCATAGAAGTTACTTCAATCAAGGAAAAGAGAATTTAATTTCTAAGCATCAGGCAAGATTTTAAATTTAAATTTTGTAAACTGAGACCGATTTTAAATTACACCAAGACAGGTTAAGGGCTTTATCCTCTCTCGACTGCACCCAATTGTCAACATTCCGGAATACTTATTTGAAGGAAGATCATCGCAGTTATATACGCAAGATTGGGCTACATCTGCCGAGATAGCTCAGTTGGGAGAGCGTCAGACTGAAGATCTGAAGGTCCCTGGTTCAAATCCGGAAAGCTCGCATGAGCTCTGAATAATCCCGGGTCTCGGCAAGTTTTTTTTTTTTTTTACTGTTTGTTCGATATTTCGAGAAGCCACTGGTTCAGGTTGTCTTAAAACAAAAGACACGCATTAGGGGTCAATTTACAAGTGATAAAACTTTTAAAGTGTAATTTACAAAGGTAGCTATTGTTTTTGGACCCTAAAACAATACCTTCACTTATAAAAAGTTTTTATTGAATTGACCCCAGGACGTTTCTTTCCCTCCCAATGACTCGCTCTATAAAGTCCCCCGCCATCCGCCAACATCCGCCTTTCAGGGCGGAAAAACGTAATGAGCATGCGTGAATTTTTTTGCCCAGATCCCCTGGCCGGGTTTGAAAAAATGGCGGGACTTCAAATATTTTATTGCCTAAAAATAAAATGTTTCCACTCATAATCTGGAAAGAACAGGCAATTTGTCTTCAAAAGTTGCAAGCTGTGGTTATAACCCCCGTCGTTACTTAATTTTCTTGAAGAATACCTCATAGTAAAACGGACTTTAACGACATTGATTTCCTTGCGTTGTACTGGAAATGTGCATGGGTAGGTCCGACTTTTTTCAAGATGCATTCACAAAATGTGTTCATATAAGGAAGTTCCTGGATATATAAGGTCCGGAGCTCCACTGTGGACACAAAAACAACATATCTTTGGACAGTGATTTGCCCAAAAAAATTAACGCTTGCCCACAATGTGTTTGAAGTCACTGAACTTTGTCGCACTCGAGCTGATATTCTAAGACCCTCGCTCGATCGCACACTCGTAGTTTCGCAGATCATTAAAATATAAACAAAATCCTCAATGTAGAAGTTATTGCGTTGATATGTGGGCAGAAAAAAGGTCAATCTTTATCTAGTAAAATCTTCCCAAAAATCGGTTTCAAAGCGACTATAGTTTTTTAAACGTGCTCAGTTTCGCGCAGATATATTTTGCTTTGTGTTGTCAAGTTGAACACGCATAACATCTGTCAAAAACCTACGCGTAAGTAGGATTTCGTTCAAACAAAGTTAAAGTTACATTATTTCAAAAACTTCTTGCTGACAATGAAGAAATGAATTTTTTGTACGAAAACAACCTACCTAAAGATCTTAAAAGCAAAAGATCAGTTGCAGTGAGCTTCGCAGCTAAACCATGATTCACCATGTACACCTGTAGCTGTTTTTAATGACTCAGTGAATAATTGGTCCATGTGCGGGTCTTCATTCAAGCAAATTAAACTCAGCCAATCGTTAGAACATACAGAAAACTGCACATAAGGGTATTTGTTTTGCTCGCCTCGGACAAATCCAGCTCCAGCAATTGTTTACGGACAGAGTAAATTGTTTTTAAGTCACTGCCGGCAGTTGTCGTTCTCTAATGCACCTATCAATGGTTTGCCCCAGGATGGGGGGGCCGGGCAACCCACGGGAAATTTGACATTTTCAGGTTTTCAAATGTCAATTTCCCCACCCTTGGGTCTCCATTGTAAGTCAAATTCCCACCCCTGGGGACCACAGACCTTCATAGTAAGCTAAACGAAATGATAAACACTCACAACAAGTTTATTGCAGCACTCCTCCAGACACAACACTGATTTGAACAAACAACGATTAAACAAGATCCTCTCAAAACAATCCAAATTGTATTTCTTGTAGACAAAAATTTTTGGGGGTAGAATTATTAAAAAATTGACATAGAAAGTATCAAAAAATAAGATTATTTAATAAAGCACTACTTGTCATTGTTTGGTGAGATTTGGCACAGGTTTCTGGATTCATCTTCTATGTCACGCCTGGAATAGGTCGTATTCCGCTTTCATCTAACTGATGTTTGTAACTGAGGTCCAGAATTGACCAGAAATTCATTTAATTTAACATTTGGAGTATACTAGCAAATCTATAAACACAGAGGGTATATCGAAAACTTAAGGCAGGGCGGCATCCTCTGAAGACAGGTAAGTAGGAAGTAAATTTGGATCTAAATGAGCTCTTGTGCGAATATTTCTTCTCAAAGCTGAAGGAAAAATACCTTATGTTATTAGAACTTTAAAGACAGAGCACTGATGGGCATAAAAAGCAACATTTTTGCTTAAAAAAAGCAACACGCTTGGACGCGGGAAACTCGCTCAAATGTCTTCTGGGTATTTTCCAAGATGGCGGACCACTCACTCATTCCCAGGTCCTCTCCACTTTTCAAGATGGCGGTCGAGTCAAATTTCCCACCCTGGGGACCGTTGTGGATGTCAAAATCCCCACCCACGTGCGCTTTACGAAGTCTAATTCCCGTGGGTTGCCCGGCCCCCCCATCCTGGGGCAAACCAGTGATAGGTGCATAACTTCACAGCGAGTGAAAAGGAAAATTTGGGTACATTAAGTTATTTCTTATAGAGAACAGAAACTTTCACAGTGCACTGGAAAACAACACTATGTAAAAAAAGTGGAGAAAACTGTGACTACAATTACTTTAGCAACAGAAAAATGCTCGAAGTAGTCTTTTCTTCCCGAGTAAGCTTACAGCTGGCGTTCTATTTCGGAGAAAGTTTTACGGCGCACAAATGGTTCCTTGACTTGACTAAAGAGAAGGATAAAGCTGGTTCTGCAAAGGGAATAAATCTGGGCATGTGAAAAAGTATTTACTAAGTAAACAGAATACAAGCGGTTTTTAATTCAGCCCGGCGAAAGAAGGCGAAATCAACTCACAAATATAAAATCCAATGCACAGTCAGAAAAATACTCGCCTCTTTGAAAATGCTCAAAACTTTTTATTCCACCTCAGACTGACGGAATGATCCTTTTTGCTTTAACATCGGTTGTTCTAAGTCCAAAGTAATTTTCAAGTGACGAACAACAAAAACCACACAAAGGTAAAAAGGCTTTTCGAGAAGCAAACATTCACACCTCGTGCGTTTCATTTCGTCTCAGCCAAAACTCTCTCAGTGACAAACAAACACAGTCGAACTCGGTCTGGTCAACACACAAAAAAGCCCGCCTTGAGCCTGCGATAAGAGATGCGCAGAAGCTTGCGCAGAACGTTTTTCCGCCCTGAACATCCGCCTCAACCGTTAAGTCCCAAAGAAACTGGGAACAAGCGTGGGGACTTGCTGCCATATTGAATTTTCTAAATCCTTACTTCTTTCGAATCTCTGTAAGTTTTACTACTTTGAAACTATTAAACGACAAAACAGAGCTTTTAAAAGCGTCTCAACAATGAGTGACGGCGACGAAACTGTATGCGAAGACGGTGAAGGTACAATGTCGCCCTCAATAATGACAGCCATATCGAGGTATTAGAAGACGTTGTTTACTTACGCTCAACAAACCCTTGCCCAAGTTTTATGTTGAAAGTAGATATGTAAAGGCAATGAGTTGTAAGATTAGCTTATGTCTCACCCTGACCCTAAAGTAAACTTATTAAAAAATGTGCTGAGTTAAGTTTATACAGTACAGTACTTTGTAGCTTGATATTTGTGCAACATTTTCAGATTTAAAGAATTTTGATGCAAAATTCTGAGATACATGTCAACAGTTTACATGTATCTTGTTCTTTCTTTTTTAAGGAAAAATCCCTTGGATCATCTTCCAGTTCATACTGAGAATGGATCTCCAGAATTTCTTCCTCCAAATGCAAAAGTGCAGAAATTAGGCAATGAGAATACAGGTGCCGTACCCAGAGAGCAGGCCAAAACATGTGCATGTGATCAGGATCTACAAAGCTTGAAACCAGATACTGCGTTCAACGCAGAAAAAACTGCGGCAGAGAGATTAAAGGAAATCAAGAAACAGGAGGGAAAAATTGAGGAATTGTTATTGGTGCTCAAGGCTCAACTAAAAGGGGAAGGTAAAGTTGTCAATGACTCACAAAAAAGAATTATGCTAGATGTCATCATCTACTTTGCAATCTCACGAAGCCTCGAACTACTATTATTTTAATTCTCTTCGGCAAAATTTTAAAGACAGATGACTGTCTAAAATGTTTTTCCTCATGCATGGCAGCATGTCATGATTTTTATCACAATAGGTGTCTTTAGTACACAACAAGTTTCATATGAAAAATGTGCTTTCATTTAAATGCAATAAAAAAGGTATATTTTGACTTAAATTTGATTGATGGAGATCATTGCAACATCTGGTGGCTTTAAAGTTCACCAAAACTCACTCTTTGATGTCAGCAATGAACAGTAACATTCTCATTAATTGTGAACTTCCAGAAAATATCCATACCCCTCCATGGAGTACATTTTTGTTTAGACCCCCACAATGAGGTCTAAAATTGCCTCCTTTTAGACCACCCTCTTCTTGAAGTTTCCACTGCCCTCTGTGGGGGTATGGATATTTTTGGAACTACACATTAAACAAAGTCAATTGCAGGTGCATCACTAAAAGAAAGCCCAGTCTTTGCGCAAGCCAAACTTCTAATGACACAGGTTAAAACTCAGTTGGCTGAGTTCACTGTCTATCTGCAACAACAAAGACAGCAGATTGCCCAGTACAGTAATGAATCACAGGATACTCATGATGGCTCAGAATCTCAACACACTTTTGACATCAGACAAAAGATACTTCAACTTGCTGCTCAACAAAAGGAGTTGTTAGCATGCTTTCAGTGTCATAAAAAGCTGCTGGACAAGATGCGGACATTGAAAAAGAGCACAAAGGCAAATGCAAAGAACACTTTACCAGCAATAGAAAAACATGTAAGTTCTCATTCAACCTCAACCTCACTTAACGTTTCAGTGTCAAATCCATCTGGAGTCACGGCACATAATTCAAGCATGATGGTCAATAAGTCTAGGCAAGATAATAAACAGTCAGTCAATGACAGTCAGCCTGCCCCACCTACAAGTACCCTCAAGCATGCTATGTTACAAAACAGTTCAGCTCTAACTATGGAAAGTTCATCTAGTGCTTCACAAACCATGCTCTCAGATAAACGCTCACAACTTCAACAAGCACCTTTAAGTTGTACTTCTGCGGCAGCTGAGAACAATTATTCATCCAGTGAAACACAAAGTCAGAGTTTACTGACACCTTTATCCATGCCTCGACAAAGGGCTCAAAATGTTGTCTTAACAGCAGGACAGTTTTTTCAAGTGGGGGACAAACAAGTGTATGTGTTACCACAAGGCTTACTTTCAAGCGTTACATCAGCAGCCGTGACACAGGTAACACAACCACAAGGATTAATTGCAACTACTGTTCAATCAACAGCCATGACACAGGGAAAGCATCTTCAACAAATAACACCATCACTTCATAAAACAACAGCAGCTGTAGCAACAAAGATAGCAGTAACACCAGCAAATCCTCTAATGACAAGTGTAACAAAGGTGCAGTCATCAGAAGGTTCTAGTCCCAGCACATTATTACTCAGAGGATCATCTTGTTGTAAGGATCAAACAACACAAAGTTTACATTCACAGCAGTCCAGTGGTAATGCACTACCCGTTACTGGAACCATACCTCTCACAAACATTTCTGTCACATGCTCTCCATCAACCAGTAGGATGTCAGCTAGCAGCAGTTCAACATTGCAGCAAAATAAAACTGTCTCTCAAACTTCCCAGTTGAGTAATCATGAAAACAAGCAAATAACATGTCCTGCTAACAGCACCACTTTCTCACCTGTGACAAATGAAAACAACAGACCTCCACAAATGCTAAGAAGTGCAAGAGTACAGACACCATCCCATAGGTGTTCAGGGCTGCAGAGCACAGTACAAGCCAACAGGTCAATTACATCCTTCACCTCTAAGGCCACTGTAAGTAGTAATGCATCTTCAGTCTTTGTTTCTGCTTACACCTATGCACATTATATTTCTTTCAACATTGTATCATTTATGAACTCACTCATGTCTTACCCTTGTGAGGAAGATGGGTTATACTGGGGTTTTTGATAACATACCTGGTCCCTTATCAGTTGATTTTGGTACTTTTTGGCTTACTTAAAGTGACTGACTTTTGTTTCAGCTCCACAATATACAAAAGGGGATGGTTTCAACAACTTTTATTTTCCCACCCCCTAGTGGAGGAATTCAGACACTTAAATTTCATAATGTTTATCAGGAGCATTCTTTACTGAACATGAAAATATTGTTGATTCTTTTAACAGGATGTTCAGTCCAAGAGCAGTCGAAGTCTACAGAGACAGAACTCCTTTGGTTCAGACCTGCCTGACATTAAAAGTCTACTTAGTAGTAATGTCATTGAAGCAGGCTCAAATGTTCTTTCCATACAGTTTGAGGTATACATATGATCCTGCTTTGTGTAAGATTTGTATGAAGTAATGATTTTGAGAAATGCTCTTATGATTATCTAAGGCTCTCAAAATATAAGCTATTTTATTTTGTAAAATTTGAAATAAAAAATGCCAATATTTCTGTATCTCCTGTATGACATGAATCTACATATTATCAGTACCACAATAACATTTAACAAATTCGCAGAAATCTTTCAGAGTGACTTCTAAAGTAATACCAGTGGTCATCTTTAAAACCTACATGTACTTTCCTCAAAAAATCAGGGTTATGTAGACATCCATAAACATCCAGGTAAAGTTTTTTCCTTGAACTCTGCGGTATTATTATTTATCTCAAAAATAATTTTAAAAAATTTCATTTTGTCAACAGGGGAGAAATTTTGAAGCATCACTACGGGCAAATGGCTTGATAGAGTCGGCTGGAGGGGAGACATTCCGAACACCAATGGCATGGATGAGAGCAGTGACAGGGAGTTGGACAACTGTTAAGCAATCACAAGCTTATAAGATGGTAAAATACATGTATAATGTAGATACAAATTAATATCACAGTGGAACCTCTTCTTACAGCTGCTATTAAAGCATGGACAACCATGATTATGGAAAGTTATCCTTGGACACTTTTGAAGAAATTCATTAGGCCAGAATAGTCAAAAATTAAGACAGTCAAATTCTTTACACATACATGTAGCCAAATTTTATCTTCAAGATATTAAGAGCCCATGACTGTAAATATCGAGAATCGCTGGCCAGGCTAAAAAAATCGAAAATTCTGATAACTTGTCCGAAAAACCCCTTTGGGGAACTGTCTTCGAAAAAAATATTTTCAACTTTCAAGAATCTATAGTTTTCGAGAAAATGAGCAAAACCGAAAATAGCGGTTTTTACCTAATTAATTATGCAAAAATTAGAGTAAAAATGACCTACTTTATCGCGTCTGTACCGAGACAAGATTCAAAGCTATAAAATAAAAATATTTTTGTTTAAAAGAATTCTATCTTTTCTTTCTATCCATAGTATGTTTTAGACCATAAACATGATTTTGAATTTTTTACAGTTTTTTAAAAACCACCACTAAGCGCACTTTTTAAAATGGCTAAAACATGAGCAACTTCAGAGGCAAAAAATTCACCTTGGTATGTGTGATACCTAGCCAAAATGTATACTAGGACAAAATTCAGCTCTTATGTTAACAGAGTATGAAATAAAAAATCTGGGTACTCCGGATTCGCCTTTACAAAATAAAAAGTTTCGTGACCACCAGTGGCAAAATGTCACAAATTTGCATAAGTCAAATTTGTAGAGAAATGATGCCGCCTGATTTTTCTTTGTAGTTTCGGTACGTGGTATATTCGAAACGTAGGAGAAAGGATGAAAGCGCCTTTAAATAAAGCTAAAATTAAGTAAAGGATCTGAAAAACTGATGTCCTTGATAACAAATTGCTCTGAAGGTTGGTGACACAATGTGGCAAATTTGCATATAAATGAATCTCATATTCCTATTGTACACAAGGACGGGTTTTAATACAGTTAGCATCACGCAATATTTGAGGCTTGAACATAACCAAGAGAATAGCTAATGTTAAATGTTTTGTAATTTGTATGTTAGCTTTTCTTAATTGTACATTATAAAATTAAGGTTGCTCAGCAATTGTTGTTGGTTGTTGGAGTACTCACTGTATTCTGCAATTGCGTGACCGTTGTTAAACTCAGCACAGTCAGACTTAATTTTACCGGTACGATAAAAAATGTGAGTTTGTGAAGCGTGTAAAGAAATATTATTCCTGTCAGATGACTTAACTTTACTTTATTCACCAGAATGAAATTCGCGGTCATACATCTTTCTTGGAGTGGGCACATGCTTTTATGGTTCATTCGTCACTCATTTTAGACGATTTGCCATTAATAACACTATACATCAGACCCTATAAGTTTTCAATCAATAAAAATCCGAAATAGTTTATTTTCTCAGTAGTTTTTTAAAGTTATGTTTTGGTGAAATCGTCTCGTGTATTAAAAATAACGTAAGTAAAGACAAGGTTAAAGTAATCATTGCTCCCTTTTCTCTCTTTTATGAAATTCTTCCGCCTCCTCTTTCTGCCTCTTCACTATTCGTGCGTTCAACACTATTAAGTCCAGACACGATTTCCAACACCCAAAGATGGTCAAAGATCGCAGAGTAGACCGACCCGTAATTGTGCCATTGATTAGTTGAAACCTTCATTGAACGGACCTTCATGGATCCTTGCAATTGTCCTCTCAATAGAAAAAGTAAATCAGATGGAGGGAGTACTGCCGACACTGGGGTCGTTTTGGTGTTTTTTTTTTTTAACAATGAATATCCTTCATGAACCCATTTAGCTTTCCATTTATTCACAAAGGTTATAAACTGATCAAAATCAACAAGGATGGATTTTTCCACTGGTACCTCATTTAGCAAATTTTCACCTATCCTCATGTATCTTGAGAGAGTTACACACACACAAAAAGCAATATTTGGGGTAAAAAAATCTACTTCCCATTTTTCTATTCACCTTCTATTCTCCACAGATTAATTAAATGTCCCTTTCCTGAAAAGTTAGCCAGCCAAAATTCCTTGCAAAACAAAGACAGTGGGAAGACGATCAAGTGCTGGAGCAACAGAAGAAGAAAGTCAAAGGGAGAAAAGAGAGCGGGAGAGAAAGATCGATATAGGTTCGTAAGAGATGTCCAAAGTTTGGCTTCTGTGAATGCGCCAAAAAAGCTTCTAAATTAGTGTACGTCCAATTGAGCAGTCTTGTGTTGCAAATCTCTTTTTCAGCCATTCCCACATCAAGTTAACTAGCTAGCCTGCATAACAGGCGTGCGTTTTTCAGGCGAGGGAAGGCAATTGAGCCCGACCCAGATCGAATGCAAGCGCGAAGCGAGTGAGGAGAACCATTAAGGGTATGTCTGGGGTGGAATGCAACAAAACAATGGTATGTGGACAGGCCATTGTTTTCTCTGCTTCCCCATCGCCCCTGTCTGGCGCTTCTCACTCACTAGCGCTTGCCTTCGCTCTCCCGCCAAAACGCGAAAAAAATAACGTCTATTATCGTCTATCAAAAGGCTATCGTATTAACGTCTATCAAAAGGCGGGGTTTTTTCCTACTAAAATTGGCCGCCAAAAAGACTTAAAGGGGCTATGCCAATTGCTAGTTCATTTTAAAAAGCTAATATGGTCTTTATTTCGCATCAATTTGTTCCAAAAACTATGGTCCAGTTTTGTTATGTAAGACTATATTTAGGCACTGAAACTGTTTCGCATATGACCTTGATTTGGGGTCTTCTCAGAGGGAGCCCAGAACCCCCGCCTCATACATCGACAATCTGTAACCAGCTGTTCTCATGTTTATTTCCTACGGGTGTATAATATTAGATACTGTCCAAACTTAAGGACACTGTAATGAGAGGGCCTGCTGCTAAGAGGGAAATATCTAAATATTGGATTTTTTTTGCCTGGTATCACAAATGCCAAGAGCGAAAATTTTCAGGGTCAAAATTCCAAACCAAAGAAAAAATGTTCTTTCGTAATTTTTTTTGGTAACGGCACATGTTATTCAGCAATTAAATAGCCCCCACCCCCCTCGCATATGCCATAGCTAAACATCAATTTAAGAGCAGTTTATCGCATAACTCTTCTTTCCCTTTGTCTGAAGTTCTTTCCTTCTTTACTTTGGGAAATGGTTGGGCGTAAATAAAACCGCCGATGCCACTTACTTACCTCGCTATGTTATTTAGCTCCTTGGTCGCTATCCCGGGGGGGGCACTTGGGTATTTTTCGGGTGGGTATGTGCCGCCCGGGACTCCAAATTGGCACCCCGTTCTAAAAAAAATTTCTCCTGAAATTGATACCCCGTTCTAGAAATGGGCCAATTTTTTATACCCCGTTTTAGAATTCGCTTTAAAACTGATACCCCGTTCTAGAAATGGGCCAATTTTTTATACTCCGTTCCAGGGTGCAACAAGAGTATAACAGTTTGCTTGTTAACGCATTGAACCGTATTTTTAAAAGCAATCTGTCCTTGAATAATTTCAAATGGCTGCTTACAAAAGTGGAGCTTTCGTGCGTTCGAAATATTATACCCCTTTCTAGAAATAGCTTCTGAAATGGATACCCCGTTCTAAACCAGGAGCTTCGAAATCCCGACCCCGTTGGGCGGCACATACCCGTATAGGTAATGTATGGGAGTGCCCCCCCCCGGGGTCGCTATCAACTACCCTGCGAGCGGAGGCCCTTCGATGTTCCTGATAAGTCGGGAAGAGGAAGAGAAGGGTAGCTAACAACTTAACAGTGATTCGATCGGTCGTTTCGGTGTGAAGGCACGAGCTGGGACATTGCGGGTACAGTGACGTTAATACTCCAGAGCAAAAGGCAGGTATTTCTTTAAACAAAACTCGGGTCTGCTGTAAACTGAAAAACGTAATCAAGTTACGCTTTTACTCTATATACTAACCGGGCAGTAAGGCGACGCTACTTACGTCGATACAAGTCTGTTGCTGCATATTGCGATAGGCCATGGGCGTCAAGGATGACCTTTCTGATGCTTCTCTTTTCAAGATGATGCTACGTTTTGCAAGCACTCGACATGGGTGGGAGTTGGTTAGAGCAGCTGAAAAGTGGTGAACAAGGAGTCTTACCTTCCATGGACAAATCCAAGTCGCATCGCCGTAAAAGGGATTTACTCTTTTAGAGTACAGTTGATCCTCCAAGTGCTAGTACCTACCTTAAGCGACCACCTATCCAAAACACCAAAACCCACCTGGTTTAAGTCTTACAGTTGGAATCCCTTTTGTAAGCGCCCGCGACCACTAATTGGGGCCGACTGTTTAATGATTTTGCATTGTTTTTAACCTCTTGTAAGCGACCACCTGACGAGTTTTCTGATCTCTTGTGGTAGGAACAACAACATGTAACTGCACATATGTTATATCGTAACTTGGAAATTGCATGCAATAAATTATCTTCCTTAAAGTAGATGTGTCCAGTTTTCTTCTCAAAGAATCCTCCTGTGGTTCGATTCTCGTAAGAGACCACCTCGCGTTAGCGACCACTAAGTCTTCGCATTTTGGGTGGTTGCTTTCGGTAGGTTCGACTGTAGTCTCCTTTTCCAGTTCTTCGGCGGCGTCGGTTGGAACTTGTTTTGGTTCATGGGTTTGGCGTATAGATTTACCCACTAAGGCGCTGCTACATTATATTTTGAAATCAACAAATATCATTTTGTATTTGAAGGAAAACGCACGCCCCTTGGCAGTTGGTACAACTCCGCGATGAACTAAAAGGGGCAGTTTTTTGCGGGAAAGAGGGCCTAAGGCCTTTGGTAGCTGCCTAATTATACCTCTATTTGTGAAAAAAGTAAAGAAATTAACCAAGGGACGGTTTGTTGTTTGTAATACGTAGTAAAAAAAATCAGATTTCAACATCTCTGACAAGAAAATGCTAAGTTTTAGTGCGTGACTGACAGGCATGCAAAGCTAGAATTCCTTATTTCTGAAAAGAAAATAATCTAGTGAGAAACAAGTGATGTTGCGAACAACGCATTGTCTGTTCAAAACAAAGTTTCCATAAAATTTCATAAGGAGAAAAAAATCAGTAAAAGAAGGCGGAGTTGCTCGAGACGTCGTTGCGTGACATTGTTAGTCTAACTGTTCGGTTTATGACTTCCTCTCACGCTGTGCATCCCGTTGGCAAAAAACCTCCTTCAAAATAAATTTCAAGGAAAAAGTACCTACCTATTTTAGATATACCGGAGGCGAATTTACGATGATACAGATGGATGCTAATACAAGGATGTTAGGAAAAGAAACGAGAGACATGGGATATAGTTTACATAATAATTCGGCGCTTTTCAATATAACGCTTCTTGGAGGTAGTTTTTTATTATTATTTTTTGTGAATGGTTAATTACTCTGATATTTTAACATCAACTTTATCAAAAACCGTTTTCTTGCTTCGTGATGTTTTCGAATATTATATACTGACCCTGAACTGAAACAAAACCGGCTGCCGCAACAACTCTCTACAAATTTGACTTATGCAAATTTGTGACATTTTTCCACTGGTGGTCACGAAACTTTTTATTTTGTTAAAGCGAATCCGGAGTACCCAGATTTTTTATTTCATATTCTGTTAATATATGAGCTGAACTTTGTCCTAGTATACATTTTGGCTAGGTATCACACATACCAAGGTGAGTTTTTTGCCTCTAAAGTTGCTCATTTTTTAGCCATTTTTAACAGTGCCATTGATGGTAGTTTTTCAAAAACCATAAAAAATTCAAAATCAAGTTTATGGTTGAAAACATACTATGGATAGAAAGAAAAGATAGAATTCTTTTAAACAAAAATATTTCTCTTTTATAGCTTTGAATCTTGCCTCGGTACAGACGCGATAAAGTAGGTCATTTTTACTCTAATTTTTGCATAATTAATTAGGTAAAAACCGCTATTTTCGTTTTTGCCCATTTTCTCGAAAACTATAGATTCTTGAAAGTTGAAAATATTTTTTTCGAAGACAGTTCCCTAAAGGGGTTTTTCTGACAAGTTATCAGAATTTTCGATTTTTTTAGCCTGGCCAGCGATTCTCGATATTTACAGTCATGGGCTCTTAACAATCTTAATAGCTGTAAACCATCTTTGCACGCTTGAAAGCTGTCTCAAAATGGCTGCACCACTACTTTGAGAAAGACAGTTGACAACTATGGAAAGTGTCAACATCTTAAAGCAAAAAAAATGGCTTTAACTTTTTATGTGAAACGTTTTGCAATAATGTGAAAACATAGCTCTTAGTCTGTCTCTTTGGTGTTGATGTCAAGGAGTTTCATTATAATCTGTGTACCAGCTGATCAGTTACCAGAGAGTTGGTGGTTTAATTTCCTACAATGTTTTTGTGGGCAAATCACAATCTTATTTTTCCTGTCACTCCTGTGCATGACTACTATTTAGTATCTTGCATCACATTGTTAAACATCCGAGGTTATTATATGGCTACAATAGTACGCGCACTCTGATTGGTTGCTAAGTGAGCATTATTTCTTTGTAATGACCGGGCATTATTCACAAGCTGTTCAAGGTATATACAGCGAACATTTGATAGCGAAGATCCATGTTATGGTCAATTGACAGCTGTCAAAAAGGGTATCCCCTGACCAGTGTCACATGACTATATCACAGACTCAAGTGTACAACTCGCTGAGGTGATCTTTTTTTTTTTTAAGTTATGCACTCACCAATTATTGATTTTTATTGATCGCAGGCTCAATTACTTCCGGTGTTTAATATCAATAGTACTAAAAAGGCCATATGATAAAAAACTTTTGAACCTCATCCATTCGGTCATTACAGGGAATTCTCAGACCCCGGCCTATCCTTACTCTTGGTTGATAAGTGGTATGTTATTCTTAACCTTGAGGTATAAGCGGATTATGTCCCCAATTTCCTTTTTTGATGAGCTCTTTTTGACCTGCTTTACCATATTTTTTTAAGGTGCACTATAAAGGAAAGCCCCTTGCTTTGTTCACAATCCCATCCATGGAGAAAGGTATTGCCAATAACTAAACTTGCAGGCTTCTCTTTTGGGCTACTTTTTACTAATGGAACAGTTATTTGAAAAGAAGTATGATTGCTCTTTGCATTCACAGTTAAATTTATTTTAAATCATACTTTCAAACTTAAGATTACTCTTACAAAATTAAGCCAAATTATTCTAATTCATGATATTTTTTTCTTTCTTCATGTTTTAGGATGCTTTCCACGACACAACAAAAATAATAATTATAGCACTAAGTTATGAATTTTATAGTTAGTGATACTCTTATACATTTTCAAAGTTAAGTTAAATATTTTTTCATTTTTTTTTATTACTATTGTTTAGAACCTTGTGAAAGAAATGAGCTACAAAATGAGGGCAGGGCACAAGATCAACAAGGCAAACCCAGCAGACATGAAAAAAGTGGGCTTATCACAAGTTGGGATGATATGGCCCAACTTCTTACTACTTGCCAAGTAATACCAATCAGTAGTGATGAATTTATTCCAACAGACAGCTATTTTCCAGTTAATTTCTGGGACATGTCATGTGAGGTAGATATACCACAATGTGTCTTAGAGGAACTGAATTTTTGAGCTTATTATCTTAGTGGGTGAACCTTTGAAATAAGATTATGATGAGAAGACAGACGTTGTGCAACAGCGAGGCAAAAGTTCTTATTGTTTAATTATGTTAGCTGTACTCACTGATTGGGATTGGTGGTGGGGATTTCTCTTCCTACATAAACCAGGTTAGTAAAGGTGCATTTTAAAATAATGCAAAACTTTAAAAATTTACAATGGGGACATTTGTCTGTGTCAGATTTAAACCACAAGGTATAATGTTTCTTGATGAAGACAGGATGTGGAACATTCTCGTTCTTTTTACATGAAGTACATGATTTACAGTTTTGTTGTTGTTACACCAACCACATGACAATATATTATTTATTTTTATTTATTGCTAATGTGAGTCATCAACATACATTTTCAAGTTAAACTTTTGATTCTTCCCTCTAACTTACTGTATAAATCATTACTTTGCTACAGACATGTGTACATGACTGGAAACAGCCTGTTTTAAGATCCAATTAAGGCACTAAAAATATTTATGTACATATCCTTTTTAGTTCTTTAATAGTCAGTTGAAGTGATGTATAAGCTTGGCAGTTTTTATCATTAGAGCATCTGTAAGTAAACTGTTAAAATCAATGTACATTTGTGTACTGGTTTTGTGTAATACTCTCACCTTTAGTACACAATTATCAGACTTAATAAAAAAAAAAACTTTTGACAGATGCACTAAATAAGTTGACAAATATCTTTTATAACAAACAACCTTCGGAGGCTAATAGGACTAAAACTCTCATCAAATAACCAAAGCCTCTCTATGAATGCTATTACTACCTTCCGTTATGCTGGCCTCAACGCATTCATCTGCATGTTGCTCTATCTGAGTCACTGGAAATAGCTTTGAGCAAATTGGACATGGCAAAAACTCAACCTCGGGCTCTGTGACTCTGGGTGCAGCATCCGAGTCACCAATACAAAAGGAAGCATGGAATTCAACCTCTTTTGCTGGAAAGAGTCTGTTGCATAGTGGGCATTCCACAAAGGAAGTTGATTCTTTATCCTTGACAGGTGATAACTGGAACTCTGCAGCATAGAAGGGCTTTTCCTTCTCAGGGTGTTTGCTTTCAAAACTTGAGTACAACATAGACGGGAGATCATCATCATCTTCCACAAGAACTCTTGTTGAGCTAACAGGGAAATCAGTATCTTGTACATCATCAAGAGGAATTAACTCAGGAGGTTTAGCAATATACTGGCCTTTGATCTCATGTGCTGGGACTGTTGAAGTAGAAGACTGTGTTGAAAGTGGCTTTGTATTTTTTCTGACTCCTTCTTTTAGGACAGTTCTTTTTCTGCAGTTGAAAAATGGTCCATTAATGTCAACATTCAATGCATCAGAAATTGGAAATATTTTTGCAATGAGCAGTTAGTTCAAACATAGATAGTACAAAGACTAACTTAAATGTTTTTTGGACTAATCAAGCATTACATTTAGTACGTAACAAGTATTGTAAGACACTACCATAGTTAATTGAGTGGAATGGTTATGAAACCCATCAGACTCCTTTGTTATATGTTTTTGTGGACCTGAAAGTGCACAACGTTCAAAAGAATTCGTATCATTTTGATTGTATCGACCAATAAAAACGTTGCATTAATTTATTCCGTAACAATTTGCCAACAGAAAACAAAGGATTGTGCACTTTCACGGTGCTTTGAACATAAACTGCAGCACTGTTGTTTTTATCATTGATGTTTGTCGCTTTTCATAACCAGTCTCCTCTAATAACTATGGACACTACTATCTGTGACTTGTGTGTTTACCTGCTAATTGTAGCCATTGATGTGCTGTATCACGGTAAACATTTTAACTTTGATTGCGTTGAAAAGGTTATTTGAGATACAGTTCACACTACTGTTACAACAGACCTTTGATTAGGACATTTATTCTTTTCATATGTTTCTTTGGTGACTTTCTTGTTCAAAGTTGGGCTGTCTTGAGGATCACTTCTGGACAGTTCGGCAACATCACCCTTCAAATAAGCATATAGAGAAGCAAAGATAGTTTAAAAGTACTACAACTTACAACATTACAAAGAATATAATTTGATCCAATGTATTTACTTTACATGAAATACTAGAGACACAGTGCACTGTAGTGGGCCACTAAGAACTTACGACTTACACTAACACTTGGATCTCAGAATTTTCCAGGAAAATTCTTTCTAGTATAATAATAATTTTAAAGACATAACAACAATCTGATGGTACTGGAGGATGACTCCTACCTCTAGATCTTCTTCTGCCGGTGTTAATTTCTCGATTTCAGCCTTAGCCATCTAAAGCAAAAAAAAAAAACAAAAACAAAAAGAACCAATATTAAAACACAAGCATGTAAAGGGAGAAGTTTGTTTTTGGTCCCTAAAGCCGTTTTAGGGCCCATTCAAGTTAAACACGACACCACCAAAGGACTGACTTGTACCTCAAGAAACACTTTTTTCTCCAGCTTAGTAAGGGCACATCCCCTCTGTGATTCCATTTGGCTCCTTAAATCTGTGAAAATAAGAACACTCACGTGACTTTAACTCATTTGTAGTTTGTCTCAAGATGTACTCACTATAGCACTTAAGATACAAACATCACTTAAAAAAAGATGTGGGCATTTAAGTCTGCTATGTTTATCCCACACCTCAAGATAAGAACTTCCTTATGCCAGTTTTTCCTCAATTGCAGTACCTCCATTTTATTTTTCATTTTTATGAACTTGCTTAGCTGTGCATTTCATACAGTGGTTTTTATAGAGGGTAACACTTGTTGAAAGTACTTAGAAAATAATAATGTTTTTGTTATGATTGGTTGTCCTGTGCAATTGGATCACATGATTGTTGTGTACATCAGAATATACTCTGCTCTTGTTCGAAGTAGGATGTTCTCAATCTCTTTACTCATAACACTTTTAACATTTGCAAGATTCTCATGGATGGGGGAACAAGGGGATTTTCTTTGTCACCAGCTGTAATGTGCCAGTTTTCACCATAACACAAATTTGAACAACATTCACTTTTGCACCTTTAAAGGTAATTTTTTCAAGGTCCATTCTGGTAAAATCAATTTCTTCTAGAAATAAAGCAACTTCATCATGAATCTATCAAAAAAAGAAATAGGATAATCAGCAAGATCTCACCAATCTAGGATGAAAACATCAATAAACCAAGACAAGCAAACACTTACTTACTGTACCTCAAAGAGATTATTTTTAGAGGAACCACTAAATTAAAATCCCTTTTCAAAAATGTATCCAAAATACATTTAACAGTCCCAAGCACTAGATGACATCTGACTGTTCTAATTAGTTATTTTAAGATTTTAAGGCAAATTTCTTAAAACTGTCTGAAACAATATTTCATAAATATAGATTCTTAAGGCATACTTCTGATATTATTTTTATTCAATTATTGAAAACCCCTTTAACCCTTTAAGCCCCAATATCCACATACAAATTCTCCACACTGATCTCTATAGATTTCCTTCATGGATGGGTTGAGAGAAATTGATAAAAGATGAAAGCGTTGTCTCCTAGGTGATCACTTTGTTACTTCTCATAACCTAATCTCTTGACATTGTATGGATATTGTTAGGAGAAAATTGATGTTGGTCACTATTGGGACTTAAAGGGTTAAACAATACACAAGAGGGTATTAAATGCATCATGAATGATTGCTAAGCAACACATTAATAATGCATTAAACAACAATAATAAACATTAATATGACAATCTTACATCCCCAGTAAGGCTATATTTTCTTTCCTCCTTCTTTTTCTTCTTCTTATCACTTGGTCCTGAAAGTAAATTTTAGCAGTTAAATAATGTTTTCAGTAATTTGCTGGTTTTCCTCACCATGGAGGTTAAAAACTTTCTTTTTACAGTGAATATACAGTGGAAGTCCTCAGTCAATATAACAAAGGGCCATGAGGATGACAAAATGTATTCGCTATAAGGAGGTTTCATTATATAACTGCGCTACTGCCAACTGTTGATGTAGCTGTGCATAAGACTTGCATAAAATGAGCACAATACTGAAAGGTGGAAAGTATATACCAGTCTCTGTTTTGTTTCCCATCAACCAGTGATCATGAATTTCCATGCGGTAAAATCACTTCACAAAAATGGCTATTTAACACATGTTATTGCAAAATAGATCTTCTAAATCGAAACCCTATTGATCAAAAACTCTCTACCTGCTGAAGGCATCCTGTTCCCCTAAATTGATACTTAGAGTTGCATCACTACGTTAGTACCAATGCTAACCTTTACAATTACTAGGGCTAGGAATACCATTTGTTATACCATGGACTTCAAATAGAGGTTCATTAATGTTACGGCGCACTGACAAAGAAGGGCAGAGTATTTCATTAGGACATTAACTCTACTGCTTGAACTTGCAGCGATTGAAGAAAGTTGCTGACTGAGAGGGCATATAGCATAATATACAAGACAAAGTGCCAAATAAGGAGATACCATGTGGGGTAAAACCACAGCGATCAGCAGGCTCACAGGTTATTGCTTGCCAACATTAACTTTTATTTTACGCTAACATATCATTTATATTGAGGTTCCCCTGTAGTGATGTAACTTTAAGCTTATGAAGTGTTCAAAAGAGTGCATTGTACACATGTGGTGTCCGTGGTATCAGAATGCTGACACGTGATAGCTCACTAAGCATAAATGCAGCATATTTAAATGCCGGGTAGTGTTGCAGATTTTCTATGGAATTTTAAGGTACATTTATCGTCTCCTTTTTTTTCCTTGTCTAATATTTTTTCTTGTGAGAGGGGTTCCTGGCCTCTGCATGGTCTCATGGCTCAAAGTTACAGGAATTGCAAGCAATGAGAGCAGTTATTTTCCTGCTGCCAGCTGGTCAGGCACCTATTGTTTATACTGTACAATACAGCTGTGACCTTGGTAGGCCTGTTTTCAATTTACAATGCTCCTTGGAATAATTCCAAGGAGCATTGTAATTATTAATCCCTGTAATAATAGTAATTAATACTAACAAGTAATACCTGGCAAATATAAACAAACCTTCACAAGGTGATTGAGAGTTTCTTCTCTTGAAAGGACTTTCAGGACTGGATGAAATCTCTGCAGATGCGTGAGACAGTGATCTCTTGTTCTTTATGTTGTTTCTTGGTGTTCCTGAGGATCTACCATCTAAAGCAGCCTGCAACATTTTTCCTGCTCTATTTAGCGAGACATCTGGTGGGCTATCCTTTTCTAAACTCCTGTAAAATGGTTGTTTAAAGGTTATCACCACCACAGTGAGTGAAAAATTAGCAGACAACACAGGTCTTGTTCACATTTTCAGCGAGATTAACTACCACAAAGAAGGCAACAGCCTCTTTCAGTCAGTTCCCAAGAAATATTTCTGTCACCGATCTCACTGCTACTTCCACTTTAAAATGAAGTAATATAAAAGGTATGCCACACCATTAGGCTCTACATGCCTGCTTTCTTTGAGCAGCAGTGTTGGTTACCGTTTTTTGTAATCTTTTGACTAAGAGCAATGAAGGAGAAAGCTAAAAAATAAGGCACTTAATCACAACCAGCATGATCTATCACTTTTTGATGTTTGCTAGAACTCCAGCCTCACAGACCAGTGTTTTGCAAACTGAACAAACCAAGATGTCAGTGGCCAGGATCACTAACAGTTCATGTCTCCAACTGTGGGGTTGACCATTTGGCAAAATATTGGTTGAAAAATAAATATTTGAACTAATTTAAACAGTCAGTGGAAGTTTCTTGTACCTTAGGCATCCCATTAACCCAGAAGCCTTCTTTAGTCGCATTACACCATCCTCATCGGTTTCTTCATCAGACTGCTTTGTCGATGTGGGTGTGACTGCTATGCCAGACACCCCTTCAGGAGATTCTGTTCCTAGATCATCTGGAACAGACCCCATCCTCAAAAAGGACAGTCCAAATTGTTTATCATGCCTGTATGGTTGACGGCAGACAACTCTTATTCGATCCCACTGACTTCCTAGGGCTTGTTTGGAAAAGGCACCTGCATAAATAAGTTGGAAATTGTTCAGGTCCATTTATTGTATTTACATGACCTAAAAAAACTCTTTTTGCTGCATCTTGCACAATACAGTGTGACAGAGGAGGTAAATTCAAAGCTAGTGAGATACAACTGGCCAGAGTGAGACAAATGAACCTAGGACATTTGGATTACGAGGCTATTCTGCGGACAACTCAACCATGCTGCTTTTTACAAATCACATAGTTATTAATGTTTTATCATTTATAACAAACTGCAAAGCTGGGCCCAGTTGCTCGAAGCATGGTTAGCGTTAACCAGCGTTTAATACCTTGACAACGTATTGGTTTTGATACTGCTTAACCAATGGTTAAAGCTAACCATGCTTTGAGCAACTCAGCCCTGATGACAAAATATTAAAATACATACTCTGATTGAACATTCTAACAGTGTGTGTCTTGATCCAGTGTTTACATTCATTTGGACTCATAAGCATAGCTGAAGGTAGCAAGGTTACATAAGGCTTGTTCTGAGACCACATAGAGTTTCCAACCAGGATCTCAATGAATGCAGAGCCACAGTTACCTAACAAATTACAAAGTGAGATCATCACCTGGCCAAGATATATATACTGAACAAGTGGAAGACAATGAACGCTAGCATTCTGAACAGGTACAGTTTACTATAGTCCTCAAAAATCACATTAAATTTCACTGCTCGCATGCAATGAATGTGGGAATAAAGATTTGAATAGACCATTTCCTAGTTTGCGCCAGAATTTGTTTCAAAGCAAGGCTAAGTAAAGGTTTACAGTAAGAATTCTAGTATTGAGAGAACGGTGTAACCTTGCAGGAGAATATTTTGAAACAGGCTCCACGTCTGAATAAAAGCCAGATTCTCATGGCAATTTAACTAATTTTTACAAGAAAGATTTTGTACTTTGCCTTGATTTAATTGTAAATGAGAGTTTTTTGGAACTCAGGAGTGGTCTATTAATTTGTAACACCAGTTGTGGCCCTTATTCTACGATTCTACTTTAATATTAACTGTTCAGTAATAGAATCTATGGGGGAATACTTGACCTAGCTTGATTATAGAAGCAGTTTGTAATGCAAAGACAGTTTATCATCCTTAGGGTTAGGGGGGTAATCCATATTAAAGGAGCACAGATGATTGTTGCCTCTCTTGGGAGTTTAAATAACAGATTTTTGTATCACCTAGGGTGATCAGGAAAGAACACCACTATCTTGTCTCATTTGAGGTCTTTGTCAGGGCTGAGAATAGCGAAATAAAGAAAGCAAAAGAAAAATAGCAGGGAAAAAAAAAGAGAAGGCATTCAATATTAAAACGTCTTTAACTATAAGCCTTAATTATAGACCACATTTGTGTTTTTGTTTAAAATGCCATCTTTCAGGGATCAAATAAACCTCATGCAATGTCCAGATTCTTATCCTTTAGGGCTTTAACTCAAAGTTTTTCTTGGGTAAAGTTCTGGGCAGCACCTCGCGGCGTTCCCTCGCGGCAGATCAAGTCAGTTGTTAAACAACCCCCCTTGCCCCGTGCCTTGGGCTTTGCCTAAAACCCGGAATAGGCTTCGGAAAGTCCACACCGAATGCCGAATGATTCGCCGAATGGTTTTAGGCAAACCTGCAAATTCCTCCACAAACAAATCACCAAAGAAACGAGAGACCCCGATTACGGTATATCAAAGAAGCCTTTTAGGTTTTGTGTCAAATCAAACAAAACAGCCTAGGTGCATGTAAACAGCGCAGTTGTGTATTATTGTTCAAACCATAATGGCAAACTTTAGCCCAAAATATCGTAATTAATTATTGATACACACCAATATCAATGTGGCTTATGTAGGAAGCCTTTTCCAGTTGAAATTCAGCCTCTATTCGACCACAATTCATGTCTTCCTTTGCGATTTTCCAAGTGCTCATGCCGTCGGCTTTACCTTTGCACAGATTCTCAGCTTTAAAGATGGCATCCTAATAAAACAATAAGTTATTACAGCTTAAGCATTAATATAAAAACTGAAACTTATAAATACAGCAGAAGTAAGATTCATTGGCGATATTTCTTACCTCGGAACTGAAGCGAACAACAAACGACAAAGCAACAGGCGCCATCTTGAAAATTGGCGGGAAAGATCGAAGGGAATATCACGTGACTATTGTAATTTCTGTCGATCCAGTCCCTCATATTGCTTACCCGTTGTTTCGCCTGGTTGATAATGGTAGAAGTTGTTCGAAACAACTTCGAGGATGTTTTTCCTGAGATCAAGGAAGCTATCGAAGAGAGTGCCTTCGTGGGTATGTGAGATTTTGTTATAGAAACCTAAATTGCTGATGACGGTCGTTCCCGATCCTAAAAAGACCTGACTAAGACCCATACTCCGCAGGTTACAATACTAAGTTCATAGTGTACTTGGTCTGTAAAGGGCATGGTCGAAACTAGGAATTTCAAACTTCTCTACTGCTCAACCTCCCCTTCTACTTCATGACACTAGAAACTTCAGTGAGGAAGGAGAAAGACCTGTTTTGAAACATGCCTTTGTTGATTTGTTCGTGTAAGTTTGGCCACCAAACTGAGACAACTCTGTCTACAGGTACACCCCATGTCTTACCCAGCAGTCACCAGGGCTGTCAACCCCCCACGTCTTCAAATATTGAGAATTGATGGGGAAGGGATGATAGATGACATCATAATGCACGGCACATGACGTCATTGTGAAAAAAACGTGCCAAAAAGATGTTATTGGAATTGTATCATTTGACCTAATTGGTTTACTTCCTACCAATCATTATTGCGTATATTGCAACGGCATACCAGATTTTGTGAGAAAATGTTTGATGTTAACAGTAAAGTAGATCAAATAAGGCAACGTATTTGAAATTTCATTGTCAAAAAGTCGAATCTACAAGAAATGGCAAACTTTGGCGATTATCCAGGAGATATCAGACTAATCTGGAGACCAGGAGAAACGGTTCAAAATCTGGAGTCTCCCAGATTATCTGGGAGAGTTGATAGCCGTGAGTCACTGACTAGTGGAACTTGGGTGGGATTTGTCAATAGAGAAGTCCTTCACCAGCATCTTTTGGGCAAGTCCCTCTCCCCCCCACCCTCAGCTTTTGAAATTATGTTAGGTGTAATAATATGCCTAGCATTTTAATTTTCCAGATCTTTGTAATGGCTTTTGTCTTACAATGGCATGGCCTCTGGTCACTGCTAGTAAGAAATCCTCGTGTGAATTTCGTAAGAAAAGTTTATTGGTAAATTAGTTTATTGAACTTAATGTTTGCAAAAGGGGGAGGGGGGTACACAAGCATGTAAGACCCGCAGCCATGCCCACAGCTGTTGTACCGGTAGAAACCACCTTCAAAGATGGTATATCTACACTAAATACTTACATATAAGTGAACCCAATGATATATTTTCTTTCAACATTATTTCATTTGTAGCTATTGATGCAGAATTTACTGGTCTTCATACAACTGATGGCTCTCAACCAAGGTATTGTATTATGAATATTGACCCCCTCTTTGTGCGTTTCCAGGAGGGAAAATGTAAAAAAAAGCGTCTGGGGTAGCAAGTGGACCAAAACAGGGGGAAAGGGTAGGTTTGAGAAGCAATTTAATATTATGAAAACCAGGGTGGCGCAGTGGTGAAAGCACTTGCCTCCCACCAATGTTTTGTGGGTTCAAATCCCAACATCTATGCCATATTTGGGCTGAGTTTGTGGTTTGTTCTTTCCTTTGCTCCGAGAGGTTTTTCTCTGGGTTCTTCAGTTTTCCCCTCCCCTATATGCTTCCAAATTTGAATTTTATCTTGAATGCACTGACATTTGCAAAACAGTTCTTACATGTAATAGTCCTGGGGCCAATTTCATAGAACTTTTACTTAAGTGTAATTTACAAGTGTGCCCATTGTTTTAGTGTCTAGAAACAAGAGCTACACTTGTAATATTATAGTTATGTTAAATTGACCCCTGTTCCATCCCCACTTGTGTAAGAATATACATAATAGTTTTTCTATTTTATCCTTCCCAAGGTTAATTAGCCAGAAGGGTGTCCAGCTGTCCTATGGATGCCCATTTTTGGAAGAAATACAAGGAAAATTCACTTAATCTCTTATAATTTTATGGAAAAACACGTGCTCTGGATGGTCAGTTTTCAATGTCTGGCTAGAAGCCTGATCGACCCTTCCTGTATTGCCTAAAGTGAACTGCAATTTTATATTGAAGTGGCTATTTTTCAGTATGTTCACAGTACACTTCTGTCTGTAACTCGATTGTTATTCTCTCCAGCTTGTTTGATGATCCTGAAACAAGATACAAGAAATTAAAGAGAACAGCTTCCCAGTTTCTGATCAGCCAGTATGGTGAGTTCTAAACACTTTTCTTGAATTAATTTTTTGCCTGCATGCAGACGACTCCTATTTCCTTTGTTGCACGTGGAAAAGAAACATGTTGTGCAACAAGAGACGTTTGCGTGCAGTCAACTTGAATTTATGACTTTAATACAGTAATATCATAGATTCTTTTAATTGAGTATGAGCACCTACATGGTAATGAAATGCCAAATTTGTAAATTCACTGGCCTGTTGCAGGCATTTAAGACCATTTAAGCAATAGAAAAAGTTTTCCGTGTTTGCATAGCCTGATATAAACACGAGAAGGGTTGAGAGAATTCGAGACAGTTATGCAAATCCGCAGTCAACTTGAATTTTATATCAGGCTTTATTATAGATTCTTTTAATTTTGTATGGCTATTAAAAGAGAAATTCTTACCAGGTGCAAAATCCCGCTAAGTCTGTTAATTCTTGAAAAAGATGCCAAAATTTGTAAATTCACTTCTTTTGGCCTGTTTCAGTGGATTTAAGACCATTTTGAACTGGTAAATTGCAGTTAATAGACTAGATGGACAAAACAACCATGTTTACATACTGAAGAGTGGACCAGTAAAACTGGATGGACAAAAGGATGAACAGTGGACCAAAAACTGGATGCATTTTTTTTTTCTAGCCTTATTTAATAGTCCATTCCACCATAAGTGGAATGCTTTTGGAACAAATAATTATGCTGTCAAATTTGGTCTTTTTTTTTTTTTTTTTTATAGCATTGCCAATTTTCAAGCAAATTACTATAACAGATAATTACTGATAAAGTAATTATCTGCTTGACCTGCTTTAGATTAATCGGGTAGTGCTCAAAATGTCACCTTTGTGAATTATTGTCAAACTAATAAAACTGTGAACACCTGTTCAAGGAATGATTTTTGTTTGACCAGTCACGGCGAAGATCAGGACTTGCGAGCAAGCTACAAAGCCACAAACTAATAATATTATTATCTTAAAGATCATTTTTTTAAATCACAGGATTGACAGCTTTTGTCCCATCCAAAGAAGATTCTAACAAGTATGTTCCCTGCAAATGTTTTTGGTGTGGATTTTTTTGCAGCCTTATCATGCCCATGTAGTAGAAGAAATTTTGATAATTTCTTTGGACAATATTCCATAGCATGACCATTCATATGTTACCTTTTTAAATAAAAAAGTAATGTTTTTACACTGCATATAATATGGAAGAATTGGAGGTTTGGGTGGTTTGAATGGCCTTTGATAACCCTTGATTTGCATTAATGGCATAGCAAGGTTCAACCCCAACAAACAGGGAAGCCTTATGTTTTGCACATCCAAAAAATGATACCTTGAACATGCCTCAAACTAGGTACCCTTTGCTACTAACTGGAACTCAATTCACTTAGTTTCCCAACCCTAATCTCTAAAGTTCAGAGTCATTTAGCATTTTGCATTTTTTGCATTTTGCTTTTTTCAGGATTCTACAAAATACCCTTCCTAACTTGTGCTGTGATAGAAAGTTGTATCACGTTCAAACGAAAGGCAAAGATCACCTTTACTGCCCGTAGCAGAGACCATATTAAAGTGTATGCATTGGTCTGCTGGGTCAGAATATTATTTTTATGCAATTATTTATGCTGAGAGAGGAAAGGGGTTCTAATGCTCTCGCTGTTGTATATTTATTTTTCTTTCTTTCTTTCTTTCTTTCTTTCTTTCTTTCTTTTTTTACAGGTATGTGGCTCATGCATACAACATTTTTTTGTATCCCCACTCCTTTGGACCTACAGATTGCCGATTCCTTTGTCAGGTACCGAAACAAGTCAGTCAAAGTTAGTTAGTTGGCAGCTTTATATTCTCAATTGAAATCTATTCCACCTTTTTGAATTTTGATTTTTAACACCGTTAAATAATAATAAATAATAATACTAATAATATTAAATGCAGTACCTTTTTTCATTCCAACTTTTACAGGCATCAAGTCTGGAATTTTTATGTCAACACAACTTTGACTTTAATAAGGTACTAGAAGATAAAATTTAAAACTATTGGACGGTACTATATCCTGCCTGAGACCTTTCATAGCAACCTCTATTCTTTGAATTATTAATATGGATGGTTCCTTATTTCATTATCCATGTATTCTTATGGGATCTCAGTCTTGGGCCACACCCCAAAAACAAATCTGAGCAAACTCTTGACTCTCCAGAAAATAGTTCTGCATCTAATTATTGATTTTATAGATAAGATAGAGAATGCTGTCATATATTTTTTAAAAAAGCTGAATTATTTGTTGCATGCTGATTGGCTAGTTTTTATGTTCAATGAGAGGACAGACACATACATGTAAGATTTTAATTTATGCAAGATGCAGTCATTTGCTGAATGAATGCCAAACTTCAATGTTTTTCTTTAGTTTAGTTTCGCAGAAGATTCACTTTCGGCCTACTAAAAGAATAGACAGATAGCTCTAATGTAAGACTTGCATCCTGTTTGGATTCACTTCAACCATACGATGCTTCAACTTGTTCTGTTATTTGAATGACTCCAAAATCTGTCCTGGAATAATTAACCTTGTGCTAGTTCACAACTTTATACTATCTCCCAAAATGCCTCCATTTTTCAAGACAATAAACATTGCTGATCTCATTCTTGTTCTGAAGTTTGGAAAGCAATAAACTCCTAACTTATGCAGGACAGTGACGTGACTCAGCCTGTCAAATATTTAGCCAATGACACTGCGTTACTTGTCTTCAATAGCCAATCACCAAGCGAGAAAACTTATTGACAATAACATTGTGAGTAGTTTTAAAAAAGTTATAAATTTTGTTGTGTCTTTTTCATTTTTACCAGCAAATTGACTTTTTCAAGCTTTTGTCATTGTAAAAAACAAACTGGCACCAGTCGACACCTGCAGTTCGTGGATCCACAGCACTATGACAACGCTATGGCATCATTTTATCTTCAAGTCAATAAGAGGACAGACACATAAAAAACTGGTGTCAATTTGTTAAATTCACTTGTGCTGATATTCTTCCTGTAAATATGCTTTTGCATAAATCTACATCTATCCTAATACATGATTCACAGTGAATATTGATTGATTATTGAATTGAATATAAATTTTCTATACATTTATAAAAAAATTAGTAAATTTTATTTGCAGTTCATATACAATGGAGTTCCATATTTAAATGATGATCAGGTATGCATGAAAAATTCAATGGATATTAGACATAATTATGTGAATTATAGGATGGCCTTTGCCAGAGTATGAAATCTACTGCATGTAAGCTTGTCGCCATGCCAAAATACACCAGACCACAAAAAAAACAAACTAGACAATAAAATGAATGCTAGTAGGTACAAGAAAAGTTTTTATCTAGTCTGAAAGTACATGTACATGTTTGGTACATGTATGTTCCTTCCTCATAATCAAAGGTTGCTTTTCTCTGTGTTCTTTCCATGTGTTGACAAGGTACATTGCAACATTTTCCATTCTATCTTCAAATAAAAATTAGATTATTAACACATTCACACCTCAACTGCTTATATGTACAAGTGTAATATTATGTTATAAAGAAAAAAAATGGAGAGAAAAATGAAAGATCAGGGAGGAGAGTGAGGCAAAGGTAAAAGAGGAGGTGGCAGTGAAAACGTTTTGTCTAAAAATTGTCTAAACATTTCTCCTTTGATGGGAAATTCTGTGGATACCAAAACTGCTAATGCTGTAATATAGCATCAGGTCTAAAGCCCGTATATTTCTCATCTTGTATACAAGGATTTAGGTAGTTTTGCTTTTTGGCCAGCTTGGCTTGACTAGTTTCAGAAAGCTTTCTTCAGCAAAATGGTTAGAGGTGACTGTGTTAAACAACCAAAGTACCAGGAAAAGTTTGTCACTTGAGTAGACTAAGTTGATACTGAATAAGCCATTAAGTTTTAAAATTTGTGATTTTATTTTATTCAGGCTACTGTACTCCAAAAATATCACACAAATGGTAATTTATATTCAAGCTTCCGGTCAACTTCTTCAGGGTAAAGTATATAAACGTTTTTAACATTTTTTCGGCTTGTTGCTTGAATGTTTTTAAGTAGAAACAATTGTCAGAAATGTGTGTGAGCTCATACATAGCAATTCGTCGCAAGGGAGTTAAGTTTCCATGGTATGTATTTTTTGGCTTTGTTTTGTCTTTGATCTTATTACAGGATTAAAGATGAAGATGTTCTAGACAGTTGCTGTGTCAGGCTGGAAGACTGGCTTTCAACAGCCATAGATGGCGATGTAATGGAATTAAACCTTGGCAGCTGTAAGCTTTCACTGCAAGTTTTTACACTGACAGTAGCACTATCTTACGTACTATGTACTTTGGCCATTTGCCCCTTCAGGAGAGTGGGCTAATGACACTGTTCCACCCCTTGACTTGAACAGGGACGTTTGACAAACGTTCTGTCCATGGCCTGGGCTTATGGAGTGACTTGAAGGGTTAGCATGTCACATGTTGATTGACATAAGATAAGGTAGTAACTGTTGGTGAAAATGGTGACTGGTAGACCTGCATGACTGCTCTGGGCTAGTAAACTTGAGCAGCAGCTTGCCCAACCAGTGAGTTTTAAAATTTTCAACTTACCCTGTCAAATCTGGGCAGTCTTCTCTCAATCACCTCAGGAGCATCTGCTTCTCTGCATTTTTGCCTGGGTTTCCCACTTTCCCTACACCAGTTGTTCCTGGACCAATATTTTACAATGAATGATTGATTTCCAGATCAAGCTCAGTATCTTTTTATTGAAGAAGTTAAAAGAAGATATACAGATGTCAAGTGCCATGTCAAGAATCATTTTAAGGTAGTACCATGCCAGTAGCTACATTTAACAAACATTGATGCTGTAATTGCTGTCAAATGAAGTTTTTTTTAGTAGAATGTGTGTCTAAGACTATGATATTTACTTTATGAGATATACTCTAAGAATTTTAGGTATTCCATTCTTAGGTTAAACTGGTATTCATCCTCTATTAGGGTTAACCTTTTGCTATGGTTCTAGTCATCCTAGTTACCTCAATTGAACAGCTGTTGAATAGTGGTTTAATCTGTGAGGTGATTTAGCTACAACATACCATAAAATGCTATATTTTTTGCTCTGTATTGTCATGACTACAGCTCTATAAATAAATACCCCTACTCTTCCACAAAATGTTGTACTCTCAAGCCAACATTTAAATAAAATTACAGCTGCACTTATCATTTACAGTTTCTTTTAGTGATTAAATCAATTTTTTTTTAACATATAAGGTACTTGTCAAAAAACTTGCAACAGCTGCTGAAGATAATCAAGAAAGTAACACTCATCATCTTACTCAGGAACAAGAAAAGTAAGAGTTTAATGTCTTTAGCCTGAGTGAAGGACTCCTGTTTTAAGGGAACAGTAGCCTGTGTACAGACCCCCCTCCCCTCAGGAAAAATCGGAGAAGGGGCCCCTCTCCAATTTTTCCTGAGGGGAAGGGAGGGGGAGAGGGCTGTACACAGGCTAAGGGAACAGAAAAGCCCATCAGAAAATTGTAGTTACTGGTAAAAATCCTTGAAGGAGGCCAATCTTGGTTCTGCATTTTCATCATCATTGTCATTATCATTATTATTTTTTAAAGGTCAATTTCAAAGTATTAAAATTCATGTAGTGATTCAGTTTTATCCTTGGTTTGAATTTTTTTCCCATTGTCTCAGACTCATTATCATACATTATCATAGCCAAAAACAAAGGAAAATAAAATTTGAACCAAGGATAAAATTGAACCACAACATTCATACTAGGTTACAAGGCAAGTTTTCTTCAATCTAATTACATGGATGAACAACATTGTACACTGCCAATAAACTGAATGTCAGGCATAAGCAGATTACTTGTTTCAGCTTATGTATCTTTCTGCTGATTTCATTGAATGATCCCAGGGGAGGGAGTGCATGCTACAAACCAAATTCTTAATTCTTTTAGAGGCAAAAGTTCCTTGCAGAAACCAGTTGAGGTCTATTTACATAGTGAGGGAAAACAATTTTACTGAGTACCATTTGTTTATTACTAACCAATTATTATTATAAGAACACTGCTCTCAGTTGGGCAGCCAGCTCAGTTGGTTTGGTCAGGGTTCAATCGTGGCAAGCCTGATTTTTTTCAAGCTTTCTTGTCCCATCTTTAACTGCGATGATCTTTGAATTTATTTCTTAATTCAGTGAGTAATATATTCATCATTTCGTACTAATCATTATTACACAGTATAAGAATTCCAGAAGAAATTTTTGTTGACATCCTTATTCAAAATCTACCATTTCTTCATTCTTTAGAATGATAAGTGCTATGATTGGTTTTTCAAGAGTTTTCCAAGTCTTAGCGTCATGCAAAAAGGTACTTGTATACATAGCCAAGAAAGTTGTATCAAGGATATTGTCATAATACTTCTAGAGCACTGTTTACAAAAAGAGATCAACAGTGCTTTACCATCAATGTTTCTATTATCTATGAAATATAAAACAGTAAAATTTACTGTTTTATATTTCATAGATAATAGAAACATCAGTATTACTATTTAATAGTAATACTGATGAGAATTAAACTCTTAATATGTAAAAACTCTTAACAAGATATATACTAATACTAAAATCTCTTAGTGATATTTAAAAAATCAAAATAGATTTGTAAAATTCACTACTCAAAAAATTGCTTTAAAAGAAATGTCTTAATTTACTTCTTAAAACTTTCAAGAGATTCGATAGTGCTAGTGGAGCTCAATAGACTTCGTAAAATGAAATTCATTTATTTGCTCAGTTTGTTTGCGCCAAGTGTTTTCAAAAAGGCCAAAACTTAACTCATCAATAGGTTAATATTGACTAGAGTAATTTTCATAATTCACTAGCCTCTTGTAGGGCACAATGTACTGACAGATCTGATGATGACGTATGAGAGGTTTTACAAGCCATTACCAGGTCAGTAACTATAGAAGACAAGAGAGAATGATCTAAGAGATCGAATCCCCATACATGACCCTCTTCCCATGGAAATTGTTTGAAATCTATTCTTGGTTCTGTGTCATACTGCGTAGTTATTTTAAGAACTCCACCTTACTGGTCGGTTAGAATGGCGTATTGTAATTTTAAACTTGGAGGGTAACTCATTTTACTGCCGATCACGCACAGCAAGCGATATGACGTGCGAACTTGGTACTTCTTTCGTCAACGAGTGAAAAGATTTCTACGCAGAAAAATCTTGCCAGGGTAGCCGCCGACAAGCAAAACAGTCCTGGCGTGCGAGAGTCGCCGGAAAAAGCGGTTCTGTCTTGTAGAAGATTTCTGTTGAAGGGTATGCACGGGATTCGGGAAAACGCAAAATTTCTTAACGGGATACGGGATTTGACCGCGACTCGGCAAGCGGGATTCGCCAAAATCTTGGCACAGGGTGTGGCGCTGGGAAAGAAAACGGTATGATGACAGAAGGTCGGGATGCGGAGCGGGACTGCGGGATCACTATCAAACCTACCTTGGTGCTGGGAGACTGGGGAGAGAAATGAAGGGAACGCCCTCTTTTCTTCTCCTCAGGTTCCTGGCTGTTTTTCTGTGTTTTTTTTTCGATACCTCGAGAATCTAAGGGCCTTGAACAGTCGTCACATTGACGTACACAATGAGACGATTCTTGGCCAACCTCCTTTTGTTTCTTGAATTTTGTTTTTCAGTGTAAATTCATGCATGTCTGTTGTTGCTTTACAGAAAGTTTACAAGACTTCAAATCGGAGGTTCACAAACTGTTTCCGCTGATTTACGATACAAAATTTCTCGCCTTCGAGATACGAAAAAATCCAGTAAGTAAGTTAGCTGAAGAACAGTATATTGTCTGAGAGTATTGACAAGTGCGGGAAAGGGGACAAAAACCCCAAAGGATAGAAGAGAGTGGGGGACTCCCCCTGCTTTCAAGCTTGCCACAAAGGCTACTTCCTGATGTAACGAGTAAAAGTTCTAAACGCGCTGACATCAGAAAAAGGTTTTAGCAGATGTTGTAGTTGTAGGCCTAGTCCAAACGTCGAACTTTTCATTAGACGAACCAAACTCTAATTTGCGTCGACCTAAATTAAGTTAAGATCGTCTGTTGGGTCAGACGTCGAACTTAGGACGCGTCGAACCAATCAACTGAATCAGACCAAAAAGCAATGTTAATAAATTTCTCCCTAACGAGGCTATATATACATAATCATAAAAATTTCTAATTTATTAGTTTAGTTCATCGCATAGTGAAGAAGACGTTTGTCCCGAAGACAATTTTCAGACGTTCTATCCGTCTGTATCTAAACTAGCCCGTGATGGCTAGTTCATACGAGTGACGCAAGTGAAAACTTAAGAACAAGAGAATGCTGGTGTGAACCACTGTACCAACCCCAAATCGTTTGTGCATGTTTTCCCGCAGGCTGTATCCGAACGTAATTTTCTTGATGATACAAACTTAGAAAAACTCCACGCTGCCCTTTCGAGGTAAGATTTGTACAAAAATGTTTTCCCCTTAGCTTTAGATCCAGCGCACTTTTTATGTCTCGAAACTCTACCTTTGCATCCCAGGCCCCCGAGCTTTGCATGTGTGAATTTCCAATGAAATTCTGCAAATATCGCTTTTATTCAAAATTACATTTATAATAACAACAGGGCTTTGCGTATAGCGTAAACAGGACTGTGTCAAGTTGGTCGCTTAACTCGTTCAATCGTACATGTCAGACATTTCTCCATATAGTTCGTATGCTACTTAAAGGAGACTTCATTTAAAAACCAAAACGTTGGTGACATATTTTATCAGCATTGTTATAAAAACGCTCGAACAGGTTGTATTTTAAACCCGATAGTCTTGGAATGGAAATAACTCCAGCTGTGCGCTAGTGGGGAGGAGGTACTCCCTATAGTGGCCTATACAGGGGGAATCCCCCCAATAGCGGTACCTATTTCAGGCCTCACGTATATGACTGGGTAAGGATTTCGTTAGTTGAACTATGGGAAAGGGTTTGGAAATCGGTCATTTCGCTCCGTAGAAGGACCTAAAAAGGCTACCAGGCGCATTTTATGACTGTGAAAAAGTCGAGAAAACTGCGTGGTTTAGTAGTGTATTCATAGAAATCAGTGCATTTACAGCGGTTAAAAGGGATGTTGTGTTCTAAACTAGGCATGTGGAAGGGGCACCATTTATCAATAGAAGGTATACGAAGTGGGTATCTTTTCTGTGAAAAATGCTTTATAAAAGGGGTTGGAACTCTCAGCGGAGTCTTTCCGTTAAAACTTTGTTGATCTCATTAGCCAGCCGCCTTTTGGCTGGATTATTACCTTGTATATTTGTAATTCTTCTTTTGTTTTTTGTTTTCTTTTTTTTACAGCAAAGATGCACAGTACTTTGCACTTTATACGCCCTCAATATCACTTTCAGAAAAATGTTACAGATATCGTAAGTATACTGGTCACATCCGTCCGAACTGAACCGATGGCGTATGCCGCTGATTACTATACCTAAGATTTTAATTTGTTATGTGGCTGTAGGAGCTAGGTAGCGAATTCAGCTATCTCGTCTCGCTCCTTGTCCCTCAAGAGACATTTCGTCGTTTCTCCCCCAGGCATCCCCAGGATCCCTAGTGGCGAGGAGCGAGGACAGACTGCTGTATTCGCAAGCCACTGTAGGAGCTTATGCAAAATGGTTTTCGACTTTCTCCTTGCGTTTTAGTTGAAGAGAAAATGCCTCATGAAGCCGGCTACGATTCATTCCTGTCCGGTTTTGGTGAGTACCAATAGTTACAAAACTCTACTTTATTCCGTAGAAGGTAAATACAAATATTCTTTCAACCGCAAGAAGAGAACTAAGGCTATGATCTTCACACTATAACGGATAGCTTTTCGTGCCGACTCCAAAAGCTATCCGATTTAGAGTGAACACCTATCCGATATGTCGACTCGTAGAGATCGGCGCCGCGCAGCTTCCCTCCGTTCAGTCCCTTACAGAAATCGCGCCGAAATCACCATTCTTATGTGTGAACAGAAACCCTATTTGGTATGGTTTTCGCGCCGGCGCAAAAGCTATTCAGTATAACTTAAGATCGTAAACAAGATCCTAAACATAGAGATACATCATATTAGTGATTTGAGGGCTCTTGAGACGGTCATACGTTCTTTACGATCTCGGTTTAAGATTCGTATGAAAATTAAATTTAAAGAAAAGTTTGGAATTCGAAGGTTAATAAATTACTAAAAAATAGTATTTTTTTGTAATTTATTATTTTGTAAGATACAGTGCACAGCAGTGGCGGATCCAGGAATAAGGTCCGGGGGTTCCCAACCTTCCCTCCTGTCCCTTTCATAACTGATAAACCCGTCAGATCAGAGCTGTTGTTGTTGTTTGTTTGTTTGTTTGTTTGTTTTTTGTTTAAGAACTATATCCTTTAAAGCAGAAATTGTCACCACCTAAGGATCCCACATATATTGTGTAGCGACGAGCGAAGTCGGAAATGACCGGCTGTATAATAGTTGTTACACAGAGGAAAAGTTTGGACTCCTTCAATGTAATACCTTGGGCCCGGTGCATCATTAAAATTATGGTAGTACTTTTCCTGACATTCGAGTCATGGTAAAACTCTATCCAGTGAACATTCAAAAGAAAGACTTTGAAAACATATCGGTCCAGTTTTAATACAACATGTCATCTCAGACCTCTTTGTCTAGGAGTACGGATGGTAGGTTACGTATTAATAATCTTAATGCAAGAAATGCGCACGTTTGTTTGAAAATTACTACTATCCGCTATAGATTAAGCTTGTATCAGTTGTATCAAATGACTATTTTACATGACTTTCTTTAATTTTATTTTCAACAGTTTTTTTGAGGATGGCACATATTCTGGCTTATAAATCATCAAGGTAATCCCTGATATCAACAAAAAACTAAAAACCTGTTTAGTGAACTGTGATATATAGCGAAATTGCATCTCCATTGGTACTTTAAGTAACTACTTTTAATACATGTAAGTCCAACGGTCTGTCCAACGTAAAACCCGCGCTACCCTGCGAGCAATTTTTTCAGAAACCACTGCTTAGAGGGTCAACCCCAAGCTGTCGCTAAATAACAAAAATACAGTTAGAGCCAAAGTGGCTACATCGTGCAGCAAGAACAGTCCCAGAGAGCAATTCGGCTCAACAACGAGCAAGTCGATCTCACGTGCAAACTCAAACTTAAACTCAAACTGGCCCATAGGAGAAGGAAACTGGGCCGAGTTAAGGTGACTCGACCCAGTTTTTTGGGGGGGTACCATCCTACTTTGAAGCTCTCTGGTATCCCCATCTTTACTTTTATCGTAAGTCTAACACATAGAATGGATAACATATAAAAATCTTCAAAATAAAGGGATGAATCTCATAGTTTATTAGATATAATCCGTGTAAAGTTTGCTTATCATTTTCGCATAAATTATGACCTAAATTTGGAAACCGCTGAATTTCTCGAATTAGGTCTTTGCGATTTTGGTGAAACTCTATTCAGCGCAAGGCACTAATGCGCACTATGTGTAGCCGAGAGATTTTCACGAAAAAATGCCAGCAACAGCAGATTTTCGTCTCAGACCTCAAAGGGGCGTGGCATTATAACCAAGTGACATTTACTCCGATCGCCAAAAATTTTATGTTGTATTGTAGATTGATCTATATGTTATCCATTCTATGTGTTAGACTTACGATAAAAGTAAAGATGGGGATACCAGAGAGCTTCAGAGTAGGATGGTACCCCCCAAAAAACTGGGTCGAGTCACCGTAAATTTCGCAGAGACTTCTGGAACTGTTACTAGGGACATTGGGGGAAAATAAGCCAATAGCTGACCGGCGCATCCCCAGTAACGATCCCAGAAATACCTGCGGGATGCATTTTGGCTCCAGTTCCCTTCTCGTTTCTAAAGTGGCGAATGAATTTGGCGCATATATAGCCTGCGTAGCAAGCGTTTCCGTTCGATTTTGGACCAAACGAGACCGGCAAAAACCGAAAATCCCGTTCCTCTGTCTTTCTTTGCTCCGAAACCAAACAGAAACACTTGCTACGCAGACTAGAGCATACACAAATAAATGGATGGGAGAAACTTTTTTTGGTTGGTTATTTGGGTGAGTGGGTGGGTGGTTATATGCATGACTTTGTGTGCGTATAAATAGGTACCGCATTCGACCATCACGCTCGATGAGAACAGCTTCCGAGTGGAACTTTACCACTGTCACCTAAATTGATTTTTATGTCTTTATGCCACAGGTCTCCAACTGGACCTCTCCCTTTTTCAAAATTTCTTCGCGTGTTAAAGCCGTGTGAAAATCTCGTTCATCTTAGCAGGGCAACGGTTCAGCATGTGGTATGTTTCTAAAAAATATAGAAATTATAGTTTCAATGCTGGCATTGAAATCTTGTTTTTTTTGTACAAATACGAATTGCTTTATTCTACACAGAATCTGATTGGCCCAGAACCTCCCTCCATTCGTCCGCAATGGCTTTACATCACTTCTAAGACAACAACAAGACCACTTGTTGCGAGAACGGTAAGTTGTCCTTTCACTAAACAAAATCCTTTCTAATTTCGTCCTTATTTATTTGATAAAGCAGGTTACATATACAAGGCAGCTTGGAAACTGTCGCAAACCTGCCTTAGCAGTACACTTATAGACGCACAGGTGCTTTGAACATACCACCGGAGTCGGTCTACGTTCCCCTACTCTTTACTAACAGTAGTATGGGTTTGTTTACATCCCACAAGAGTCAGGAGTGCCGTGAGACGGGGCCTACAGGTTTTCGTTCTTATCCGAAGAGATTAAAATTTCTAACCATTTGTAGATGTTAGAGCAAAGGCAGCACATTCTCCTCAGTTAGTTAAGACCCCTTAGTGTCAGTCCGGCTCTGGGTCGAGTTGTTCGACGGGAATCTAACACCCGGGTTTCTTTTTTCTTGTGTTCAAAAGCCTGTTATTTTTAGAGCTTCCCACTTGTAGACAATAAAATTAAAACTGAAATGCTTTTTAAAACCAAATTCAAATTGAGCTAATCTTAACCCAGTTGGTGGTATATATAGTCGAGGCAAACTGGCAAGAACGCGTCGACAATTCCAATCTACTCCACCCCCTGGTGCTCCACTTTGGCACGTGCGTTAGTCCGGGGTTCATCAAATAAAATACGAGTAAATAGATGGCGGTGAACACTGAGTTATAACTTACATAACAGGCGTACGAGAAATTTAGCGCGCAAATGAGAAGGGCGATGCTGACTGCGAGAGAAGAGGAGACGTGCGAGGAGAGAGAAACTTCTCTGTTCGAGCGCATCGCTAATTTCAGCTCATTAGTCTCTCTCGCGCGCGTGCATCACTTATCACGCACCCTTCACTTCTGATGCGCCTGCTACACAGGCTAGTGAATACTCAATGAATAAACAAGTAAGCCTGTTACTGAAGTTAGTCTGGCTGAGATTGGTTCCTCAAAGTAAAGGGCTCAGTGAAATATTCATGACAATGACCAAATACTTTTTTTTGAATTCTGTCTTGTAGTTGGCACAAGAGTTCGCGGGTTTTGGTTCCGTGGACGTAAAAATTTTGGACTCGCAGCACGCGCTGGTCGCTCTTGCTCAACACAGAAGGTGATCGCAAATGTTTATAGACCTTAATTTTGATAGCCACCTTCAGATCATGAACGTGTAGGAGCTTTTTGGGATGCAATGGACGTACAGATTAGTGATTCTTTAACGCCTACGAAGTGGATATGAAAAAGTCGTACTCTGTTGGCCCCTGGTCGTAAAATTTTTTCTCAGGTGTTTTGCGCGTGCGCTTATATCCTCGCCAATTCTTTCTCCTTTTCGTTGCCGCTTGCTAAGCAGTTTAGGTTATTGCTATTTAGTTTGAAAACAACTGTGATAAGTATTTAACCATTTTCCTGTCGTTTCGTAGGGCCAAAGATGTTTTAAGTAAATTTAGATGCCACAAAACGCTCAGTGTGCGGGCGTACAACGCTTGGCTGGATTCTCCCGAGATAAAAATAGCGCTTTGGTGAGTGCGTAGCTCTGCGACTTGCCAGTTTTAAAGAGACTTATAGGGTGTGTTCCTTTCGGTGAATCCAAAAACGGATTTTAGATCTAAGAACGGATTTCGCGTTCCTTTCGGCAAATCCAAATACAGATTTTTGATCTGGTGAATCCTTTTTGAAAAAGGATTCATTGGATTTGAAATCCGAAGAATCCAAATCCAGATTAACGGATTAGTGATCTACCCTGTTCCATTCACAGTGGATCCGAAATTAGTCAGATGATCCAGCGGTATTTCCAGTTGAAGTATTCCCATAGAGGCCGTAGAGTTTCCTCGTTGCTGCCATTTGCCGCAAAACATCTGAAAACACTAGAAGGTTGTTCCTGGTACATTAAAATATCCATATACTAACCATTTGTCTCTAAAGATTGCTTGAAATCAGAAATAAGTATAACTAACAAATGAACTGTTATCTAACTACAAACTCGCTTGTAGACGCGACAGGCACTCGATCGTGTTACATAAAAAAAATCCAAGCTATGAAACTGGATCAAACTGGCCGACATTCTTTAGATAATTTTCAATTTTAATGCGCTTCTTTCTTTGTCTGTTTTATATGTTCCATCGTCGCTATTCGAACTGCCGACCACTAAATTCTGCACGGTATAATCGCATAATTTGTCAAACAGTAGAAAACACGTCATTTCTTGAGAGGCTGTCGTGCATATTGCACGCGTTGGCGAAAGGTTACCAAGGTTACAAATCCAATTTCGGATTTCACGTTCCTTTCGACCGCGAAATCTGGCAAATCTAGGATCAAAAATCCGTTTTTGGATTCGCCGAAAGGAACACACCCATAGTTTATATGTCTGGCTGGCTTTCAAAAAAGACTCTCCGCGGCGAAAACAGCCGTGCCCCAATACTTGATAGTTGTTCACTTGTCAATCAAGATAAATCCTTTTGATTAGTTAGAGTTATTGTTTTCCTGCGGCCTGGAAACTGCACGCATAATAATTTACAATGCACCAACCTATAAAAAAAGCTCACATTGAGTTTCATCTTAAATATAGTTATACACCAATGTGTACGATGATTTTGTGGACGTGATGGCAAAAAATTCGTTTGTAATGAACGCAAAACAGTCTGAATCGGAACGTGAGGCGAATAACATTTTACGATATTTTTAAACCTTCAGCTGCTATCTTCAAATGCCATTATTCCGGCAAACTTGCCTGATTTGTATTTTTAATATGATTGAACACTTTTGTTTTTGCGTAATTTACTATGTATATTGAGGAAGCCGCCGACTCATTTTCTTCTTCCCTGCAGGTGCGGCGGAACAGCTCTTTTCGTCTCAGGTGTTGCAATATTTTTATGGAAATACTCCAGATAACAAACCATGTTCATCAGTCTGAAACTTTCAAGAATAAACATTCTTTTTTCTTTTATATTGTTCCGCAAATTTAATTTTTCGTAAAATATTAAATAATGTTTGTCAGGATAAGCGTGCGTGTGGCTAGCTATTAACTTTTTGAAGTCCCCGCATGAAATATTTTAAAGCGCGAATATAAGGTATGAAAGAGAACTCTTCTGATGTACTGAAGTAGGTAGCAATAAGGCGAGTGACGACGTCGCAAATGCGAGCGAGGAAGTGTCCCCTAACATTTTGTAAATCGTGTTGTACCAGTCACGGACCTTTAAAAAAGCCTAAATGAAAACTTTTTGTATTTTGCAAACTTTGCTCTGTTAGTTCTGTTACGCTGCGCAAGTGATTCCCAGCTCGGAGTTTGCAAATATGCAATGTTGTTCTGTGATATATGTGCGCTCCCGTTTATTTTTTAGTATTTTACCAAAATTGTTTTTATTTTTGAACCTAATGCAAGGGCAGTATGGCAAAATAAGCTGATCCCTTTTGCGGAAAAAGGGAGGACGGACAGAGGGCGGCGACGAATATATCAAGAATCAAATCGGACTGGAGGATTGTATTTAGCTCACTGGTGGATTGTTGTCGTAAGATCGTAAATTTGGTCGATTACAGGGAGTGCACTGTCCAGAAAATGTATACTTTACAAAATCCCTTTTTACCGAGATTTTTTATAAAATAGATAAATAAGTAAGTAAATAAATAAAATCTCCCGTAACTTTCGTTATCATATGCATCGACAATGTTTTTTTCCGAACACAAATTACTTGTTTGTTTGTGTCGGTGAATATTTATAATTATCACAATCGTGCATGGGCACTGTAGATAAAGCAGTTGAGTGATAATTTAAGATAATCATAATCTTTACGATAATCTATTGAACCTATGTATTTGAAACAATGATAAAAAACCTTAAGAAATCAAGCTTGTTCAGGATATTTTTGTTCGGTAGGTGCATACAGGCACCTTAAATTTTAGGCTTGAACATTTTTTTTTCTATTTTTATGTTGCGCTTATTTTGAAGGCCATAAACATCACCATTTTTTAAATTTGTTTTGTTTTGTTCTTTTTTTTTGTTTTTGTTTTTTTTGCAGTTTTAAATCATAACATTGAAGAAATTTAGGCTTGAATGGGGTTTCCTTCAGTCTTTCTTAAACTGCATCTTCGCAAAGGTCGTACACGTTAGGTTTTTTTTCGAATTTGTTATTTTGCCAATTCGGGACTTGGCTAGACGTTAATTGAAGCAAGAACACTTTATTCTACGAGTCCTTTTCACTTCCTGAACTCTTAAATTATCACCCCTTTGCTTAAGTGAACAATCTATTTGTCGTGTTCTTGCAATATGTTGCTTTAAAGTGTGCATTAGCAGCTAAGAATTAGGAAATTGCAGTAGTTTTGTACCAACAATACTGTGACAAGCCATGTTGATTGTTTCCTTTTAAATTCAGCAAAAGTAATTTCCATATTATTGTTTTCCGGTACTTAGCTAAACCAATCAGATGATTCTTGCGCCAACTTATCGAAGAGAAGAATCAATAATGTAATACCTTAACGAGGGTCCAAGCGGCTTATTAACATAAAATATGTCAGTTTGTGTTTCTAAGACTAAAAATAATGGAGGCCCTCGCTGAAGGCCTCGACGACGATAGCGACTCAGCTGAAAATCGCTTGCTAAAAAGCGGGGACTCTCCTTGCGTTTGTAGCAAGACCTGGGAGAAGGATTTAATCTGTGGATGGACGCCCTCCCTGGCGAAAAAAATCTCGCGTTCGAAGCCAACGAAAACACACGCGTCGTTTAGCAACGTAAGGAAGGAGAGAAAATGCTCCATAACCGAATGTGGATTTGTGTTTCGACATTATGAGAGGACAGGACGCTACATCGAACAGTATCGAGAAAATCATAGCAGCGCGTTTTTGGAAACGGAGGCCGAGTGGAGGCCAGTGATGGGTGTCGATGTTCCGGACCCTTACTTGCCCAAGATCGCCAGCTCCAGGTGAGTCAGTACTATTAACATCGTATTTTGATTGTTTTGCGTGGTTTTTAAACCAGTTTAAGCTGCTCTGCTTGGGGAGAATATTTGTTTAAAAATAGGATATCATATAAGGCCCAATTTGTTGAGAAATTGTGGAGGTAATACTGCTTAAAGAGACCAATTTATTTTGAAGAAACTCCCTTAATCGGAAGTGTTTGGTCTCCGATGGGCAATCCAAATAAAGATTCAAGTCAAGCTGGTTTGATCGATGTCACGTTTATTTGAATTTTCCACAAAATACTCCTTAAATCGAAGATTGCAGAAACTAGAAAGTAGGCCGAGCGCTTCGAACGATAGTAATGCCTTTAATCAAAGAATAACATAGTACTTTGCGAAAAATTACAGACTGTTTTCGTTTGTTTTATTAGAAATTATAGTTGTCAAATTAATGATATAGCCATTTGACATAATGTCATGTTTACTCTACATACACGGATGTATTGGCGAGGAAGACGTTGCCCGAGGGTTTCGACTGAAAAGTCAGACAAAGCAAAATATTTGGGGCATAATTTCAATAACATTGTTGCAATCGTTCGTTTCTTAACCGCAGTTGTCGGTATTGCCTGATATTGCGTGTTGAATTTTTCGGGATGAACAGTTTTCCGTTGTACTGGTAAACACTCGCGTGAACGCAAGATTTGCCATTAAGATCGGAGTGTTGAGTGCTTCAGCCAAATGGTTTGACGCATTTCTCAGTGATCGACGATGTGAGATGCATCGTATAAATTTGAAGATAGCACGGTTTTTCTGTCGAATTCTTGCGCAATATTGGTTGGCCTTTTCAAACGAGCACGCGTTACAATGAAATCAGTGTGTTTGTTATGCCATTCTACCAAAACCTGTGTGAATGTTTTTCTTTTCCTCTTTTTAAAAAAGGACGTCTCATCGATTTCTCGGTCTTGGCTTGACAAATTAAATACGAACTTCATGCCACTATTCCCTGCTCTCACGAGGAGGCAAAAATGAGAGTAAGGAGACAGACTCTCTCTGGCTCCTGTCTCTCATTTTTGCCTAGTCGTGAGAGACCTCTGCTAGCAGCGAAATGCCACTATTACGTTAAAAAGTAGAAATAAGGTTAGTTGTTAGCTAATTAAGGGAAAAAATCCCATTTCTTCTGTTCGTTCGCATATATGTAAATGTAGGAAAACTCCTAGCCAAGGAAATCGCGTCAATACTTCAGATCAGGTACTTAGATCAGTTCCGCAGAAAACTTATACATTATCAGCGAGTATACAGACACGAGTATAAACTAAACTCTCTTCGTGTTTTTTAACGCCGAACGCGTAGTAGAAACGAGAAATACTATTTGAAATAGCTGGCTAACTGACATCTACTTTGCCAGCTTTTGCCGTAAAAGGAGGAACGATTGTATAACATCTTTCCAACAACAGTTCCGTGCAGGTAATTAGATGTATTTTTTATCACCATACTCACTTTCTGTTTTTGGCTTCTGGTGAGCTAAATTTCAAGTTTTAATTACCTAGTTTTCGAGACGTCTCCGTAGACTTAATTTGATTTTGTTCAGTAATGACGAGTTAGTTTACTTAAGCCATTTTTAAACGTGTTTTTCTCAGTTAACGTTTGTCAGCAATACGCCTACAGTCACGGTATGAATTCATATGCTCAAGTGGCTTAAAAAGATTTTTGTAACTCGTCAAGATCTAAATCGCAGTAACCGTGATTCCTGGAGAAATTTTTGCAGTCTTTTGGGATCAACGGCATCTGAGCTCGGTCTGATTTCAACAGCAGCCCTGTTGAAAATCAAAACAGTGTACACAGTTGCACTCTTCCCAGTGCTCGGTTTATTTCATCTCCTGGTTGTCCCTTGGAACGCCTATTTACTGGGCTGTTTAAAACCTACATTTCCTGGCTTTCCTATCACACTTTAATGGGTCCCGTTTTCATATGCCTGCTAGAACAAGCCTCCCCTAGCCGATAAATCAGCCTAAGACAAATTTTTATGGTCGACAACAATACGCTGAATTCTTTCCGGGTAGAAAAGAGAGACGAATAAGACAGACGCCCTAAACAGAGATCTTGCCATATAAAATTTACCTGGCACATCTTTCTGTACGTTTCTTCAAACACATCTGTTTGATTTCAGGGATCGAAAGTAAGCCAGTATTTGCTACTGGCTTATACTATTGACTTAAATTGTTCTCTTTGCTTTCCTGCTTAGCCAAACCTTTGACCGAGTGAAGTTTATCGAGGCCATGTCAGATTACTACAAAGTTGCTGCTATGAGAAGGCAAGTACATTCCTATTAGTATAACTATCATGGGAGAGTCGCCCGGCAGAGGCGTGGCTAAAAATTTCCTAGAGGTATGCACAGTCTCCAAATCAACCCTACTCCTTCTCTCAAATACTTTTAACACAGGTGGCTTGATAAAATTTCTGCTTTTTATCAGTGAAGTAACCATTTTAAAACCCGTGTTCTTGAGGCAATTACCAATAAATACAGCTTGCGCGCCTGGCGAAATCGGGAAAACACAGCATTTTGTTTTGAAAAAAAGCCATCTGAAAAACGGTAAACGGACAGTTACTTAGGCAATTGCACCAGTTATGTCAGTGATATTCGACATTTTTCACGCACGCATATGCGCAGTAACATAAGGGTAGCTACGCCCCTAGCCCCAACTAGATCCTTGTTTGTGTTTGATGCAGCATCAGAAGTATCTCCCTCGCGCGCCCCGTTCTTTCTTGTGCTCATTACTTTGAAGCGCCTCCTACGTAGTTTGCGTCAGAAGAAACCTTTTCCACAGGTCATCAAGCCTGAAAAACAGACTTTATTTCCTCCAATAATGTTTTAAGTGTAGGCCATTGGTCGCCGTTGTAAGTTTACCCTACTTTAAACGAAAATGCCATGAACCTCTTTCTCGCAGTTTTTCCAAAAAGCTTTTTGGTTGCGCGCGCTAAGCTACCGTCGACCTGAAACTATTTTGGGATAAAAAAAGGATGACCCATTATTTTTTTATATTCAACTGATGTAAGATTTGAATTTCTAATTTTCTGCCTTATATTCTGCAGTGACCTTCAGAACATCTGTCTCACGGGTAAAAGAACAGAGAGCGGTGACCGCAAAACGATCTCGATGAATAACGGCGCAAAACTGAGCAAAGAAGGATTACCGTTTATTGTTACATCTTCTAGCGGCAAGAAAGTTTCACAGAAACCTGAATGTAAAAAACAGTCAATTACAGTAGAGGAAGAAAGAACTGATGTTAGGAACTATCGCGAAGATCTTATTCGGACCGCGCCGGCGGAGCTAACGGAAGACAGTGTTTTGCCATCTGTACCGTCTAAACCGGATTTACCGCATCATGAACAGGATGAACCGGTTTTTTTCAACTCAGGTGGTTTTCAATCCAAGGGTGAAACTAAGCGGATTGAAAAAGAAAGAATTCGTCTTCCGAAATTTCAATGGACAGAATGCCATGTTAAAAAGGTACCTAGGGGGACGAACATCGCGACTGCAAAGGTGCCGGAAAAAAACCAGCGTAATCCGGTTGTAGAAAACTTTCACAGCAGTGACAGCGATGAGAGCTTTAATCGGCCACTGGTCTCACGAGGAAATCTCCATTTGGGAAGCACAGTTCAGTCTCCCAAATTAAAATCGAAACCCGCTCGTGTAGCTGTCGGTAAATGCGAAGTATTTAGCTCGGAACCCCCAAGCACCGCCGAGCGCGCACGGAAATCATATCAGGGAGGAATAAAGCTTCCCAGTGAAACAGCATTTATTCAAATTCTCGGACAACAAACGGGACCACCACCCAAAGCTGCAAATCAAAACAGATCCAAAGAGATAAATAGAAGGAGACCAAGAACGGAGGAGAAAACCTTTGTCAATCAAAACATGCCTCTACAATATCTGACTCGCTTTGGTAGAAGGAGCTTTCATCATGTGTTAGAGGCTCGTTCCTTCAAGCCTGGTTAGAAGAAACTGGGAGCTACTACTCTAGCAGACTTTCATAGTTAGGGAAATTCCCTCACCCTTGGTCTTCTCTGCTTACTCCTTCCCCACGCCTCATCCCTCGTTCCTAGTTAGCCTCGATTTCAAGGTCTAAGGAAACTGAAAAGAGCTAACTTGAGAGCGAGGCTGTTCCCCGCCTGACGGTCAAGCTAAGCAACTTCCCTAAGTAAGCTCATAAAGGACTCCTTCACATCATACTCAATCAGAACAAGTTTACTGCAAATATAATGATAGCCTACGTTGTTGCTTATTCTTGATTTATCTGTTATCGTATATATTTTTCATTATGCCGAGGCAAGCATAACGCAGGGACAAGCGCAAACACGAGAGTCTTGTGTCAAGACAGTAAAAACCAACATAGATACAGAATGGTTCCGTTTTCTGTAAAAGCACTGGAAAAAATTCATAGGGTAACTGGCGAGTGATGCGATAAACACACTTACTGGCAAATAAATACTTTCGTGTGCATCACAACAGACGTTTTAAGAAATTAACCTGAAACGTAAGGCCCTCATTAGAGAACTATAGTAAAATCATTGCTATATGATATGTAATATATAGGCCATTGGGTTGTCAAGTTCTGTACCATAAAATTTACGATACGATCGTTCATTGACGATAATCTTTTTGATAATCAACACGATTGAAAGCTATGTGTATTATCTATCAATCAACTCTCAGTTTTAGCCTCTTAGTGGCCAAAACTTGAAAGCACAAATCACATCGGCTCCATCATGGGTAACGTCATAATTTTGTGTCTTTCATCAGATATAGGGAAAATTTTTTTTGGCACGACAATGTTCGTGGACGTGGGCCGTCATTAGTAAAAAGGGTAACAACTGAAGATGTTTAAAATATAATTTATAATATAAAGATTAACAATATATTGCGGTAATATATTGAAATTTTGGTATATTAAAGTTTCTTTCAACCATCATTACGATTGAGTAGTTGCTTTCCTAACAGCTCTGATATTCAGGCTGGAATCAAAAGAAATGTTGAAAACCCTTTTCAACTTGATCCAGCGATGCTGGATGCCCGACGCAGGAAACAATTTCATCTAAAAAGTCACGACCCATCGCGATTCAACAAGATGCTATAAAACGGATTACATACTTTAGTGCCTTATCAAGTCTGCGCGGAGCGCAACTGGCCCAGTTCCCTTGCACACCTGTAAAAGACGGTGCGCACCTCGCGAAAGTCCTAACGAAGACACTCGGCTTTTTAAATGAACAACCGACGTAAAGAGCAGTAGTGATGTTCTTTCAGGGCTAGCGCTTAGTATTGATTATAATATTTACGTCTTATATGCGGAAGTGGAGCCCAAAAACTAAAAGAAAAGAATAATGAAGCCATACAATTCTAAGAAAAGAGGGGAAGAAAAAAAAGCAATGGTTGCCCTCTTAGTTTTCTTTTTTACTACGTCGGGCGACTTTCGGGCTGCTAAAGGAACAGGGGCACCCAACGACGGTTTCCTCTTGAATACATTGACAACACGTTTTAGACCAACAGAGCACTTTTAGATCTCTAGAAGTGAAGCGGAAGCAACATTTGTATCTGTTCGATCATCCTAGTAACCTGCGATCAGGCGGTACTTCTTCCCCTTGAAAAAAAAAAAAACGCCTGATTGCAGGTTATCATCTTAGGGGAATTTGGGTCTTTTCGAAATTACAAGGGCTTCAGTATTATTTTCCCAAAATTTTAGATGCAATTTAAAGCATTACGAAAGTAAGAATTTTACTGATTCCTCCCTCCTCACATTTTTGAATACAAAAATTTTAGGTTTCCTCTTTTCTACCAAAAATAGCCTAGCCCGAGGAGAGAAATGTGAAAAATTAACCTTATGAAAATCATGGGGAATTTATTAGATAAGCTTCGAAAATTTTGAATGAAAGGAACGGTCATTTAGAAATTTTTAGCGGTTCTCAAGTAGTACAAAATTCTAGGCAACATCATCTTCTCCGAACAGGGAACAGATATTTTTCAGAGAACAGTCGTTGAGCGCCCTCTAAATATTCCATGAGCCTGACTGTCAGCCTTAGTAGGTAAACTCGCGCCAGTCTCTCGTCAACGAAACAAAAATGGCAGATGGTCGTTGTGCATTATTATTTGTTTTGTGATGCAGATTTTTCTCCTGGGCAATGTCTTTTTGTTGACGTCTTGGGTTGTTGTTCATTAAGCTAACTTAATAATACCCTTACGATCGCCATTGCTTTGAATTTGAAGGCGAAAAGTACTTGAACTTTCTTCACGAGAATGTGGCTGGAAAAGAACGCTCCTCTTTGGAAACATTAAGCTTTAATAGTGATGGCTGTTGTTACAGGTTTTGGCAGAAGCACTCTCGTTTAATTACCTCGTTTATAATTATAACTACATTGCTGTTTTCTGGAGAGAAGAAAAATCTCAGCTCCGTCGACAAACAACTGAAAGTTTGAAGATTTAACACTGGTTTCCATGCATGGTTGTCAAGTGATGTCACTGTACCATTATACGACATTAAATTATCGTCGCAGTATCTCAAAGGATTGACTTGTTTTATCCTTATAGTCTCTAAATTCGAAAATCACTTTTATGTGCAAATCATTTAATAACATTGTCATGTCTAAATATGGATTGCTCAAGTCAAACATCAACTCCATAACTCCATATTTATATCACAAAGGTTAATTATTGGAACTACAATCATCTGCATGACTCCAATAGGAGAACGTTTTTTGGCAAGTGCTGTGCTTGTGTGATTAGGCTGGTCATTATGTCTCGCATGAGATCTGGCTTGAAACCTTCTGTAACATCAAGACGTTCTCCAACTAAATTTCCCCCTGTCAGAACAGGGTGGGGTGCCAATTCACCCCCATTAAGTAGCCATACAAGAGACCCAGAGTGGTCCCATGATATTGTCAGGGGCATTCAGTTAAAGACTGTGTCTAAAACACCATCTGCTGCAAGTAACTCCCCAAGGAAAAGCTCTGGCAAAGAAGAGGTGAAGACACCTTCACCAAAACAAGAGGAAAAAGCATTTTTTAGCTCACAGCAAAATGGCAAGGACAAGGAAATTGAGGTGAGCTTTGATGAAAATTAGGGGAAGATCACTTTATCATTATTTTGTACGAGGAATTCAGGGATCATTTTTGAAAGAACATGCAGTGGAACCTCAATATAACAAATGGGTCAAGGAGGTGGCCAAATTTGTTCACTCTAACGAGGTTTTGTCATATCAAGGTTCTTTTTTATATTTACTATTACTGGGGTAAAAAAAAATAGTTTGTTGTAGCAAGGACTTTGTTATATAGAGGTTCTTTATATTGATCGAGATTCCGCTGTAGTGGTCAACTGGAATTTCTTTTTAAAAAATTGCAAAAAATGTTATTTTTAGGAGATTAATTCCCATACTATCATTATGCACACCTTTTACATATATGTTGTTCATATTTAATTTGCTTCTTGATAGAAATTGAAGCTGAAAATTATCTCATTGCAAAGGCTGATAGAGCAGTTAAGGGCTGAAATCAAGGAAAAAACTGGACTGATATCAGAATTAGAAGAGAAACTTAAAGTGCAGGTACTAATTACTAGGAGAAGGGGTTGTGATAGAACTGAATGGTTAGTGTAAGGGGTTTCAATGTCTTGAATACCCTGATTGCTATAGTAGCAATTTAAAAATAATGATATTACCATGTAGTCTTTCACCCTAGTACTAATATTGTCACAGTAACAGAACAAGGGGCTAAGAGTCTAAGTAACAATTATATGGACAGTATCCATATCTTCAAGGAGGAGTTACTAAGGGGTCCAGACAGCTGTCACTAGGACTTCAGGTTTCCAGGTAAATGACACCAGTAGGCAGAGAATCAAACAGCTGGAGATTTCTTTTGGTTTTATTTTTCGACAATTTTTTAATGAACTGGAGATCACATTCCTTGTAACTGGAGGAAATAAATCCGGCCCTTTTTGACAAGAGAATAATATTATTTGTTAGCTTGGGTGAAGGGGTGGGTACCTATTCAGGGAAGGACACTTACTAGTGCATTGGCAGATATTTCAGAATGTATGATAATATTGAAAGTGGTGTATTTTGGTTTGTTGCTAGAGATGACCATCTGCATGTCTGATTGTGTGTTCACAGGAAGCTTCAAACTCTAACCTTGATGACCAGATCAAAAAATTAGAAGCTGTCATCGGTGAAAAAGAAAAAGAAATTGTAGAGCAGCAGAAGATAGTGACTTTCAAGGATGTAGAAATTAATCAACTAAAGGAAAGCTTTTCAAAAGAAAAGGATGAGATCCAAAAAGAGGTAGGCTGGGGTAGAAAGAATGATACTAACAGTAATATTATTCAGTCATTTATGAAAAGAGGGATCCTTGTAATAAATATTGTATGTTTAGATCATCTGCAAGGCCATGAAGACATTACCCACCAATTGCTTAGTTTACTATTGGTTGGGTACCAAATGTTCAAAGTAGTAGGCCTGGGTTCTATTCCCAGCTTTACCAACGCTTTGGGTCATAACATAACTGAGGAAAAATTCATACTTTTGTTTGAAAATGGCAAACATTTTGGACAGGAGGAAAGACCACTGACCCAAAAGTCTCACAGTACTTTTGCATACTTTTACCTTATCTGACCATATCTGCTAGGATCATAAGAATTCTGTGACCGTGTCTGCACCCTTACCCCTAGTTTGCTCTCCTTGGTCTTGCACGGGTTATTTGTTGTGAGTGATCTTGATATGGAGGTACCCTCCTGATCACCTTTCAGGAGCCTTACTGATTAAGATTAAGATTGATTGCATGTATACCTTACAAAATAAAACAAAAAATTATCTAAGCTTACTATTGACATATTTTATCAAAAGTTTGTTACGGAGTGGATTCTAAGGACAGTCATGAAATTTCAATTTTATTAAAACTTTAAAAAGTACACTTTCAGTGCAGGAAATCATAAAAAACAAACTAATTTCATGACTGTTTTAACTTAAAAGTTTGACCATCAGCTTGAGGAGTTAAAAGCTCTGCATCTGAAAGAGCTTGCTGATCGAGATGGAAAGATCAAAGTCATGAAAATGCAGATGGCAGATGCTTTAAAAGACAACTCAAGGTGAATATTTGCATACTATAACAAAATAATACACAGTCAATATGGACAGCTCATTATTCTGGACAGTTTGTTTTGTCCCTGGGGAAAAAAAGCCCTTACATAAGTTTTTTTTATTAATAAATTATGGACACCCCATTAACATTGAAACTTTCTATGGCCCCTCAGTGTTCACATTAACGGGATTTAACCCTAGTTAGTTAATACATGTACTAATAAAGTAATAATATGGTTATCATTATTCCTTGATGTTCACTAACATGTATGGTGATATTATTTGCCTTGTATAAATAACTACAAACAATTAGTTATGGCACTGTTACGGTGACTTCTAAGCAGGATTTTGATTGCTTTTCAATATACTGCTGGGATATACAAGGAGTTTGAACTATTTAATCTCTCTAGCTTGAGAGCTATTTTGGGAATAGGTGGTAAACCCCATGTTTATGTTTTTAGGGAAAGACAACTGCAACTTGAAGAATTGACCAAAGAGCTTAAAAGAGTAACAGAAGAAACAGGTGTGCTGAAATCCAAACTCCAGTCAATGAAATCGTCTAATCAGGTACATATGACTTTTCTGTATCATCTGCACTTCTTTTCCCAGGTCAATTCATGTAAATTCCCCACCTAAGGAAAAGATGTATTTAAGTATGTGAAAAAAATGGACCAACTCTAAGTATACCTTTTCTTCACCAGTAGCTCAAGCTTCAATAAATTCCCAGACGAAGGGATCAAGCTTTAAAAAAGTGTTCTAAATAATACCATGTTCCATATTAAATATGGAACATGGTATTATTATAAAAACCCCTTGGACAAATTTTGTCCAAGGGGTTTTTTTCTAAGGTTTTCTTGTATGGTAAACATGTACTGTCTAGGGTTGATTTTTTGTAAGTCTTTGTAATTTTTGTGATGCATTTTTAAATGTTATACAACAGTCATGGATCATTAAAAATGGATGAATAAATTTTATTCATTTTCTTTTATCATTTACTGCTACTGATTTATCATGGATGCAATACAGTGGAACCTCAACATAGCAAAGTCCTCGGTATAACAAACAATAATCTTTGACACAGTAGTAGTAAAATATATGAAAAAGAATCTTGATGTAATGAAACCTCTTTATAGGGAACAAATTTTGCCAGTCTCTTGGCCCATCATTACATTGAGGTTCCATTACACTGGTAACCATCTTAATACATATTCTGCCAAAAGTGAGGGGCAAAGTTATCAGTATTGCATTTGGTTGCTACCAAGTTTGGAAATTAAAACTTGTGCTTGTTATCTTTCAAATTTTCTTTCATTAGAAATTTTTTAAAGTTTTGTTTTGTCTCAGATTGTAGATATAATGGGCCTGAGACAAGGAAAAATACAAACTAGACTGGCTCGAAAAATTTCAGATGGAATAAAAATTTGAAGTCACACCATATACAGACATACCGGCAAGTGTTGGCAATCTTTCAAACACAAATAATGTTGAGTTAAAAAAAATATGTCTATGTAATGAATTAAAAGACACTACCAACGTTGAGTGTCTACCAAACACTGACAAAGCTCCAGAATTATATTTGTTATTTTTAATTTTGTATTGATATTTCATTTAAATTCTTATAGGGCCAATGTTCAAATTGCTTTGTGATGGAAAGGCAACTCCAGTCCAAGATTGCTGAACTTAGAGACAAAGAGATTGCTACCATTGAGTTGCAGCGACTTTGTTCAAAAATGGAGAAACAGCTTGTCCAACAGGTATTGACTTATTTAATAATGCCATCTCTCATTTATCTGTGTGCTGTTGTTAAAGGTTGCCACTTTAGCTTATCCCTATCTCATTATGATAAGTAATCATCAAAAGGTAGTCATCAAATGGTCATGGCTGTATCACCCTTGTATACATGTATGATTAAAATTAATGTTGTGCAACTCACACTTAAGACCAAGTTGCTTCAAGGACAATATTAGTGCGAAACGCCAGAGCTATATGTAGTCACTAGGACCAATGTTAAACACGGTTTACAGTTGTCCTAGGATTAGAGCTAACCAGGCTTAAAGAACTTGGCCCAGGTGGGTGAGTGATAAACCAGTGCTATTAACATGAAAACAAGATAAATGGAATGAACTTGAGTACTGTAAAGGACATGGAAATAGTTAAAAATAAGATTAATTAATTTGCATTGTGTTTGTTGTGGTCAACTATTCTTGATGATAATGATCATTTTCTGTCCTTCTAAGGATGAGCTTTTAAGGCAGTGGGCCAAGAATAAAGGAAAACCAGTTAGATGATCGAGGAGGTAAGACTATTAATCTGGATTTCGCCCACTAGCAAGCACTTGGGGTGGGTTCGGGGGAGGGACGAACTTCAAAAGGTTAGCTTGCAAAGATGTTTTAGGAATTTGAATTCCTCCTCCAGTACATCTATTGTAGCTCCTTGGTGTCAGAGTTTTCATAATAATTGCGGTATTTTTTTGGTTTGTCCAGCAGGTTATATCCAGTGCATTCAGTGCATTCGGAAGCCTACAAGATGGAAAAAATTATTGCTATCAAGTAGTTTTGAACTAAGCATGTAAAAGTGGCCATTGTATTTGTACATGATGCAGCAAAGAAAGTCAGTTTTATTTACAGCTTGCCTTTGAGGCCAGCTGTAACTAGCATGTATTAGCCCAATCATCATTTTTACTTGCCCGAAGGGCAGGACTCTATAGTAATATTATTTGATTTCCCCAAAAACCTTCATTTGCTCTTTAGGAAAGTTAAGAACAGAATTCACTAGCCCGATAGCAACATCCACCAGCCACAGGCTATTGGACACAACTTTCTTTGCATACTGTTGTGAAGATGTTTGTAGAATATTTTCAGAATTTTCAATCTCATTCATTCAGCACACTTCAGGTAGGCAAATTTTCATCTCATTTAAAACAAAGGTTTCACTCTTTTTTAATTTGATTTTGACCTCATTAATTTTTAGTATGTCAAAATTTAATTTCTGGGTCCCTCCATGGTTGTTTTAACAGTTCTTTCAAGTTTTTTTTGCATTGTTGTCTCTATTTTATATTGTCAAAGTGTAAAAGCTCTTACAGCTTTGTGGGTGCAAAAAAGCTTCAATTACACGAGAAACCATAAGCTGAGCCTATATGAAGTAAATGACTTGTGTTATATTGACAAGGATCCCATAAGTGTCTGCTTAATGCAGGTTTCACTGTACATACTGGTAAAACTTTCTGGTTTTCTTATGCCCACTGATTAAATGCCATGTTTCACATATATAAAACCTGATAAAGGACTAATTTAGAACACTGTTATACATCTCTCACTGGAGACAGGAGCACTATTTCTTTATATTTGTTAGAGCCTCACATAGTTCTAACGATTTGTGATAAAAGGATGTATCTTCTTCCTCAGCTATAACCCCTTCACCCCCTGCTGACTGGCAGGGAACCAAACCTGTGACCACCTGCTCTGCAGACCAGTGTTCTAAATATTGAGCCTAAACTAACCCTAGCTACTTTGAGTTTACCTCACGTGAAGTATGGGATTTGACCTGGGCCTCTCTTTTCACCACCTTTATTAACAGCTTTTTTGTGGCCCTCCTCCCCTCTTTTTTTGTATTTACATGCATTCCATAGCTGAAACATTAATACATGCACTACATTACATGGTAATGTAGTCTCTCAACATAGAGTTTAAGAGCTTTTTAGTGGTAACATGTTATTTACTTAATGGCCAGAAGATAAAGTCCTATAGTATGACCATGTAAAGGACAATTAAAGACAAAAAGCACTGTTTTAAGAGAGAAGAAGTGACGTTTTATCTTTGTGAAATTGTGTGAAAGAGTGACTAGAAGAATATGAATGTTTGTTTGCCACTTTGTATTCTGTTATCAAGGTTTTTTTTGTGTAGAGTGAAAAAAGAGTGTATTAAAAATGATGGACAATAAATGAAAGACTTTTACTTACAGTTCTGTGTGGTACTATTTTAGAGGTTGTTGTTGTCCTCGTTTTTTATCGTTTTTGTAGTTATGCGCGATATTCATAGCCGTAATTAACATGTCAAAAACTTCATTGAGTACATTCACTTCATTCATTGACAAGAAGCCAAAAACAAACAAAGTAAACATTAAAATATTGCTTGTCTGTTGAAGTTGGGCTTCAAAAAAAGCCAAGTATGCAAATATCGGGTATAATTGTTTAGAGGGAACAGTACATTGTAAAAGTAAAAAGCAATAATTAAAATGTTAAGAAAACCCCCTAAATTGTAACCTTGATTCCTCCAATGAACGCAATGTTTCGAAACAAAGTTAGGTTGCCCGCGTTTTGCAGCTTCATTGCGTTCCCATAGCAACTTTCATTGTCTCGGTCTCGTCGCGTTGTCGTGGTCTCGTGCGCTGAAATTGTGGTGTGATTGTTCTTGTATTTCCTGTGTTCGTCGTTTCTTTGTGATTGGAATTCAGATTACAAAGCTCAGCGACAATTTCTTTGTTGCTTTTGTCAACTGACGGGTAGGATAATTTTTAATCGATTTATGTTTTTAAGGACGTTTTTGTCACTTTCAGATTGAAAAGCAAGTTGTTAATTGTCCAGGGATCGGATTGTAGGAAATATGTCTCCTTTTCTTCCTTTCGGCTAATGAACGTTTTTGGTGAGACTTGGAAATACGTTATCACCTCGTAGGTAGTGTGCTGAAGAGGAGCTTTTAAAAGGATCATTCTACCAAGAGTGATGATTCTAGGCTTTCGCCAGAGGAAAGACACGACGCGACGCGAAAGGATAAAGATCAGAGAGCTCGGGCGATTTAGCTGATCGTGTCCGTCACACTTCAGGATCACAGTTTCGACGTGAGTAAGTTCAGACCTACTCAAGCTGAAAATTTTAATATACAGCAAAGTAAACAAATGATTTAACCTCTGCATCGTAAAGGAAAAACAAACGCTGGATCACAAGCACAAAGGGTTAAATATTCGAACCCGCGCTCTCCGATACCAAAACAAGATCATATTTCACTCAGTCACACGAGCTCTCAATGCCATAAATCTACGGTGATATCTTCCCAGTTGGTTTCAGCGATAAATTTTACTCTTTTCCTGTGTTTAATGCGGCGATTGTAATAATCACTCATGAAGTGGAATGGCAGAGATCCATGAGATGGAACAGAGCACTTCGTCCTTAACATCTCGTCGACTTGGTGATGAGTTATACGAGGATGGAAAAAGGTCACCATTTTATGACTCGGATTCTCCAAGTGATACTCCGTCCGTTAATGGGTAGGTAATCAGTTTTGGAAAGTTTATGTACTGAATTCAAACAAGTTTATTAAGTAGTCGTTTAATAATTATATTCCTCTTAATTCCTGTTTGTGGTCAAACATGACAAGAAAAAGAACCTGATTTTTGATCAGTAGTTTCAAATTTTAACAGACCGCAAAATCATTTAGTGTAAATCAAGATCAGTGTTTTAAAATGTATCTAAATTGTGGTGAAATATTGTTGAAAGGAGGAAAAACACATTTGTTATCTTTTATATGATTACCGTGGCTCGCAGCTGCATAATCTTTGCCTGTGTTTATCAAGCTATGATATGATTGCTAATCAGTATGAAAACAGCTGGAATCTCGCTATACAAAAAGCTCTCCGGAAAAAATGACAAATTGGATGGCTAATTTTAGTTTTCTAGCGCAGCTCCTCCACTTTTTAGCTTAAGTTGCCCCACCTGAGCGAGAAAAATTAATCGAGTTCTGCAGCAATTTTAATTTGAAATGTACGAGGCTCATAAAAGACTATAAAACAGTAATAAAATTGTGTCCACAGTATTTACACTTCAAAATCTTCCACAGCGGTGCAAGTGCTTCAACTTCTGCGAGGTCTTCTCGTTCATCCACGTTAGGATCAGGCTTTTCCACGCGGTCAGCTACAACTTCAGAGAGCGATGCTGAAGTCGAGGCATTAGATAATGTACGGGTTGTTGCAAGGTTGGTAATTTTGTTTCGGTCGAAGTTTACTTATGGTGTATATTTATGTTAATTTTTGCCGTGACCGTTTCCTTAATTATATAACATATTCGATTCAGTCCTATCAAAAATTTTATTCTGATAATTTTGTAAGTATCGATTATTGTAAAAAAAACATTTTGTTAGAATATTATCATCGTTGATGATATCAAATCAGATTTTTGAAGCCTTGACAATTTTAAAATATATGTTGCCATGTAACTTTATTAAACGTAATGTTAATAAAAGTCTGTTGTTTCATTTTGAGCCGTTTGCAAACAGACAGCTTAGCAAAGAAAATTTGAATTTCTATGGGTCTTCTTCCAGCACGGTTTATTGTTAAAAACTGGCTGTCTGACAGCTATTAGCATAAATAGCAAAACTAGCTGCCACTCACATTTTTGTCCAAATCTTGTTCATTGTTGGACCATTGCTAATGAGAATGTATTGGTATACAACTGTACCTGTGGCATTAGCATACAGCACTGTTGGAAAAAGCATGCAATCAAATGAGTTTAATTTCTCCTGCACCGTTGAGGCCCTGCCTGGGTAAACTCCGACAAGTGACATGGCCCAAAAAGAAGCGACAGCATAATTATAAAATGAAATCGCGTCAAGAGACAACCTCCCCCGACCAAATTGCGACAGTGACGGCAAAGCCGACAATAAGCGACGAGCATTTATAAACACTGACACGAGACGTTTTAAAATTCAGACTGAGTTAATTCAGGCTTAACTGACATATGACCAGTAACATCACTGCTTAGATGAAAGATCAAGACAAATTTATAGCCATAGGCCCCATTTATAAGCAAAACTGACAAGGTATAACTCACTTTCACCCCTGAAAATGACTACAGCACTGATTGTTGAAATTTCAATCACTGTCAAGAACAGTACTATTTGGGACTACACTTGCTGGGCCAATCATATTCCACACGCATTTATACTCATGACATGGCTCCTGGTTTCAAACCATTAATTCACCTACAGTTGTCATTACCTAAAATATCATAGTTTACTGAGCTGAGTTCTAAGAAAAATATTTTGTGGGAGCTTAAGCTTTCAGGGTACCCATTACTTATGTTATGTTATTTGCTGATACACTAGCCCAAAGGCCTGGTACCAGGATCCTTTACATCTTATTCCTGATAAAAGTACAGTAACCATATTAAGATCAGTAAATACCTCATACTTCTGTCCATGATGTGAATTGGATGTGAGTTTGTGCCAAAAGTCCTGACTTTCCACGCCTTGCCTGCAGCAAATTTTATTATTATTAAAATATAAAGAAAAAGATCAGCACACCTTTATCTTATGTTTTTTAGAGCACGACCATTAAATCTTTCGGAAAAGGAAAGAGGTGACAAGAATATCATCAAGCTACCTGAAAATTCTAATGGAGCCGTGTGGGTCAGTAACATACCTTTGTTTTTGTTGAGATGCCTATTAGGATATTGCTATATTTGATTATTTTAGAATTTTTAGGTTATAAGTACTTGCTTAAATGACATTCTGTGGGCTTCAAACTCAAGAAAGTGAGTTTCACCCCCTAATATCCAGTCACTGAGAAGTGGGTAAAAAGAGGGACTGGATGGCCAAGTTTTTAAATTCCACTTTGAGGTTGCGTGAGACCATATGTCCTCTCACTATAATCTGTATATTTCTCTTGAGGGAAGAGAGCATGATACATTCTTGTGACCGATAATAATATTATTGAAATGATGCTCTTGACAATGCCCCACAGAAAATATGTGCTGGTTTTTCAAAGAGACATCTGAATATAGCTGTTGTTTTGATTTTCCTGAGTACAAAATTATTATTCGGTAGCGGACTTTTTTGTGCCTAATGGGAATTCGATTTCATTTGTTCTTATTAATTTGAAGCGAAGGGTGGCTGGCAGCTCATGGAAAAAAGGTATCAGTCCTTTTTTCTCTGCCTGATCACAGTTTAACCTTGAGGTGTCTATGGACGTCACAAGAAACATGAAACAGTCTATCAAAAACACTGTTTGATGTGGTTTGTCCAAAGATCTGCAATATTTGAAAATTGACTAGAATAATGAATTAGGCTAAATTACATTTAGGGAAAGGTACATTAAATCAAGTCACAGCAGGGCAGAAGAATAACCAATAGGAGAGGTCCAGGAAAATTACCATGTGCTTTTGCTTTGAACTGATCATTGCTTCTTTCCTTCCTCTGTTTTTCCCCTCCCATCCTGGACAGGATGCTAGTCTATCGCAGGGTTACCCCCCAGCAGTATGTCACTGGTACCCATTGATACACCTGGGTGAAGAGAGACAAAATGGAGTAAAGTTCCTTGTCTAAGGATACAATGCAATGGGCGAGGCTTGAACCCTAGACCTCCAGATCTGGAGTTCGAGGTGTTAACCACTCGGCCACATATGCCTCCACCATGAATCAATAAAACTTTGTTGTAATTCACATCAGTTTTCACATTTCATAGTCGCGATTTTTTGTTATTTGACTTGAAACAGGAGTTTTTTTTTCTTCTCCTGTTTTTGCAGATTGATAACAGTTTTGGCCAGATCAAGCCTTTCACCTTTAATGCAGCATTTGGTGAGGAAACTACTCAGAAGGAGATGTTCAATGAATGTGGCATCAAACATTTGGTGGAGATGGCTGTTGAAGGGTTTGTTAATAATGATCAGGCCATTTCAAGTTTGAAAACAGGGCTTCAAAACAAGTTTGAAATTTTTTAAGAAACATAAAAAATATTTGCCCAGCAAGAAATCCACTTGTCCCAGACTAATGGCAGGGACTTAATTCAAGCCCCTGAAAAAATGAGCCATTTTGCTGTCTAGTATTTTACCTGTGCTAAATTGGCCCACCAGAAGTTTCATATGTACTCAGTACTTTTTGCTTGTGTGTGAGTGTGTGTGTTTCTTTTTTACTTTATTTAGATATTCATGTACAGCTTTTGCTTATGGCCAGACTGGATCGGGAAAAACCCACACTATCACTGGCCCACTGGTAACTAAGACACTTGATTCTTAAAATTTGCTGGAATGTTAAGTTTTACTGTTTTGCCCTCACAGCCATTTCATCTATACTGCAATATTTTCACACCTTTTCTAGTAAATTCCTCACTCTCAAAGAGAAATGAAATGCTCAGATGATGCTTAGATAATCTGAAAAGAGTTGCAGTTGCATGCGAATAACCTGGGGCAGGTTGTGGAGGGGACAGGGCTACTATAAGGAATTCTTGTTGGGGGTGTGCCAAACAAAACCCACTGAATTGTACTTCGCAAAGTTGTGTAATGGGATTCTTTGCCCCAAGGTCTAAATCCCCACCGTTTTGCATGTTCCTTTAGACTGAAAGGTACTCCTTTTGGGCAGAGCATCCCCATGTGGTCTATTACAAGAAGTACCATTAAGTCTCTAGGGAATCACCCTAGGGATGAATGTTTTTGAACTGGCCTATCCAGCACAGTTGGAGTGCAAGTCTCCAAACAGTACAGCTTTGGTAGTTAATGAAGTCGCACAAATTTAATCTCCCTTTCTTGAAAAAAGAAAAGCTTAAGGGAGGAAAATCTTTTGCAGGTATTGAATGGAATGTCCTAATTTATTGTAGGAAAATTCTGCTGACAAGGAGAGGTTTATTCCTGATCCAGACATGCAGGGGCTGATTGAGAGGTTTGCATTTGTGAGGAGTGATTGAGCCAGTGTATTATTATAATTACATTTCTATAATCATTGTTGTTATTATGAGGTATTAAGTTTCTGCAACAGTGATTGACAATATACAAGGTCATATATTACACAGGAGGTAAGTGCTTGCCAGAAATAAAGATGTCCATGCTCTGCACAAAGACTTTGGAAGGTTCTGACACTATGACACTACATACAGGTCTCAAGATGTGCTATTTTCAAGTTGACTAATTTTATTTGTTCAATGTGTTTTCAGATCCTTCCATTATATGTTTGAATTAATGGAGAGTCATGCAGATGTGGAGTATACTATTAGAGCATCTTATTTAGAAGTGTATAATGAAAAGGTGTGCGTTCTTTCTCACATAAAATCCACATAGTTTGAAGTGGACAAGTTTGGTTTGCAGAACTTTCAAAATTATGATTAGAAATAGCCTGGTGTCCACAGCTATATTAAATCGTCTTAAATTTTTAACAATTAATGCTCTCTACTTCATTGCATTTGGAAATCTTGGGACAATCTATGTCTAAAAGAATGACTAATCTTAAAACTACACTTGCTAGTTCCTGGACTCCCGTATCAAAATGGTGCATTGGATAAGCTCAACAATTTAACCTTATTTTTTCCCTCAGATTCAAGATTTGCTGAATCCCTCTAGGGCAAGGGACTCATTACCTGTACGCTGGGCAAGGGACAGAGGCTTCTATGTAGAAAACCTGTTTTTTGTTGAGTGTGACACTGTGGATGACCTGATTGCAGTATTAGAGGAAGGTAACTGATTAATTTGTAAAGTCTGGAAAAAAATCGGAAGGAAGGTTACTTTCCTGGTCCCTTACATTATAGTGAGCTGGGTGGAGTAGAGGTAGGTTGATTAGTTCTGTAGTTGGGATAGGTGGGCACTCTAGTGGGACTGAACTCGTAAAATGGAAAGAGCTGACTGAATTTATATGGCTATCTCTTGCCTTGCTTTAAAACTATAGACACTTTCTTCTGCTGTTAACTTTATGGTAAATTGCAAAGTTGTGGTTGGAGGTATTCACAGTTTGGACTATCAAAGATTGCGCCTCTAAAAAAAGCGGTCTCTCCTCACTCCTCGCCACGAAGGACCTTTTGCAAAACGTCTCTTGTGGCGAGGAACGAGGACAGACGGCTGTTTTCACAGGCCATCAAAGATTAAAGGAGCTAATTGTCACGACATTTAGCTAAATTTATTTTCCAGGCCCTGGCCTTCAAATCAAGAGAAACATAAAGATAACCGATCAATACATGTATGTTGACAAAAGGTTTAAATAACAGAGAAAATACAAAACTGAAGGCACGGATGGACAAAAATTGAAGAAGATCAGAATGAAAAGTTTTTCAATGTTTGTCTCTGTTGTTTTTACCGCTAAGTTTAAATTCAGTTCTCGGGATACAAAGCTGTGACTTTGTCATTTACAAGGAACTTTTTCGTTAACTTTCAGTGTCATAGTGAGTAAGGTCACGTAGTTGAAAAAAGCAAAACAAAATCTGGAGTGGACTGCCATGACACAGCCCCTGAGAAACAAAGAAGTGGGCGGGTGACGGACACCGAAGATGCTACATACCTTGTATTAATTTATAACAAGCTTTTTTGACGGGAGTTCGAGTTATCAAGATTTCAAAAGGACTACTATACCCTAGTACGATTTCTCCTTTATTGACTGCCAGAGATCTGCAGAAGTAAAAGAGTGTAACAAATGTACTTCTGTTTATTTTGTGCAGGTCTACATAACCGTCAAGTTGGGTCTCATATGATGAATGATCACTCTAGCAGGAGCCACAGTATGCTTACAGTATACATAGATATTGAGTCGGTGAGACTTACGTTCATCTTTGATACTCTCTCCTCTCCTCTCCAGAGACTTCTTTGTGTCGTTGGGAGGCTAGTGAGAGAGAAAAAAGAATGGAATACTCAGCGAGAGCTTCTGCGGAGGAGAGAGTCTTCGATAGACAAACCTTTTAAGTCTAGAAAAATATTGATGAACTTGTAACCAATTAGTCGCCCCTAGAGAAAGTAGTCAAAGTAAGGAACAATTATATGAAAGCCGCGCTGCGGTGAATCGTGTCTCTGAGGATTTCTATGGTCATACAGACTTGCTAGAGATGGGGACAGTCAAGTGATCCATTTGTGTTTCAGGGAAGGTCATGTTTCCAAGACTGGCTTTTTTTTTTTTTGGAAAGAGAAAATTTAACGGTCCAGTTATTTATAGATTGCATCAGAATTTAAGCCCGTTCTTTTTGTCAGCTTTAAACGTCTACGTTCGGCAACGTGTTAAAGAGAACGTATATGGCAGTAGGAAACTGATTTTCATTTCATAACATCAAACTTGAGTAAATAAGAACTGTCAAAAATGCAGCTTCAGGGAAATACTTTTGACAGTTCTCACTAAAATGCCTAACAACCGATAATTAAATTCTTACCTAAGCAAATAAGATGCAGTTAGTTAACATTTTATTCTTGGAAGTTGATTACCGAATTTAGCTGTGCGCGTGGTTTATATTCCTTGAATGTCGATTCGTTTTTTTCTGTGTATGCGGTTGGTTTACCTTAAAGCATGAAACAGGGTACCGATATGGACTGAAATGGGATTGTTGCTTTCTAAAAGGAGACCAGTGAAATCAGCTTTATTAGTAGCCAAATTGTTAGTAGATGAGTGATACTAAATTATAACTTTCTTTTCAACTGGTTCGAGCCTTTTAAACGCTCGTTAAATTGTCTGGTGGCACAGACTTGTCCAGGGAAGGACTTTCTGTGATACTTTATTTATTGCAAACTTTTAATTTATTTACAAACGGTTCGTATTTTAATAATAACTTTCAATTTCTACAATTGTAACGAACGTTTCACTTTCTTTGTAGAATGATTCCGGTGACGCGTCTGGCTATCCAGTGGTAAAGCACGGAAAACTGAGTCTTGTAGATTTAGCTGGTAAGATTAAAAGGTTCAAAACATACATCCTAAAGGTTCTCTAATAGAACTGGAGGTTTGCGGCCGCCTCTAAGACGGCCAAATTGTTTTCATTGCAGCGAATGCATTGGAGATCTTAAGATACCACAACGGCGACTTCAGTGAAAACTGTGACGTCACCGAAAAACTGGCTTCGTGTCCTTCCAAACGCTTTCGCGATTATTCTTCAGAAACTGAACTGAAGCGAAGGGACCACGTCCGAATTCAGATAGATACGGTAGAATTTATCGTATTTCCGTTCGCTTTCTTTAGGACTTACAGTTTGATCAGTTTACGTCGTAGTTCTGCAGGTACGGCCGTGTAGAAATTTACAGGAGAGCGTACTGCAGGTGCACGGCGTTTAGAGTTGTGTTCTCACTATTCTTCATTGACGGTTTCTGTTGCCATTGCTTTTGCTGTCGCCGTCGTAGCCTCGTAAAGTCCGCATTCGCTTTGTTTTAACCCCTCAACAACGACGACCTTGCTACAATGCTTATGGTCATCTCACTCCTTTGATCCCAAATTGGTGGGGTGGTGGTGGGGGGGGGGAGGTGCATGGGTGAGTTCGATTGTACTTTGAAAACAAATTGTATAAGATATACGCGTAGAATTCCTGGAAATATCGTGTCATGAAAGTGGCTAGTACTTACTTGAGCCCTGCAGTAAGCGTGTTTCTAATCGGTTCCTTATCGTCAGTTAATTTTGTTTGACTGTTGTTCAAAACTCTTCCTTTGGCAAATGCGCTAATGTTTCAAAATATTTGTTTTTGCCTCAAACTTCTCCAAACGGACACTATTTTTTTTTTTTTTGACTTTTCTAGCAACAGGTTTTGCGAAATATTGCCGGCATTTTCGAGGAGATGCGATGAGTTTTGTTTGTTTGAAGGAACAACCTCTGAATTCCACACACGTACGTAAAATATGTACACTCAGGAACATTTTTTCTTTGCGGTTAAATTCTTTGTTTTTAACTGCATGAAAGTATAAACAATGACACTGCTGCCTTGCTGTCAATAAATAACCGTGATAATTGTTTGAAATACTGTTGTCCTTTATACCCAGGTGTCTCTATGATTCTGTCAGTTACACCACAAACACGGGGCGCTGCATATAATTGTGTTTTGAACTCTTTAATAAAGGATAATGATGTCAATTTCCACGGCTCAGTAGCCAGCCGTTTCGTTTATTATGTAAAATTGGTTATGCATGTCGAAGAACTGAAGACAATGAACTAAACCGATGATGGTTCACGACATTTAGCGACATTTAGTACATTTGAAGGGCAAGAGTTATTGAGCGAAGAATTTGTCTTGTAAGTACGTAATCTGATGAAAGTTTCTTTGATTGGGATTGGTTTATACCTGACGCACGAGTTTTAGTCAGCTTGTCCGTAGTTAGTTTTCCCATTGTTTTCTAAGTTATTGTACTACACGAACGTGCAATCTAACACAACCAACAACTTCAAGGGCTTGTTTCGTTTAAAATACAGGTGTACTGTTTGCCACGATTATCGGCTACGATTATACTAAATTTAAAGTCAACGTAATCTAAACCTGAATCCTTGGCACTTATCAGACACTTAGTCAAGTCTGAAAGTTTCAAAACAAGATAGCTTTAATGTTCATTGTTGCTTAACAACGACAAACGCCGTTGAAACGTAGTAGTTTTAATAAAAAGTCATATTCCTCTATTTTACTACCTATACATTTTTTTAAATGATTTACTTTGTTCGGTTAATCAGATTAGATTATCTTTGTGGCGTTGAAGGTTTTGAATCTTTACACGTGTCATAACTGATTTGCGTTTGCTTTTTCTTCCTTCACAGGGAGCGAGCGTGTAAAAGAAACGAAGTCAGTCGGAGGAACGTTCACTGAATCACAGAACATAAATAAGAGTTTGTTGACGTTAGGTGAGTTTGTCATGACTTGATTCCATATTTTACCGGCCGACGGATTTAGTGCTAAATCAAACAAAAGAAAACGAGTTGTTTTATTGTGGATTTAACATCAGTACTATTAGATCGACACTTGTAAACATGGATTTGTGTTAGGCATTAATCGATTTTTTGGTTGATCCATCTTCGATCCTTGTTTCTACACTATGTTAAATTAAATGTCGTTCAGCAGGAAACTCGCTGTTTGCGAAGTTTAACTTTATTCGTTATTTAATACGTTGCCTTATCAACAAGCATTTGTTGGATTAATTGTGGAAGAAGCAAGTCCTAAATCACACTTTTTGTTTTAATTAAATTGCCGAAATGTGTCGCAAACTGAAATTTTGATTAAATACAAATACACCCTCAGGCTGTTTTGGTACCGCCATGTCATGACTAAATAGCAATTACATAATAATAAAAGGCTTAAATGTTTTATCAGTGTCATAGCCTCATCGTTTAAACGGATTTGTTTGTTTAATATAGGTTTTTTCATCAGAGTTTCCTTATATATGTAGTTATACCGCATCTACGGATTTGTATATCAACATCTTTCATTAAATCTCATTAAGTTCTCTGAAGTTATTTCACTACATGCTTAAAATTGATTCCATAGTCTAATTAACATGTTAAATGTTACAAGATTGTATCTTCTGATATTTCCTGAACCATTATTACGTTCAAATTGTTGGCATTGTTTGCATGCATGTCTTCCTTGGTGAAGCAAAACCCCGCGCGCGCGCGCGTTCATCGAGCTGTGCTGTGTATCTCTGCAGTTCGTTAACAATTGTAGTTTGGCTAAAATATTAACGGTCAACTCTCCTCGCAGACGGACACTGTTGGGAAGTGTCTGCCTCACAGAGTTTCACAGCGAGAGTCTGTGATTTTTACAGTTACTATTCTGAACTACCCTCCATCTCCAATTCACACACCCACGAGGTATCGTGCCAGCGATTGGGACTGAAAGCTCATTTGCAAGCGAGACTTTCTATTGTTCAGTTTCAAAAAGAGAAGTTCGACCTTTACCAGATAATCGTCTTGATCAGTTTATGCGGTGTTACATTTTGAGTTTTGTAGATGAGATCTTCGGTTGATACTAGTTTGCTCTATGAAAACTCTGCTGATCAGTACTTGTTTGTAGCGGTTAGTGATCTTCAGCAATGTACTTTTTCCATAACTTTAACTTTGTTCTATAGCTGCTTCGCCTCCTGAATGAAAAACTGAAAAGTCCTTATTTGGAACGAAACTTGCCAGAGTATACTCGTTTGTCTTTCAATACTTATTTCTTTAATGCTTGTTCTTTGAAGGCTAGACAAGTCTATTTAAAGACCTACTCTGGGAGCTAAAGTCGCCGCAACTTAACGCGACTTAAGGCGACTTTAGGAAAATTTGCTCGAAATGTTATGCGATTTAAGGCGGTTTTAGGCGACTTATGGCCATATAAGATGACCAATTAGGTGAATTAAATGTAAGTGTATGTGACGAGTGCCAAGTGTGCATTGTTGTATTTGTTATTAAGATTAGGGTTACGTAAACTAATGTGTCAACGCGAATATTTAATAAGCAGAAATTTAAGTTACTTCCTGTCTTGTTAAAGAGAGCTTATTTCTCTCGTATCGCTGTCTCTCACAAGTGTTTCAGTGTATACAAAATTGACATCCACTGATAACACCACCTGTCTACGGAGACAGTCGCACACCTATAAAACTACCAAATTTCCAACAGTCTCAACACATTTAATACTAAAATAGTGATTCTAAATTATATGATGAACGCTAAATATCAATTAAGGTTAGCTAAGCAGCCTTGATATCTTTGTTCCGGAGCCAACGAATTAACAAAAATGTGTTTCAAGTTTCCCTTCAACCTGATTGGCCAATGGACAATGGTATTATTATTATTTTTTTCGATGAATGGGATTGATTACAGTTCTGTAATCTGATTTCCCTAAAATATTTCACTTGCCAGCCAGGAAAGTTGAAAACAAAACTTAATATACCCTAAGACACTTGCACACTGTTTAACAGACATAACCTTTCAATGCCGTTCAACAACACTTTTACCGTGAAATTTGTTACTTTTTGTCGATTTACGCTTTTTGTCGATAAGTTCTTGACTGTTGACCAGAATTTTTGTGGGTTAGATGAGTTAACAAGTTCTTCCATTGTGTAGTTCTGATGTTTTCAAAGCATTTTTTAACCATTGTTTTCAAAACCAATACGTTGTCAAGTATTCCGCTGGTTCAGATGATGATAATTATTGAACAAAGGTTATTTTCACTGTTTTAAAAGAAATTGTGCATTCAGATGATGAAATTCAAATAGAAAACTAAAAAAGTAATTGCTACGAGACAATTTCAACCTCTAGAGATTATAATGATTTAAAGCGACTTAAGACGATTTAAGGCGACTTTAGGCGACTTAAGGTCCCAAAGTTTAGGCGACTTAACCCCCAGAGTAAGTCCCTTTAGTGACCAACATCAATTTTAACCCTTGATATCCATAGATTGTCAAGAAGCAAATTCTCTCATCTCTATAATTTCTTTAAAATGATCACAAAGTTGAAAAATTTGAAAAAGATTTTATCAAATTTCTCTTTGGTGATTCATTTAATTAATTCTCATAACCTCATCTCTTGACATTGTATGGATATTGTTAGGAGAAAATTGATGTTGCTCACTATTTTCTTAACATTCAATCGAATAATGCCAGTGTTTGTGGCAACCTTCCTTTCACAGGAAACTGCATTTCTGCACTGAGCGACCCAAGAAAGAAAGGAGGGCACATTCCATACCGCGACAGTAAACTCACTAAACTTCTAGCTGACAGCTTGGGTGGGGATGGTATCACCCTTATGGTAAGTGCTTCACACTCTTTCTCATTACCCTGATATTAGGTCAAAAGAGAGCGAAAGCCGGCGGAAGTTGCCGACATTGACAGATTCCTTCACGTTTGGTCTCAACTATCGCGCACGCTTGGGGAATTTTAGTATAACCTTGTTCAGCATAGTTGAAGTACAAGTAAATGCCAACAGGAAAGACTGTAGAAGAAAGAATGATCGCCGAAAAGAATGGTAACAGTCCGTCCCACTAGACATTACTCCTCCTTACACTGAAGTCTACGTAAAAACGAGATTTAAAATAAAAATTAAAGTTATAGTAAAAGTAGGTTGAGTCGATCGTCCGGGTGAAAGTAGTCCTGAATAGGACTGTTGTTGTTGACAGTGACTGACGTTTCGACAACCTGTGCGGTAGTCATCTTCAGAGTCAAAGTGAGTTGGTAAACTCGGTAGGTTTAGAACTAGCTAAATGACGGTCTTTGAAAGAACCATGTATGTGATGGGTTTGAAGTTATTGGCCTTGTAAGATGAGTTAGGGAGCGGGAGGACTGCTTAAATCTGCTTTGCTTAGGCGGAAAGGAGTACAACCTCCAGTTAGCAACGCAAACTTTACCGCGGGGCAAGCCTTGCCGCAGGGGTAATATTTTAACGTTATGGAGATTTATTAAGATGCGACATACGGACAGTTCATAGCTCTGACCGCTCGCAAGTCACCACGTAAGTCTTGGCGCCAGAGCTGAAGACTGTTTTGAGGTTCTGATTAAGTTTTTTTACGACTCTGACATTTCTAGATCGCATGTATTTCGCCTTCTTCGTACGTGGTGCAGGACACCTTGAACACCCTGAGGTACGCTCACCGCGCAAAGAGGATCAAGAATAAGCCTGTGGTGCATATGGTATGTCTGTGGGCGAGTGTGTCAGTAACCAATTAGTGCCAGAAGGTTAATGAGATCGTATACAGCTATTTAATTAACGTTGTCGGATTTTAAGGCCTCAAGCCTACGCGCGACAAGACCGCAAGGTCATGTGGGTAACTGTAGATTTGGTTATAACTTCACGATTGTCAGTGCTATAGAACGGTATTAAGTCTCAGAAACTTTTACCTTTGTCGTCCTTGTATGACAGAAGAATCGTGCTTTATGGCCGAGTTTGAGAATTTTTTAAAGGAGATTGCTACATTGTAGTAGCCGTATGCCGGATTTAGTCTATTGACGGATGAGTCAAAACCAGATTACGAGACTTTTTCACCTGAGTAAACTGAACCGGAACCAAAGTAATAAGTACTCTGGTCTGTTAATTCAGCAAGACGATACCGGAAATAAATGTTTTGTGGCAGTTCCCAGTATGCTTGACCTTAAGTGAAGAAAAACGTGTGCAAGCAGATCAAAATCTGAGTTTTCTTCTGACAGCAACTGTTGAACGTGGCCTACTAAGACGAGTGAAACTTGAAGCGCGCAGTGTGCTCTTTACCCTGGGTACCAGAGTTTTTTTCTCGCGTGCGACGAGGAGCTTTGTCGGCCGCAGGCCGAAGGCACGAGCGGCGGGTCACTTTAAAAACTTGACCGAAACCGGAAACCGCGCATGAAAAGCCTCTGGCACCCAGGCTATGTGCTCTTAAGCACCGACACTAAACAATTAGGACAGGGCTCGCCTGAGATCATAAGTACGCTTTTAAATGAGAACTGATTCAAACGCGTTTTCAGAAAGATTATTGTTTGAGGATATTTGACGAGACTTGTCTTTTTCAATGTACCTGTGTTGGGAGTACGTCAATCATGAGCTCAGTTTACTTAACCTTTCTTTGCAGGACCCAAAGGAAAAGCTGATTTTGAACCTAAAGCGAGAAATAAAGTTACTTCGTACCGAAAACGCCTATTTTCGTCAGCAGGTATTTAGCGTCGAAAATGTGCTCACACATTTAGGTTTTAAATTATTCGTTCGCATTTTATTGATTTGATCACCACATGCACTGCGATTCGTTCGTTACTGCGTGTCTCAGAGTTGTTCTATTAGCAGGTTGGTACTTTTTAGTGAGGGGCGTGGGGTGGGGGTTGTAAGCCAACAGTCCACAAAAAGTAAGAACAAAAACTATCACTGAACCCTTGATATTTTGTCAGACATGTCATATCAGCGATATGGACTGATTTATCATTTTGGTATTTCTGTTTCCTTAGCTGGGACTACCAAGCAGCGAGTCTCAAACATCCGTGTCAAGTAACGACAGTAAAACAACAACCGAAGTGGAGGATGAGAGTACACCAAAACTTGACGTTCCCAGTTCACTACCGCCAGGTGTGTGCATCTTAGTTATCTCTTGAGTGATGGTGGAGTAACGGTGTTGCTGAAATCCTTGAATCGAAATGCACCAATGAGACTGTAGCCTTTGAATCGTAGTTGACCAATGAAACGGTAGACTTTCCGCCGGAATACATTAATCAGTGTTCAAAACAAAACCTTACTGAGATAGATGTTTTTCAGTCAGTGACACAGACGGCTTGGAAGAAAAAATCCGAGTACTCCAAATAGGAGTCGAACCTCTGATTACTTGTCCAGATCCCCTACCACTAAGCTACAGGAGACTCGAGGACTCTAAACCTTACTGTTACCGAAATCTGTTTCGATCTCCAGCAGTAATGCCCTTCCAGTTAGTGTCTCTTATCTGCCTAACACTCTAAAAATTGTTCCACCTCCAGCGCTGTATCTGTAGATATAGGTCTTAGGCGCTTGATCGTCACTGTTGGTTGGCGCTCATGAAGAGGTGCGAAGCAAAAGCTTCTAAGAGGGCCAAGCCAGACTTGCAGACAACTTGCTTTGTAGGTTTTTATCTTTAATAGGTTCTCTTTTTTATGCCCTGCAGCGAAACACTTACAAGCCCCTGAAGATTCACAAAGACTGACAACCGCTATGTAAGACATCTATTCCTTTGTATTAGGTATCAATAGTAGACGATACTATAAGTCGTCATCATTACTAGTTTTGAATAGTCTCTGTCTTTGGTGCTTCAAGTTTTGTCTCCCTCCAGCTTCACTATCATGAACAGTTCCTGACTTTTATCTTAATTTGTAGCATGGCTGCTGGGGCAAACTCCGGTCTTTATGACATGCTACAAGAGTATATGGTCGAAAACGAACATCTCAGGTAAAACATGCATGTTCTTATTCCTTTGAAAGATTCGTCTTTCCAGCAGTTGAATTAAGGTTTTATAATTTTCATTTCTTCACAGAACAACCAACGTCGAACTTGTGCAAAGTCGCGAAGAAGTCACCAGACAACAGATGGTAAGTGAAGAACGTGAATTTACGCGCTTTTTGGTGGTCTGTGTCATTGCTTTCCGGTTCAAATCAAGCGTAATAGTCGTGGTGTCTATTTCTCTTTGTATTCTTAGGTGCTGTCAAGAGAAAATGACCGACTCTCAAAGAAACTAGAAGAGTTAGAACGGTTAGTGAGCTCTTTGACTCACTTTTTTCTCGAGAACGAGTGATAGGCATCACAATGATGTGTGAGCTTTGTTAGTTTGTCGTAGCGGTATGAATTCTTGAACCGGTATCAGGGCCATGATCACAGAACTAATGCGAAAACCAAAGAAATCGGTCTGACCAATCACAGGAGATACAAACAATCCGATGAACCAATCAGAAATAGAAAAAAACACATGTAACCGGCGCCAAGCGCGGGAACATTCGGGTGAACAAGTTACAACCCCTTCTCGTTTTGCTTCTGATTGGTTGATAAAAGTAGCGCAAGACAATTTTTACTTAGAAGGAGGAACGAAGATGAACTAGTAGCACAGGCATCGTGTAAATCCTCCTAACTTCTAAATCTTTAATTATTACAGGGTAATCGTTAATTCGCCGATGTCTCGAAGGACGTTATCTGGTGTTGAACGCACTGGGTCTCTCCCTGAGGAGCACTTTATGAACAGCGTAGCAGGCCACTCAGCTGAAACACGCCCGTCGCCGTTTGTGGAGGAGCATAACCATTTACTGAGGCGAAATTCGCTTCCTAGTAAGAGAAACTTTTGTTATATACTTACTTCATTCGAGTTTGTCCATCCCTTTTTGCCGTTGGAGGTGTTTTTGATTCGTATTTCCTTTTGTCTCAGCGCAATCCAGAGATCGCCGTCGGTCGACCTCAGACCCCGCCCCTCAACCGTTGGTCACAAAATTCCCGCCACTTCACAACGGGCCTTATCCCAACTATGTTGGACAGGTCGGCTGGCATCCAAAATCGGAGGCTCAACCTACGTCTCAGGAACCAACCCGAGGTAAGGTTTACATACACTGTAATGTAGCATTAAGTGTGAAGGATTGCTCGTGGTTTTGAAGATTTAAATTTTCCAGGCTGCTTACTCATTAAATCTCATTAAAAAGCTGCTAATCGTTTGGATTTTCCGATTTCCGACAGGAAAACCCCACAAACACACGCAAAACTGCGACTTTGACTTTTCGTTATGAACACTGATTTATATTCAAATACTAGTATCTGAAATAGTGGACTCCTTAAAAATTCCTGAACTTAATGAGAACTTTTCGTAATGAAAGTCAGAAGGTAATTGTAGTTGCGCTGTCATTAGACTGGAGTTGTTTGCACTCAGTACCGTTTTTATGTGAAGCTGTGCGTTCTAAGCGTAGGATAGTTTTTGGTGTTTTCAGTCGGCATAAACACTGAATTCCAGGTTAGTTACTTTCAGTTACTTTATTTTGTTTGTTTATGACTTCAGAGACAAACAACAACGTGCCTCCGAGGGTACCGCATGGTCACTCCGTCCCAGACTATACGCACAAGCCAAAACCTACAATCAGCACGTAAGTTATGTGCACAATAAGATAACCCTATCAACATAGTACACTCCCGAGGTCAAGTTCCACAGTAAAAAAGGAGTTCAGAGCCATGTCATGTTGCTTGTACAAAGCCAGCCTGGCCTCCTCCTGTCAGCTTAATTTTAAGCTTTTAGCCTTCGTATTTTCTTTCCGCACCATTCTCCATACGAAACTGAGAAGGAACTAATAAAGGTACTGAACAAGGACAATTAAAATGGAGCCGAAACCAATTTTAGAATTGCACCCATTTTAGGCATTCTCAGGCTCATGATGAAAATTTACCTCATTTAGATATTTGCGGCAGCAACATTTTTTTCTAGACTGCTGCCTTAAAATCTCTCATTTCCAGTATGTGTCTATACGTAGGCACGGAAAGGTTAACGTGTTGACCATGTTATGTTTAATTTGACAAAGTTATTTTATTTATTTTGCGTTTCCATTGCTTTTGCCCACTAACCTGCGTGCTATGATCGCTCAGCGAACCCAGGGGACATAGCTTTGATATTGAATTTGTAAGAGTTATTCCTATGACATGGGTAAGGTCAAAACTAGTCTAAGTAACATTGGTAAATCAAGTCAGTCATTAAATTTTGCTTTTACAAAACTGTACTTTTTTTTCTTTACGCAGAAAGAAGAGGTCCGTTCCTGTTACTTTAAACGATCGTCAAAAAGGCGCTAACAGCTATGCGCGAATGTTTGCTGCGCTCAAAGAGAAGAAAGCAAAGGGGGCGAAAGAAAATGAAGCGAAAAAGGTCGTACAAAATGGTGATGTAAATCATAGCAAGGGCGCCAAAGAACAGTTCAATTCTCAGGTGCAAAAAGATGGAACTAGTTTTGGTGGTCATCAAAGTGTTGGGTGGCCTGTGGAACAAGATGTGCACTTCAGTAATAACCTTGTACCCGGTATGTCCACTGACATGAATTTTCTTTTGTATTGGTGTTATTTATTATTCTGTTACTTTGCTTAATACTCAACAAAGAAATTACGTACTACATAATCAGAGTAATAAAATTTATGATATCGAAAGACGTTTTTGTCCAAAAGGTTTTTCGAGGTTTAACCTGAGGTTAATTTCTTGAATTATCGACATGAAACATGGTGATTAAGGATCACTCTTCTTTTACCGGCACCGGACTAGTCTTTGACAGTTGTGCGCGCTAATTTTGTTTCGTTGCTTTTAAATTTGTTGTCATCTTTATTAACCGCAGACACGAGACATTATCGATTTTATAATCATGCTTGACAAATGTTTCTTGTCGCTCGGTACAAATAACTCACTGACAAACGAGAATTCAAGCGCGTAAAGACAAGTTTCAGTGTCCGTGCACGAAGTTCAAGCGACCTGCACATTAAAAAAGGAGCACAACTCATCTTCAATGCTTCAATGTTTTAAATTTTGCTCATGTTTTCCTGACACGTGTGCAAGTTCTATCTGTTCCCGAAAGCTGGCCGTTTACTTAAAACATTAAAAACAATTTAAAAACCATTATTATGTACTCAACTTCTAAAAAATTGCTTACCTTTTTAAACATTGTTAAGTTCTTGTTTTCGAGCAACTGAAGAGGTGAAGAACCAACTGCATCCTGCATGTTTATAAATTTGGGTAATCCCCGGTGTAATATAATTTATTCGTTTTCTTTGTTTTATGTTGAGGATGTTTTGTAGTCTTTGTTTTACGTCAGCTGTGAGTAATAAATTATATTACACCGGAGATGAGCCAAAGATGTGAAGAACGTGAATCATTTTTCTGCCGCAGTGGCTAGCGGTGAGCCTTTACCGATACGAAATACTCGATATCGATACGTCATCCGCCCTCAGCAAGTTAGGAATCATCTTGATGTCTTCAAGCATTGCAATAAAGCTTGTAAAGCGTTTTGTCGTTTTAAATAATGAGAATAAATGCATTGCGACTCTAAACCTGCGTTGATTCTACGTGAATAAATTGAACCGATATATTTTATATATCGAGATTTTCGGCGACCCACCACTGACGAGGGCGGGAAAAATGGAAACCGTGCACTGGTGCACAAGGCGACGCGCGGGAACAAACAAAACCGGTGCAAAAGCGCGGGAAAACATTCAGTGCAAGATTGGTATTACATTTGTGCATTTATACTTATGAGTCTATTTGTTATTTTGAGTGGCTTTTAATGGTCATCTACCCTGTACTGGTAACGTAAACGAGCTGTTTATAGGCCAAAATAATTCGCGATTTTCCTCTTTTTGCAGGTGGAAATCACCAACTAGCTGAACGCACAAGACAGGAGCTCGAACAGTTAGACTCACAGATAGAATACCACAGATTTATGGCACAAAACAGATACAACCACAACCCGCCTAGATGACACTCGGTTGTCGTTCAGTTATAAAAGTTAGTCTTCGATCGGAGAAAATGGGAGGGTTCCAGCCAAATGGAACAATTGAAAGGAAATATTATGAATTGCGGAAGTTGAAATAAAACGTGTAGGATATTTTAAAGAATAGTTGTACATATTATTTACCTTGGGTATTAAAATATTTCAAACCATTTGGTCACTTCACATGTGGCAAATAAAACTATTAAGTTTATATCAAATTTATATGAAATAAAGATATATATACATGCGTCGTTTTTGTCAAGTGTTGTTTTTTAGCACTTCGCTTAGATATAATACAGATCTCAGAATCAAGCGAGCCAATCCAGGCAATCCATACACATGTTTAAGCCCAGATTTAACCTCCTTTTCAGCGACTCTAACAAAATGGTAGTAGTATGGAAAGATGGTTATGAAAGCTGGTGAAATTCAAACACAAACACCTCGGTGCTGTAGTGTTTATGACTTGGGCTCCTTGACTCTACGCCATCTTTTGCTTGTAATAAGGTTCCCGACGTGCTGGAATCCTATTTCACACTGTACACGGTAAAGACCAAAAACATTAACAACATTAAACGAAATCTGTCGGATGTCATAACCATTGCAATCTAACCCTAACCCTAACCCTAACCCTAACCCGGCTGCACCTTGATGGCCGGCTCCCGCCCCTACTTCTTCCTTCCTTCCCTGATCCCTCTTTCGATTGTGAAATGTTAAGCGCTGTTTCGTAATTCCCCTCCATTTCTCCCGCTTCCAACCCTTTTCTCAGTAGAGTTACCGTACCCCTCCCGCCCACTGTTCTTTCGAGCTCCCACCCCCTACCTCCCCCCATCCCACTAACTATAAAGAAATAAACAACTACATGCAGTCGAAGCAACATCGGAACTATTCAATTATCAACCGATGTTTTCCTGTACGTTGAAAACAGTCTACCATGGCGGGTCATTTTCAGGGATCAAATAGTCATCAGTGCAGTACAAAAGTGAATTGTCCTGCATAGGAAGTGTCATGGCCTGGCCTACAGTGAGACATTTCAGTCATACATACAACTTTATTAGAATCTGGTTCTTCTAATGTATAGTTTTTACACACGTGGAGATTGTGCACGTATATACATATTTACAATGAAGCGAGGTGTTAATTTAAAGTTTTTACGCTAGGAAGATAAGAGCTTTGCGCGTTTTATCGTGAAAAGACAGAAAACACACAAACCTAACAACAGTTTCTTTTCTGTATTGTTCGAATGCCTATGCAATTAAATAAAATCTGTAACAAAACTCGTTTTCAGGTGGTACTAACTGTCCCCTCTCCCTCGGTTAGAAAACCCAAAACTTGTGCCGCAAAATTATCAGCAGTTATGTTCTCTGGCAGATGCACTCTTAACAGCTCGGCTGCGTTTGATGCGTCGTAAGTTCCAGTCTCCGCGCTACCACCTAATTCTCCAATACCCAGTAAGGTAGACATATACTCGGCCATCTCGCCTTCTGTCATGTGCTCGCCTATAAAAAGCAGACCAAAAAAAAATCATTAAGAAGAACAAGAAACGGGGAAGAGTTGTGAACGTAAATAATTAAGGTGGAGCTTTTGTAGTACCGGAAAGCGAATTTTCGACCCAGTATGATCAACTAATAATAATAATAATAAAGTCTTTATTCATCAAGAGATAAAAATACATATCTTTTGTTACAAGTAAGTGTAAGAAATTTAAAAAGTTAAAAAGTAAGAAATAAAAGATATATACCGGTATATATATCTAGTATATTACATAGCTAATTCATATTTAAAAACTAAACGATTAATAAAAGAGTTTTTAAAGCGCATAGTGTTAATCTTAGGTTTAAAACTAGTTTCTTTTCTAAGATTGTAGCTGGAGGGTTTAACACGAGGCATAATAGATAAAAGTGGATGTCCTTTGGCATTAAAAACTTTTTTAAAAATTTTACGGTCTTGCCTCTCTAAGAAATCATAAACACTTACAGGCTTAGACGTATATTTCCTTTTAAAACAGCGGTCTAAGAAACATTGTCCGGGTGTAAGATCGGACTCGGACGCGGCGTAGACAGATAATGCGTAATTAATATTAGGTAGAACTATAGTATTAAAGAGAAGGTCTATTTCTGACTGATTGTACCCTTCTTTGCGCAGCGTTCTAAGGATATGTAGGGATTTGTTAGCTCATTTGTTAGGTCATTCCCTCATCCTTTTCGATATCGATCTGCCGATCTTGTCACATTGAGTATGCCACATTAACAATGAAACTGTTGGCTTTGGAAAATCGATTAAGGTTACATAGCCGTCATAGTTGGCGGGATCGGCCCTTTGCAGCTAGTCATTCACGTGGTACAAAACCGCCATTGGAGAGCAAAGGACACACTGGGACTATTTAAAAACACAGAGCTCACATCATTTAAAAAAATAATTTCCTTTGTTTGTTTTCTCCAAGACAATGCGTCCTTTGCTCTCCAGCGTGGCAGTTTTGTACCGCTGCAAAGGGCCCATTGTTATGCGCGGGGTTACTTTCTCGGCTTGCGTCCAATCTTCGCGCGGCTCCGCCGCAAAAGATACTACAGCACTCGCCTGCAAATCCCGCCAGCTACGCAGGCTTAAGGTTAACTGAGTTCAGGAATGATTGCCAGTTGGTAAAGTTTTAGCAGTAAGATTTAACAGGTATCGTCAGCGAAGATCCTCAGAGAGGCGCCCCGCGAACACGGTTGGGCAGGTCGTAAAAGTACTGGGCCACTGTCGACCAAGACGCCCACCCTTACTAGCATAACGTAACATCCCCGAAATCTACACTGCATGATTTGAGGAATCGACACGCTCGAAAGAACAAGCTGTCAGACAAAGGCCCTAAACTGGAACTGACCCGGAGTTATTTGAACGTGAGGGGTGGTTTTTAACCGATTACACATCAGTGTACTGACTGAGAGTACAGAGACTTCTTCCTTTTTAAATATCCTGACTATCGTTAGTTCCATACCTTTGTTCTGGAGCAGAGAAAGAAGTCTGTCACGGTCAATAGCGAAACCCTGGTCACCTGGAATTCCCAGTTTGTTAAATGCCTCGTGCAAGTCAAACGGCGATAACCCGAAGGCTGGACGATGATTAACGTACACTGTAACATAACAACAGAGGAGCTTTTAGGTTGGAAATACGATGTACGATAAGGCTTCACATGGGTTTTTAGTTGAACGTCAAACCAAAACCATTGTGATACCTATGACCAATCACAACACGCACATACTATAGGCCTTTTGCAATAGTTGATCACGTAAAAAAAATTTCTGTGGACACGAAAACAGTTCACTTTTGGAAAACTTTGTTAGCAGGAACTGAAAGAGCATATTAAAGGTAGGTAACCTGTATATTTCCAGGCGTACATCAGCAACGGCCACCGAAAATTAGAATCTCAAATTTAGGTACACTTTGCGTTACTCTGTTGTTAAACTGTTGTGTCTGACGGCATAGTAAAACGTTGGATTTTTTGTTGTGTTGCAAGTCATAGTACAAGTGTACCACATGTTTCAGTTATTTGTACAATACTTACGTCTAATGAATTGACCAAGATCGATTTCAGTAACGTATTTCCCAGTAGCAACGTAGTCACGAAATTTCAATTCGTTAATCATGTCATCGATCTGGAAAAAACGAGAAAACAATAGAGGAAATTCTCTAGAAGTAAACTACAATCGACGACAAAATTGTTGAGACACTGTCCTAAAATGAGGTAACTTCGGAGAACACAAAACAGTCCACACCCCTCCTTTCTCCCCTCCATTCAAAGTTTGGGTGTCCGCTGTCTACAACAGGTTGCTCGAACAGCACTACAACTTTGCGTGGAGGAGGTGGGCGGGAAAGCTTTATATTCCCCCTTTTTATAGTTGGCAAAACGTCAGAAATGTTCTAATAATTTTGTCACCGATTGTAGCATTGAAGGATCCCTTCCAAGAGTAGAAATGCTGTTGGATTCTTAATAAGGGAAGAGTGCTCTAAGTATTACGAACAGAAACCCTATGACATCTTTGGAATTTCTACGTTGTGGGGAAGACTCGAAACCTTTGGATATATTCGACCGTCTGATCAACCTCTTAAAGTTCCAAGACAAACTTGATATAAATCCGTTAATTTTCAGCACATGCTGACAATCACATCCCAGAAAAATTACATATTATTTTGATGTGGTGAAGATGGCAGGTATGCTACCTTAGACAAGTGTGCAATGACTAAATCGTAATAACAGTAATAACATACCTCCTGTTCGGTGGGGTAGAACCCCAAGGCTCGCATAATGTAGGGCACCTGAGCCAAAGGAACTTTGGTCGATACCTGCCTGGTGTCTGTCGTGTCCACACCTTGGCTAAAATAAGAAAGTCAAAAGGGGAAGGACATTGAATTTTGTTTACTTTCGCTAATTGTAAGGTCTAAACATTATAGCTCCGCCAATTTGCAAATTTAATTTGCACATAGGCGGACGGAGTGACATATCAACCAAATTAAGGCCACGTATTTATACAGGATAAAACAAAGATAACTTTTGAGCATAATAAACGAGAACATTACAAAGAAAAAGGTCTTCCAAGAAAGATCAGTGAACAATCTAAGGCAAACTGACCTTCTAATCTGCGCGTAATAGAAATAATCCTCGAGTTCAGCGAACAGTTCGCCTTCTCGACCACCTTCTAAGAGGCCATAAAATGGGATCAGTCCCTCTCCTCCAAGGGCGGCCGCCGCTTCCAGTGCACTAACGGAGAATGAAAACAAGGGTGAAATAACAGAGTGAAGATTCTGCTGTTGGGAAATGTTACAGGAAAAAAATTATTCTTCAACATCATAAAGTTTAGCAGAGCTTTCGGAATCCAGAAAAGAAAGGTTGACATAAGTAACAAAATCTTTAAACCTGAACATGCTTTTCGACTTTTGTGTTATCCACACTAGAGATAGCCCTCAGATAGACTTGCTCACAAGTCGAGCTTTTGAGCGCGTAGCGCGACTGTGAGCGCGAAGCGCGATCGTACGAGCGCGGAGCGCGAGCGAGCGAGCGCGAAGCGCGAGCGAGCGAAAGCTACCACACCAGACCAGAAAACCAAGCGAACGACTTTGAGAAAGTCTAGCCCTCAGATTCTTTGCTTGTTGAGGGATACACTGCACCCTATGACTCTTAGCCTGGCTATCGAACACACTCAATACGTTAAACACTTACTCTAGGTTAATGTCCCACATTAATACACTGCAGTCTTCTCCACCAGCAGTGAAAACGTATTTCCCATCATATGAGCACACTAAATTAGACACCTATGAGAAAGAAAGAAAAAACAGTAACAAAACCCAAAGTAGCTATTGCAGTCATATCCCCCAAATATCCCTAGTGTGTGAACTCTTACCTCAGAGCACTTTCAAATGGCAAGCTTGTTCGCATTCTGACATTTTGGTTTCGAGATCCTATTAGTAAATTTCACCTCGTGTGGTTGTTTGCCATACAAATAAATAGATAATTTGGTGTACTTGAAATAAAAAGTACACTTTATCAAGGTTATTGACCTCGTCTCAATGTTCTCTAACAATTTCCTAGCGTTCGAAACACAAGCCGTTTTTATTTTATCTTTTTGCACAAAAGTTAATACATGAATACATCAAATCTCAACATTATTTTTAGGAAAAAAGTAACAAAAAAAAAAGAGCTAAGCAGAATTTATAGGGCGGGGACAAAAATAGTTTAAGTTAGTTTAAAGCAAATAAATTTAGCTCAGAAGATACAAGCCGGTATGATGTTTAAGAAAAAGACTTACGCCTTCTGGATGAGCTATTAACGCCATGGTTTTATGTGGATTGCCATCCAACGGTAAAATCTGAAGGCCAACCTGAAGAAGGACAGCAAAAAAAATACAGACACTCTCGTCCAAAGCAACTTCTTCGCGAACAGTCAGTAGGGAGCTTTAGCAACGACGACGGCGAAGGCAACGAGTACGTCAAAAAGGCAATAGTTTTATCAAGCAAAACAACAACCCTGCGCGTGCAGCACACTTTTCTTGTACATTCCCCTGTCGTCACTGCAGACTACGTCGCGGAAATGCCTAATTTCACGTTTTATGGAGGACGTAAACAAGCTACGACAATTTTTTCTTTCTCTTTCTAAACTTGAGTGCGGTCCCCAAGAAATCAACTCCAGGGAAATTCGCCCTCATTTGACATTTCAAGCGAACTGGAATAAACGCGGAAAAGTTTGAAAAACGTTTTCGCCGTCGCCGTTGTCGGTGCTAAAGCTCATTTTTACACACTTTACCTTGTCTAATGTGATGTAGGCAAGATATCGCGTCGTTCTGTCCTCATATGATGGAAGCACGATTAGTCTGAGAATACAAGCCACAATAAACCAGTCAAGTTATAATAAAGAGGATTTCCACTGAAGGCAGCTTTCGTAGGTACCCTTGTCCCTCTTTCCCCGTGAGAGAGAGCGGCGGAGGGGAGGGGGGCGGGGGGCTATTAAGCGGAGAGAAATTCCAAGAAAATTTTACGGCACCAGGGCCACCAGGGTACCTGCGTAGCAAGCATTTCCGCGCGAGTCCGTCAAAAAAGTTGACGAGATGCGAAATAGAGGGACGAAGAGGGAGAGGGAGGGGAGCCCTAAAACCCCCCCTTTTTTTACATTTTTTTGTTTTGTTTTGTTTTGCTCTCGTTCTACCCTGGTTTCCAAAGGTTATTTTTTTTCTTCTGAAATTCCTGATAGATCATCGTGATCACGGTTTATTTCATCTATAGTCAGACCTCTGGAGCCAGGATATTCTCGTTCCAACTTTGAGCCAGTAAATCCATCGGAAACGCTTGCTACGAAGGCAATATTGAAGGTTATTCACGATTGCTTTGGGTTTGCATAAAGCAAAGCTAATTTAAGTGAAATCAATGTCAAACTCCTCTGCTCAAGCTCCCTATGGGAGAGAGGGAGAAGATACTGATGACGTAGGTACGTAAACTAATACGGGCAAGACATTACGTAGAAACAAGTACCTCCTGAGAGGGGTCCCATATGTTGGTCCCAACAGAGTTTGTCTACACATCTTTGTAGTCGAGTTGTATAGCTTCAGTTTAAACTGCAAAGAGAACAAAATATACAAATTTATGGTGAAAAAGGAAATGAGGAAACGATTTCAATGAACCCCGCTCTATTTGACCTTATTGCTAGAGATGTATTACCTGATCGTTAGCCACTAAAAGGAAGTTCTCCTTGACGATCGGTGGATACCAAGCAAAGCACTGAGGCACAGCACTTTGTTCAATTCTCTCTGAGCTGATAAGACGGAGGTCATCAGTGCTGCTGTTTAGAAGATCATACTCCACCTTGTTCAAAACAAATGACAAAGAACATGTAGTCAGACCGCTACCTTGTTAGCCTGCTACACAGCCGTTCTTTGTGTCGTCACGCAACGCTCCTCCCCACCGGAGGGGAGGAGCATTGTGTTACAACACAAAGAACGCCTGTGGTGCAGACTACTATGTTGAAGTCACCTCTAAGACAAGGGCAGGGGAGTCCCTTAGCAAAGGTTGGCAACATACAGTAACCTTGTTAACTCGACCACCCATTAAGACAATTTACGTGATGCAATATGATTAAGAAACTAAGAATGTGTTGAGTGGATATAATAATTTTTTTCTGCCACTATGAGAAGCATAATATTCAAGTATGCATACAACTGACAGCATATGAATTAGCTTCCAACACAGCTAGCGCAGACATTCTTTAGGCTCGTCATGCAATCATCCCCAACGAACCTCTAAGGAAACGAGCAGTTAAAAAAGTAGACCAGTCACAGAGCAATTCAAAAGCTAGGAGATGTACACTCTAGACCTTGCGAAATTTGGTGTGAGACTCTAGAAAAGGTCAGAAAAGGCCTCATTAAAGTTGAAGTCCATAAATTTCTTAGAACAAACTCCTCAGTAAATCTTTCAATGAGAATATAAACAACTTCAAAACATGCCTCCGTGATCAAGCCCTAAGAATGCCTGCGTGGGAGGCTACTATGAAGAAAAACTAATGAAGACAGTGTAAAAGGATATACACATACCAGAACTCTGTCCTGGCCAAGCGACAGAAGCCGAGGTACGTCACTATCAAGAGCAATACCAAAGCTAATATCTGTAGATAAGAAAAAATAATTGAATCAATAAAAGAATTAAGGTGTTTCTTTGGTCATATAGAGAGCTGTCTATCTTACTGCAGTTAAGTCTTCTTCAGGGTGGACTCAACCGCGATAGGCTAATTTTTAAGGAATCAAACATATTTACCGTAAATCCTCTATTAAGGCCGCCTCTTAAATAAGTACTCCCTCTTTAATAAGCCCCCCTTTTTTTCTGGGGAAGTAGTTACTAGCCCCCACCTCCCCACCTCTTTTTAGTCCCCCTTCCCTTATTTCATGTGCTTGAAATAAATAAGCCCCCAGGGGGCCTATTAGAGGATTTACAGCATAAAATTTGGGGGATACTGGAAACACTGAAGCCTTTGTTGATATATTTACAAACAACAATTTTTCAAGGGTGTTACTACAGTCTTTCTTACCATGAATAGTTTTGTAATGAGCTCTCTGTTTGCCAACATAAACCCATGGTTGGTCTGTATCATCTTTCTGAGCCTTGAAAACTGTTACACAGCGGTCTAGATCCTGAGAGAAAAGAAATATCATCTTGAAACTTCTAAAATTCCGAGACAGGCTGATGTCCTATGTCAACATCTTTAGTTGTCAAGCAATGCTACTCTCCTTATGACCTGAACACCACCAGTGGCAAAGGTCCAAGACATCAGTAACAACCATCCAATTATGCAAGGTGGCAAAGAAATAAAGGCATATCAAGCCTTGTTAATAACCTCTGGAACCTTGCTGGAGCCCAAAGAACACCTGACAATTTTTATAACCTTGGGCTATGACCCTGTAAACTCATTTAAACTGGCCATACAATAATTCAATCAAAAACAATTTCTGCGATAAGGATCTATCTTGGCTTCACTTGTAATTTTTTTCCTGATGGAGAGACGATAGAGAATGTAAGGTTTGACTGAAATACAATCAACCACAAATGCCACATGACCATATTTTTTAACGCGAGGCAGATTTACACTATTGACTGGTCTTATATCAATGTGATATGATTACTCACACTGGTCGCTAAGTAGTTTGAGTCATGAGAGAATTTGATGTTAGTGATACAGTCATGGCAATGGTTAAACACAGCAAGTCCATCTCCACGCCCCTCTTCCTTCAGTGTCAAACCATCAACAATACGTACACTGCCATTAGTGAATCCAATAGCTGAGAATAAACACAAAAAAAGGTTAAACATTATTATTTAACCACCAATTAAATACCAGGAAAGCTTTTGCGAAAAAAATGATATCTTCACACAAGAAAGTAACATGCTGTAAGTAATCTGACAACCAACCTAAAAGATCTCCAGTTGGATTGAAAGTCATGCACTGAATCATCAGCTGGCGTTGGTCAAACACTCGACTTGTCAGCAGTTCTCTGTCAGACAACACAAAAAACATTTTAAAACTCTTAAATACATGTACTTTAAAAATTCAAATGATCTGTTTGGATCAATGAACTCAGTCTAATCCCACTATACTGGAGATTAAACAGTTAACAGACATTATTGCATTGCAAATGTGATGGTGAATTTTAAGCCTGGTGAATACTATTAAAGAAAGATGTTTATTCAGTCAGTGACACACGTGGCTCGGAAGAAAAAATCCGTGTACTCCCAATGGGAGTAGAACCTGTGACCCTTCTGTTTACTAGTCCAGATGCTCTACCACTGAGCTACAGGATACTCATGGGAGCTAAGGCCACTAAACTACAATAGGTTCATGTGACAAACATGAACAGAATATCCACTTACTTTTTCTCATAATCCCAAAGTTGGAGTAGGCCTGAAAAACTTCCAATACAAAGTCTTGGCCTGAAATGATAACAACAGCTGTTTAACCATGATAAATTTGGAATAAACTAGGTCAAAGATCATGGAATCCAACATGATATTAAGGGTGATGCTGCTGTTACTTGACGTGCAGTATAAAATACTCACTCTGAGGGATGACAAGCTATTGCATGAGTATCACTGTCATGCTCCTTGCGAATAAACTGCAATCCAAAATCAACAGAACAGTGTGTTATAAAAGGCGCTGTGTCACAAAATTCACCAAAACTTAAACAGTGCAAACCGCCACCGAACTGAGAAAAAAATTTTGATACGTACTCAAAACTCGAAAAGCACAGCAAATACAAAAAGGAGGTATGGAGAAGGAAAAGATTGAAATGGATTACAATTGTGGTGTTGAAAACTTCTTAGCCTAACAGTTTATTTAACGTCTTAAGTAACTTTTTTTGTTTGTAAGATTCAATATAAGGCACAGGAGACATGTTTGCTTGACATCAAGCTGTAATTTTGCCATTCACAACTTCCATAGCAAAAAAGGTCATGTAATTGGCATTACTAACAAAATGAACTAGACAACTGTGAAAAAGCTTCTTCAAGTGTGCTTACTGGACTTTCTGATAACAACTTTCTTTAATTTTAACAGAAAAACTTTACTTAAAGGTTGATGAGTTTAGCTAATACAGCTAACTGGGGATAATAAAAGCAAACCCTGAATAATGTAGATGACTGAAAAGAAACATTCAGTGATTTTCCTATCTGGAAACCTCATTAACAGAAAGTTCATACCTGAAGTTCACTTCCATTGGTAACAAAATGAGCTATGTTGGCTGTTGAAGTACTGATCACAAAATCATTCACCAAAAATGGACTGCCATCTAAAGTTGAGCTAGCAGGAAAGTTTGTTTTTTCCTGTGGAGTCCTAAAAAAGAAATGTACACATTATTAATAAATAAATTCAGTACGTTTCTTCATCATACTTGTAAAATTACTGCAACACACAAGTAAACTGGAATATTTTTTATCTCAAAAAGACCTGTGAACTGAATTACTGAAGATTCAAGTTTGGGAATCAAGGTACAGAAAGTTTCAACTGCAGTGGGCTTTTCCTTTTCCCACAGAGGCTGTCAGTAGTTGTGCTCACAAGCTAATAACAGTTTACTAAAACATACCGGTAAGTACTGCTTTATAAGTTCTAGACTTACTGTGCATCAGCAGGTTTGGGTGAATAAGAAAATGACACTGCATTAATAGGTCCTGCATTGAAGTGTTTGTACCTGTAAATTGTGGTATATAGGAATGACTAAAACAAGGAAGGATTTAGAGGGCAAAAATAGGTGAACAAGACAAGTCAGTCAACTGAAAAAAGCAGCGATGAGAATAACATTCAACAATGAAATTATTATTATTTTTACTTTCATTACAACTACTACCACCACCACCACCACCACTACTACTACTACTACTACTACTACTACCACTATTATTATTATTATTATTATTATCATTATCATAATGTCATTATTATTATCGTTATTGTTATCATAATTATTCTTATTATCATTATCATTATTATGTTGTTCCAGAAAATACTCAAACTTCCTCCGCTAGAGGGTTCATTTGGTTTGAGCCCTCTCCCTCTAAAAATACTAGTTTCGCTTAAATATCAGGCTGAAAGCCTGAGGGAAACTTTTCCAGTGACCCTGCATGAGGTAGGGGTAGATATTTTCTTGAACCAATCATTTTAATAAACAGTGCTAATTATCCCAACAACGTTCCACAAAAATACTTGCCACGATCACTGAATTAATGTAAAGTGACAGTAGTGATGGCTCAATACCCACTTCCCCACCTACTTTTGCATTCTTCATTTAGACATGTTTCAAAAGACAAATCAGTCATACCAATTTGTAAGCCTCAGCTGCTGATCAAGAAATCGCACATGACCAGCAATGTCACCTGTCACAATGTACCTAGAATAAAAGGATATTAATATAATTTAATTAGTTACCAAAACTTTGAAAAACATGGTATATATGTTGTGGTTTAAATTTTTCCTTGGTTTAAAATTTTTCAAACCAGTTTAATTTTTGTTTTTTTTTTTGTTTTTCTTTGTCTCTGATTATGGTAATTGATTTTAGAAAAAAGGAAAGTAAAAATTAAACTGGTTTGAAAAATTTTAAACCAAGGAAAAATTTGAACCACAACATATACCCCACCCAGTAAATACATCTACCCCAACAGTACTACACTAGACAGCCTTACTACAACCTTAAAGGGTTGGTACATAACTCTTGGTCTTTAAGTGTGACACTAACTCTGAATAATAAAATATTAATTTTTAGAAAATACAGAATTTGATTATGGTGCTTTTGTTACTGTAATAAAAAGAATGAAGATTGAAATGTCTTGACAATATATTGAAATTTGACCCAATTGAATTTTTCTTGCACAAGAGGTTGGACTTTCAATGGCAGCACAAGGTTGGCCTAATTTACATTTTGCTGATTTCGAACTCTTTTGTTTTTTATTACCATTGTAATATCAGTTTTACCAGAAACTGTTTGATTTCAAACTTCAATCCAAAAACACTTAGGGAGGGCCACCTTCCTTTAACTAATAAGGAATAGTGTATAGCACAGTCTTCTAAAAACTGTATAAAAACACCTTAATAACACTACTTTGATTCTTACTTGTCAGTAGTAGTGAGGACTGTAAGACCTTTTTCCTGCAATTTGACAATCTTGAAGGCTTTTCTGTTACACTTGAGGTCACCCCCAGCGTGTTCCCAAACTACAATGTTACCACAGCTTGTGGCAGTGAGGGCTCTGGGAGACTGAAGCTGAAAAATGGACTGACTGTACAGGCCGACACTACGATTGAAGTCCTGAAAGCAACATTTGAAGTCAGAACCATTAGACATTTTGATTGACAATTTATATTAAGAGCGTTTTTAAAAATTAATACAGTAACTTCTCTCTATGACTATTTTTCCCTTAAATTTTGATTTTGAGCACTCTTAGGAGTTCAAAAGTTCAACAACTGATCATAAGTACAAATAAATAGCATACACTGTATTTCCAAAAGTTTGCAAAACAACAATGGATTCATACATTACCTTGTCTGTAAGTGGTGGAGCAACATACTCCAGGGTCTTGTCATCCTAGACGTTAGATAAAAAGGACAATTTATTCATGATTAAAGCAATTAAAGTAACAACAAAATTCCCTACATATCCCCTTATCTGCCCAACTGAGTAACAGAGTTCTCATTTAGTTTCAAGTAGATGGCTACAAAGTAAAAGTAGGTGGCTTGGTAACTGAATGCTGTATAGGCATTTTCAGGCTTTCACTCTCTCTCTCTCATTACCCTATTTCCCTAAAGAGTAGACCACTCAAACCTCCAAGTTGCTGGCTTTTTAACAGGCTGTTGGCACTTAATGAGAACCCTGGAGTAAGAATTGAGTTTACATGAAGCAATTTCATTTTTCACACTAAGCTAGAAGAAACTTAGGCATGGATGACCTCAAAACAATCACAAAGCCAGCACTGCCACTGTCATTAACCAAGCATTCTTTGTGGTAGCCTTTCAGAGTTTGAAGGGCTACTATCTGCTAACAGCCTCACATCCTCTTTGACCGATCAGCTTAATGATCCTTGCAGGTAACAAAGATATGGAAATTATTGTTGATCACTGCATTCTTCCTTCCCAGCCAGCTGGTACATATAGGTCAGGTACACTGCAAGCATTCCACGGATTTATCAGAGTGAGGTTACCTTGTGAATGTACAAGTACCTTCCAGGGTTGTCAAGGTCATCTTCGAGCAGTGTTGGGATTGGCACTCAAAGAGTAACTGTCTTACATGTATAATGCACCAATGCAAAAAGCTAGTTATGCCATGAAAAGCAATAAGAAAACTCTTTCATAAATAGTTTCATCACAATCTTTGAGCTTACCCATGCATAAAAGACCACTTGCGATTCACTGTTGCTCACAAGTTGGTTTGTGTCTTCAGGGTTGAATGTGATATACGTCTATTGAAACAGAACAAAAACTAGAACATTACTTGATAGTAAACAGGTTTTGAGGACTTGAAGAAATTAAATACCATCAGTAAAATGTACCAGGATATCATTAGAACAAATTCATTCTTTATCTCTGACCTGCTTTCCAAAGTTGTCATCCAATGTTGTTGAACAAACAGGTGTTTCGCCATTATTGGTCCAATCCCACACAGACACAGTCTGAAGGGACAAACACTTTCATTAATAACATAACAATGATGAAAGAGAACTGGTGTAACTCATGATTAGCGCATGTGCAGGCTCAACTTTACTTCAGTTAGTTATGCAGATGGTTTTCACTTCTGCAGTTACAGTTTTACAAAGAGCTGCATTTAACAGGAGTTTCTTATCAATTCGGTGTTGACGCCATAACCGTTTTGATTTGTTCCATTACAAAGAATTTTCTGTTAATCAGCTAACCAGTTTTACCTGTGATAGATGCAGTAAAGTCAGTTAATCAGTTTTTAAGTAAGTTTCAGTTTGCTATCTTGTATTTTCAGTTAAGTTTTACTCACTTTAATCATAACAATATTGTTAATACTCAAACTATTCAGTAACTGTGCTGCTTGAGTAAGTAAATGTATTTCAGATGAATAATTCTTTCATTAAATGAAACGATTGACTGTTTCCTGGTTGACATCCAATTCTCCCACAGTCCAATTAACATTAGTGTTAATAGTAAGTAAGATGGGGTGTGCTCAAGCTATGTAGGCTCTCATAGCTGTAGGAGAGCTTTTTACAGTTTGTGAGGTACAGCAAACCAAGAAGTATTGCTATTTAGTTTCCACCTTGGATGGGATGCTTGTTAAAGATAAAGTTACTGCAGACAATAATAAATTACACTGAGCTTGTATAATTTCATACACCACCAAGGTAAAAGGAGGACAATGTTTATAAAGCGGAAAATTTATTTTCTAATAAGGAGACATGAAAAAGCTTAACTGTTGACCTCCAGACCTGACTCACTAATCACTAAACCAACAATACATGCAGTGCATGAAGTGATGTAATTCATTAAATCAGGTCAAACACATAGCTTCTTTCAATACAATTGCTCAGGGCAAGAGCTGAGAAATTTTTTTTATCAACAAACCCGGAGCAAAATGTGTAACATAGTTGGTTAACAGACACAACTATTCCATAACAACAGCAACTAATTAAAAGGAAGTCATTACATAGACAAACCAAAAACATCACATGTATCTCAGGGCTTTAAAAAAAAGTCCCTTCCATTAGTCCAGGACCAGTAAAATTTTTCAGCTGGGCAAGTAACGTTTAAAGCTTACTTGCCCATTGGGTAAGGGTCTAGGCAAGTCAAGCTCTAACAAACACATAAACTAAGAGGAGCAAGAAGTGGCCCCAGGTGAGCAAAACATGAGAGCTTCTTTCCCCAAGGACAAGCTGGAATTCACGTTTTTTCAATTCCTGATATCATACAGGGTGTGTATAAATTATTATGTACCTGTGGGAGTGTGCTGCTTATTGTTGCGATATACTTGGCATCAGGTGACATTGCAATAGCAGCACAGCCATCAGAATGTGCTTCAAATATAGTCTGAACTGGAATCCTGCGAGGCATACACATTTTAATGTGAACATAATACACACATAAAGAAGAGAGAATAATATTATATTAAACTAATCAACCCCGGCCTGTAAAAAAAACAATGTTATAAATTATGTTACGTATTTGTTACGATATTATGATAGGAACAAAATCAATCTAAAGGATAACTACCTCACTGAAAGAGGAGCAAGCTAAGCTAAGCTTATCACACACACTTTGAACGACACACTTCTTATGGTATGACAGCTTTTTACAATAATACATTGTATGAATAATAATCATTATTACAATAATATTTAATTATTTATACAATGATGTGAATGCTACGTGCGCTGTGATTGGTTGTTGCCCATGATCTATCAGAGTACAGATAAATGGAGGACGTCACGAGAAACTTGTTTTCTTTGTTTTGCTTAACATGGTGCGTGGTTTTGAAATGTTTGTGAGATAATTTGGGATGAAGCAAGTGAAAGTCCTGTAGAAAGTTTAGCAGGAGCTAAATGAAAAAAAGAAAAATTGGAGAAATAGAAACAGGAAGAGTTCTTGACAACTTGAGAATGCCTAAACTGCAACTGGGTCATCGCTACAAGAGACTCGCTGTTTTGCAAAATGTTTTCACCATTATTCTGCTTTGAGAAAGTCAAGACATTGAAAAACTTTTTGAAGAAACTGTAGATAAAGAAAAGAAGTCGAGACCTAAAATAACACTTGGGACTTAAAAAATGCCCAAACTAGCACAAATCCTCGAACAGTCAAGCGGTATGATGCAGGTAAGCTTATGTGTATCAGTATTCTGATCACTGTATTAAACAAAGTAATGATAGATTCCATAATTTTTGCTGTGGATCTGTTCAGGAATAGATCACAGAAGACGTCAAAATGTGGTAAAAACATCAGTGACACACTTGCCTGCGGCTCGTGTGCCACTGCTTTGTTTTTACCACATTTGACATCATCCGTGATCTACTACTGAACAGATGCACAACAACATGGAATCTATAAAATGATGATGATGATGATGATTATCGTGATTATTGACAATCCATCTCATTTTCTGTGGAACAGGTCCAGAGTGCAAAGACTCAACAGCACACCCCTAGAGTAATTTTATAGAACTACCCCCAAACCCAGACCCCGCCTCCCCAGGCTGCTGAGCAATAACACTGTTGTTTATTGCAATAACCGCATCTACAAAATATATTCTATAATCTTACGTTGTAAATGAGTCCCAAATGATGACCATACTGTCCTTGCCTCTGTCTGCTGTTGCAATCCACCTCCTGTCTTCACTGACACAAGTACAGCTGATAGCATTACACTTGGTAAACACATAGCAAGGAATAAAAAAGCACCATTAAAAGACTTAATAGTGCACAGCAGGGCTGTCATTAAGTTTTTAAGCAGCTGTATCAACTGAAGATTCAACCGTAACATCTCACAAAAATTGATAGCGCCATCCTTGGCTTTCCACTTTGATCACCCATAACATCAAGTGAGCTCAACCATAAAAGGTGTTACGGGTTACAGCCCTCAATGACAGAACTGCACAGCTCCCAAACGGGTACATAAAAAAGCATTCAGCAGAATGAATTCCATCTTCAAAATGCACTATTGCATTAATATCTGTACCCCCCTCCCCCTTGGTTGAGGACCAATGGAATTCTTCAGGGGTAAGTTATAAAAATTGAGGATGTCTTAGCCAGCAGAGTGAAAAAATATGGAATTCTTCCACGGAGAAGCTTTCATTTTCATGAAATTCTTCAGGGACTGACCCATATTCTTCGGGAGTTGACCCACATTCTTCAACCATATTCTTCAGCAATTGACTGGGGGAAGATCCATATTTTATGGAAGTCTTCAGGGGTGAAAGCAATTTTATTTAATCTTCAGGGGTAAGAGGGAAAGGTACAATGTAAGTCCTCAACCGGGGGAGGGGGGTACGGATATTAAATGCAATAGCCCAATACAAGTGAGAAGCTTACATGCCCTTGAAGGAGCTGTTGTTTATTTCCGTCCCAGTCAAACATAACACCGACATGTGCACACACAAATAAGGCCACCTGAAAGCCAAAAAACTGTGTTATTAGGAAGCACCTAATCTGTATGGAAGACTCTTTACTCAAAACAGATTCGTGACAAATTTAATTTTCACTCTTACCTTTCGATTCCCATCTGACAAATTGTGAACTGGGACATGTTTGTTTACGCCAAACGACCACGACATATTCTGAGTAAAAAAAGACACAGCGTTACCTATAACCATTTATTCTTATGGAAAGAGCTAATCGTAAGCTAAAGTATAAAGTGTCACTGCAGACTTACAAGTGACGTCGGAGAAGCTCTCACTTCGCCGTCTTCATCCCCATGATCTTCTTCGTTATAATGAGAGGAGGCTGCGCTTGAAACGCGAGATTGTGCTCCAGATCTTTCTGGAGAATCTTCTTCCATTTCTTTGTATGGCACTAGCTCTAAAAAGTGAAAGAGTGCTATAAATTTGGATAGATGAGCTGCCGCCACTTGTTTTTGCGCCCAGAAAGTTACTATGGTGAACTCGAGCCTTCAGTACGATCAGCTGATTAACTAACGGAAATACACGCTTTGTAAAATATCACAGAGTGTCGCCTATGTGTTCTTTTCTTTTTCGCTGTGGGAACTAAAAAAGCCGGCAGTCAGAAAATTTTCTAGAATTTCTGCAAAATCCTTTTTTCTAATCGCTCTTCATTTAGAATCACCAAGCGATCAGGAAAACAAGAATGGCTTCGCAGATGAGCGTTGTGGTTTCTTACACTTAGAGAATTGATTGGTCGTACTGTGTGTGAAAATTGCTTCAACCAATCAGAAGCACTACTTGGGGCTTGTTGGAATATCAAAATTAACCATTAAGGAGACCAATGTGGGTCTGGCTCATACTAAAACAGTCGTCACGGCACTGATTGGGAATTGCTGATCCCTAAATGATACGAGAAACTCATAAGGGTTTGAATCAACCCTTAGAAGTTTCTATGGCAGTGTCCACATTTGGGATATGCCGGTTTCCAACTCGGGAATATTCTGAACCAAGACACACATTAAAAACTATTGGTTCTTAAGAACAAGAATATGGCATAGCCTGCGTGACAGGTGCCAGGCTCCTCATCCGCGGGGGGGTACTGCCATATAAGGCTATACAGGTATGTCATCATCATTATCATCATCATCACTTTTATTAACATTAGGCAAATATACATTATCCTAAAAAACGTTACCGCTGTGAAGGGTATGGTTTTCAAGCAGTTTACTCTGGGATAGAAAATGGCTACTCCAGGATGGGGGGGGCAGGATTGGGGAGTTTAGTCTAGTATAGGGTAGCAAAATTCAGCTGAACTAGGTCTGGTATAGTGTAGGGTTCCAGGATCCCAGCAGCACATCCCCACCCAAAAGGTCCTAAAACCACTCCCCCCCCGGGGGGAGGGGCTCCACAGTAGGGGGAAATGAATTGTAAAAAACAGGGTGAAACAGCAAAAAAATCAGCGGAAAACGCTCCCTTCGTGTGTGCACACTTCCTCAACATTATTCCCTTTACCCTAAAGAACAAGCAATAGACATTGAAAGAACAAAAAAGCAAAGAGAAAAGTCAATATTACAATAACTGCTTTTGAATCGTATTTGCTTCATTTAAAATAAAATGCTTTAGGCTATACGGTGGTATTCACATTTTTTTTAATTAAGTCATATTAAAGTCTGCTTACCATCAGAAAGGACAGTAGAAAGGCTCAAGATATCAATCTCTGCCTTCCCACCTCTAAAGAAAGATTTTTCCTTTGGGGTAGGTAGAGACTAATAAATTCTTTTAGCCTGTTCAAGTCTCCCCTGCATAAAAATATTTAATAACCAGAATTTTGATTAAGTTAAGTTTAACTGGTCTAACACACACCTAATCATCAACTGACAACAAATTGGTCAGTGAATAAGGTTAAAAATGGCTATGAAGGAGCTATCACATGGTGAAATTAAATCTTAGTTGCCAAAACCAAAAATGGGAATTCTCAATGACATTAACAAATTATTCACGAAAATAAGTGAAAGGACATCAGTCCTGCAAAAACACTTATCCTCACAAAATTTTGCAAACTTAAACTTACTTCTTGAATTTCTTCAAGAATAATTGATCATTATTTTAACATGCTATATCAACCACTCGACACTGTTCCATGCGGTATCCAGAGAACTCAAAGTCAGTATAAACAAACCCTGGAAAAATGCCTGAGCCAATGTGTTCGAAGGCCGATAGTTTTAACCTGGGTTTCCCTCTCATTTGTTTAATAGTATTTTCTTGGATAATTTTCTTGTTACTTTTTAGAGAATCCAATCATCGAATTGCCGACAAAAAGATTTAATCTGAATTTGATTCTTAAGCTTTCCTATCTGAATTCAAATTTGGCACTAACCCTGGGTTATCTTAACCCTTTCTTGAACAACCATGCCCTGTACCTCGTTTTTTCAACCCACTTCTCTATATCTGGATATCAGATGAAACAATGCATTTCATTTTGGTCTACCACTTCAAAAACTCATTAATAATTCATAAAGAAAAAACAAAAGAAATTAATATTTAATGAATGTCTTTATATCTGATAAAGACACAGCCAAACTTTACATCCAATTTTTTAGATCAAATAACCCCAAATCTAAATATTAGTGCAAGAATGAGTTGATCTATTTCAGAGATTTTGAAGCTGTTCAAAAAGCTCGCAGTCATGGATTATTAGGCGTAAAAACTCTCGGCTTCACCTTGAGTTTATAAACCTGATAAAACACTCCTGCCGTTTTAAACAATGCTTCAAGCATTTCTTGCCATTTACCGGTCTTTCCATGTGAAGGCACCTTCATACCATTCGAAAATCATATCTGTCAACTAAGATCACTAATAATCTAGCAAACACCATGTCATCTATACCTATGATGTTTAGAAATGATGACAACTATGGCTTAGCTGTTATAACAAGCAAGAACCTTTGCCAGCTAATGTGAATGAAGCTATTATTGCAGCTGGTGAGATTTGAGCCTTCAGAGAAGTAATCGGTCATAAGTCATCGTAGCTTCAATAAAATGGAAAGTCATTATCAACATCCTATGTTCCAGAAGGTTTAAAGGTGGGATTCAGTGAGGAATACAAAGCGAAACTGTCATATTTTGCCTAAACCCAAATTGCTGCAATGAAATCTATTTCAGTAAAGAGACAGTTTATGTTTTGATGGTGGAGGAATTCACCGCAGATACAAAGTTCGTATCTATGACAAAAGCATATCTAAGGAACTGGGGTAGGACTCACTCTCCCCTCCCCCTTCCTGATCTGTCCTGGTAAGGGAAGGCTCTGAAGGCAGGCAATAAATAATATTAAGAATACCTTCCACTTATCCTCAAGACTAGGTTATTAAATAGCAAGGAAGACTGACAACTACAAAAAAGTACATCAAGGAGCTAAAGCAAATAGTTCTCAAAAGTAATTTTAAGACTTTTGTTCCAAAGTAAATACAAAAAGAAGTGAAAGATGTGACACTCAGTATGTGACAGCCATGAAACAAAGCAGAAATTCGCTTCTCCATGAGAGTTCAACTCAAAAGACAAATCTCAAGAGTTAGAAATCTGAGTTCAGAGTTGTCTGCTCTTTGTCTCAAGCTCATGACATACTAAACTTATTTTTTAAGCCAATTCACCACCTTGTTGTTCTGAAAGTTAAAAATATGAATGCCACATTTTTATCTGTCTTCACCGCTAAATAATAATTTCAGATCAGAGCAAGCTGGATTTCCCTGAAAAAACAACACATATGGCAGTTTCACTTTGAATACTTTAATGAAATTAAGTCTCAATAGATGACATTCTCTTCGAGACAGAGAGAACTGCATAATTATTGTATTGGTCAACCCACATGTCACTACCTTGAATGCTGATAAAAACCATAATGGAACATACATGTCATTTTTGCTTCCATTTTATGAAACTACTATTATATTGTCTAATTTATTTACCCCTAGCTTAGGACAAAAAATTAAAAATATATCTAACAATAATATTCCTCAACGTAGCTTTCAGGGGGTTCCTTTAATATTGACTGTAAACTCTAGAGAAAGGGAACCACGAGCACCAGGTAGAACAGTACATTGTATTCTAGTTTGTCTGATTTCTTCTGGGCATGTCAGTAGTGTTAATTTAACTCTAGCACCATTTTATAGGGTCTTGATTCTAAATAAGTGACATAGTCGATACTTCACAGACACAAGGCATGCCAGAACCACGAAAAGTACCATGTCAAGAAGCCAACATCATTAAAGAGCCACTTGTGTTCAAACTTGACCTTCAACACTTCATTTTTCCAATGGCCAGCAGCAAATGCACAGAGGAAAATAATGATTAAAACTTTCCAAAATACAAAATACAACATTAGTAACTTTTCTCTGTTACTGAAGAATGATGTCGTTCAAGAGATTTGCTCAGCACAGTTTGAAAACAGTTTAATCCTAATCAAGAAAGCTCCCAGTCTCTTCCTCCATTCCCTATAGTCCTGCAAGGTCCTTTTCTTGAATTCTAACAACCACTTTCCACATGAGTGCTATTTCAGCACATTAACCTTGAAAAGCTCGTGCCCTGTCAATTATCAACGACATTCCCACACTTTAATTGTCATGTCAACACTTCCAGTTAAAACAAAAGGTGCTGACTTGTGGAAATCTGCAATGAAGACAAACAGCAAATGAGAGATTGAACAGTCCTGACAGAACCTGGAATTCTTTCAACACAAAGCAAAGATACAAAAACTTCTTATTGTTCATTAGACATTTGCAAGGGGTGAAGGGTCAAGCAGCTTTCTTGAGCATTACATTGTTTTGTCCATGATTTCCAAAAAGAGAACTCAAAGTGGAACAAAATCTGTGTGATTGGAAATCTTTCAAGAAAAAAAAGGGAGCCTCAATAAGCAAAGACGTTTTTGAGAATGCATGTCAACCACACCGGCCTTGTAATTCAGTTTATGCTGCAAAAAGGTTGAATAATTGATCATCATTATTATTATTATTATACTTATTATCACAAGTCGGGCCTTTTCCCTTTTATTACGAATCAACCCCACCAAATTTATATGGCTAAGTGTCTTTGTTTTGGAATTATTATTGACTAGAGGATTTGCCCAGAAATTTAAGCAAATCAGTGCCCAAGAATGCAAAAAGTGCACTAAAAGTTGCATCATTCAAAAATGCCTTTGCTAGAACTGCTTAAATTTGCATTGGTGCAGGATAGGTAAAGGACCACTAAAAGCTTACATAGCCCAAATGGATGGAGTTAAACATGGTTTTAAAAGCAGCAAGGAACTTACCTAAGGTTGTTGCAAAGTGTTCATGAGCTGTAAGAGTTTTAGCACATCGTTTATTTTTGTAATCCCATATTCTAAGAGTTTTGTCATCAGAACAGCTAACTAGATATTTGCCTCTTGGATGAAACATCACTCCACGCACCCAATTATCATGCCCCACCTGTTAGAAAAGAAGAGGGAACACAGGATCAGAAACATGTAAGGAGTAACTCTTGGTTCACATGTACTAGAATAATCTCATCATGAGGAAAAGTATATTTATACTTTCAATGTAAATGTAGTATCAATGGGGCATTCTTCATGGTGGCCAGTCAACCTTAGAAGACTGCATCATGGCCACCTGGTTAACAATAAGCCCCAACTGCAGGCACCCATCAAAGGTAGTGGATCAGTCTCAATCATCATCATCATCATCATCATCATCAACATCATCATAACCATAACAAAATTCCCTTATCTGATTGGCTATCGGCAGCCCTAATTACAGCATTGATAAGACAGTGTTATAGGACAGTACGTGTCATTGTGCACACACACTTTTATGATTTATTTTTTTCACTTCTAGCAATAACTTTGACACAATCTTGTCTTTTAATTTGAAGTTATCAGAAAATTGATGTTGTTATAGTTATGATTAATATCAGTGACAGAACTTTGTCTCGTCCAATTTGATCTCTAATCATACTCATAATAAAACAAATCCGACTCCAACTAAGCAGACATCCGATTTTGTTAATCAGTCGTAAGATTCAGGGATATCACTAAGATTTCACGTTACCAGGTAAATACAACAAGTGGGCGAGAATAAGACAGCTAGGAATTTCTTTTGGTTCTATTTTTCTTCTGTTAGCCGGGGGCCACATTCATAGTAGCGGGGGGAAATCCCCATCCACCACCTCTTAATGACAGCCCTGATGATTTAATATCAAATTGAACTCCCCTCAGTTCTTTTATCATCATTAAATTTTAGTTTTAATTATTATTATCTCCCCATAAAATTAATACACTTGCTTACAATGTTATTTCGTAACACCACTTACCAAGGTCATAAGACACACTCCAGTACTCACATCCCACATTCTGATTGATTTATCACGAGAAGCTGATACTAAAAATGGTCCAGGATTTCCTCCTCTTTTTGGACCCTGTTCAAAAATGGCAAGCAAATAAAATATAACACTGAGAACCTGTAATATCTCTAATATTCATGAGAGAATAACAACTTATATTAAGATCAGATATTTATACAGTCAACTCTCTCTGAGAAGAACACCTTTGGGATCTGTACTAAGTGTCCGTCTACGAGTGATGTCCACCTTATAAGAGTCAAATAAAGGGAGTAAAGAAAGCAGGGACCAACTCTAGGCATCTGTTTCTTTTTTTTTACAGCAGCATCAGTCTTATGGGGGTGTCTGTTAAGAGAGAGTCACCTCTAGTCTACAACTTCATGGACCCTGAAAAACCGAAGTAGAGAATTACCTCAATTCCTGCTGCTTCAATCACATAAGGGTTTGCAGCTTCTGGGGCCCATGACACATCCTCTACTACATGTTCATGATCTCTCAAATCACATTTACATTCTTTTGTTGCTACCACCCACACACGGATTGTCTGCAATGAAATTTGCAATCTGACATAAATTTCCACACTGTTTTGCCTACTACCATGGGAGTAAATACATGTACATTGTAAAAATATGCAATCAATTGCTGGCATACAATTCTGTAGTTTCAACTTTTTCAATCCCTATTATGGACAGCAAAGCTTTAAAGATTCCACACTCCCTTCAGTTACAAAGCAACTCAAACAAACAAACCACATGTTAGTTCATTAATTTTGTTAAGTGGTCATGCTATCGATTTCATCCACAGACACAAAGTCAACATTACAGGCAACTCTTCCTAGAGGGCTGATTTACATGGTACAACTTTGTTACATGTGATGTGTTTTAAAAAAAACCTTCAACCCAAATCATAGCCAGTGAATCAAACTTTGACTGACTGCAAGTAAGTTGTAAGTGAGATGTACACGATACAACTCATGTCATAGGATTATTGTAACACGCTGAATGTGAGAAAGTTGTGCCTTGTAAATCGGTCTTAAGAGGACTGCAGTTGGAAAAACACTTATACATTTTAACTGCTTGCCCTAGTGAAGTGTATACTGTATACTGTTCATTGGTCAGTCAGTGGCCATGCTAAGGATTCATCCAAAAGACAACATTACAGGCAACTCTTCCTAGAGGTCAATTAACATGGTACAACTTTGTTACATGTGATGTGCTTACAACAGACCTTCAACCCAAATCATAGCTTGTAAATCAAACTTTGGATAACTGCAAGTAAGTTGTAAGTGAGATGTACACAATATGACTCTTGTCATAAGATTCTTGTAAGCACATTGCATGCAAGAAAGTTGTGCCACATAAATCGGTTTTAAGAAGCTGCGGTTGGAAACAGCACTTATACACTGTAACTGTTTTTCCAAGCAAAGTGTATACTGTATATTATATACTGGTCAGTCAAGGAAAATGACTGAAATGTAGCAGAGACCAAGTCTAGGTCTTAAGTACAGTGTATGTTACTAAAAGAGAACAAAATGTATATCTTATTCACATTTCCACAGGGTAAAGACTTAAGTATCCTCTGACATTATGTCACACAATAATTACATACAGTATGCACCTTAAAATTTCTGTTAAACTATACTTTAAAATATAAAGAGGACAGGAATATAGAAGTAGGTTTTTTACCTGGTCATTTGAGCAACTTGCTAACAAAGAACCTGATTGTGAAATGGAAGCAATATTAAAATCCATTAATTTTAAACTTGCAACAATTTAAGAATGCATGTTCATCACTTCAAGAATATGTTGTATATTAATATTTAAGTAATTTAATATTAATTGTAAGTAAGTTTAAGTAATAAACTTTAGGTAGCGTAATGTTAGTATAGTGTCCCCAATTAGAAAGCATCAAGGTGAGCAGGAAAAAAGACACTCTAAGGTTTGTTTTTAAGTGATTGCTTGGTGTTGATATCACCATCAGTCATTTCTAAGTATCTCTGACATAAAACCTAAACAATGTTGTGAACTATTAGGGACCTTAAGCAACAAGAATGTCAAAAATGGCAACCGGAAGTTGATATTTTCTCTCTTTCAGTGCTACCTCAACAAATTCATACAGCAGGGGTTAAAACAAAGGCATTCAGAGTTGTGTGAGACAAAAGTGTTCCATCAAGTGAGACATAGATCTTCCAGTCGCTATTCATGACGTCCAGGGATGTCAGCGTTCTTGTTGCTTAAGCTTACTATTACTTCTTCATAAAACAGTCAACTGGATGAAAAAAGGAGGGCAAGGAGAATTCTATAATCTCCAAACCTTGAAAATGATCAAGCGTGCAGAACTTACCATCATTGCTAACACGTACTCTTCTGACCCACTCTCTGTGACCTTGGAAAGTCTTCACACAAAAACTATAAAATCAGATTACACTATGAGTTCACCCATTAGTGAGGGGAACAAGGGCAATGAAGTGGCAAGTTACAAATTACTAATGAAGACTCACATTCCTTGTGGATAATGTAAACCTTAAAATATTCAAATAATTATTATTTGAATATTTCAAGGTTTACATTATCCACAAGGAAAGTGTGCCGGCAAGTGACAAATAAGTAACTATATCCATCACTTATTATCTTTGGAATTTCCATTTTCTCAATGACAATAACAAACAAAGTCAGCCCTTAGTGACACTTACCCGGAAGCAACTTCCCACATTTTTATAGTTTTATCTCTAGATGATGACACTAAATAATCTCCTGATGGCAGAAATGTCACTGACGAGACATTATGGTCATGTCCTGTTTTTTGTTAAAAAAGAAAGATCTTCATCAATACCATTTCAGAAGAGAACAAACTCAACAAAATTTCAGGAAGACAGTTTTTTAAAGGCTTGTTCAAACTTTAGTACACAAAATTAACAAATCACGCACAGCAAAAAAACACACCCACCAGTTAAAGTTTTGACGCACTCAAATTCGTGGAAATCCCATAATTTAATGGACATGTCAGCAGAACATGACGCTAAAATAACAATAAATATGATAAGTATCAGTCAATTACCATACTGTCCAAGCAACTACGAATATTAATTTACAATTAAATTTTTAAGTCACATGCAGGACAAGAGGGTATAACTAATATTAAAAAAGCTTGGCACTTTATCAAGGGATGCAGTTAGTTTTCCATTAACAAAGTGACATCCTATTTTGACAAAATCTTCATATCGAAAACATCGCCAACATCCTCTTAAATTTTAAAATAATTATTTTTGGTTTTGATCACAAGATCTTGAACATAGGATCTATTGGTCTGGGTTCAAGCCTTGCCATCGCATTGATATAGGATTTAATGGAGCCAAAGCCAATTGTGGAATTGTACGCATTTTAGGCATCCTACTGATGAACAGTTGCAACACGTTAATATATACATTTTTAGCGACTACTATAATTTGCAGTCTGTCCACTTTGAATTGATTCCTAAACAAAAAATTTGCTCCACATGTACCATGGCTTACAAGAGGTTTCAGCTGTAGCACATTAACTGGAAACACTGTTCAGTATCTTGGTTCTGTGGCTCATAGGAGGTGGTCCCTTGAGAGATGCTCACGCATGCAGTTTTGACTGTATCTAACAACATTAGCCTCTATCCAATATTGTTTGTGATAGCAATAGAAGTCAGAATCACTAGCTCATTGTAGAATCGTTTTTACCTAATATTTTTCCGGTATGATCAAATGATAGATCCTGTACAGCATCTGTATGACCCTTCAGGGTCCGTTCGAAGTCTCCAGTTTCATAGTCCCAAACTTTAACTGTAGCATCTTCTGATGCTGTTACCATGACACTTCACAGGGAAAAATAAAGGAAAAAATATAGATGTCAACGTCATCTCTCTTCACTAAATACAAACAAAACGGTTGTACAGACTGTAGATCGAATTCTCTAAAGCAACAGCTACTAAGTACATATCCCTATCTAAACAATACTTAACCCTCAGAACCAACAACAGAAAATTGATCTCAATTCTAAACCTGTGGACATCTGAATCTTTTGGGGATATCTCTTTCAATCAGGGTCATGGAAAGATAAAAATTTGTCAGCCCCACAAATGCATTTTTCACTTAACCCTTTAAGCCCCAATATCCACATACACATTCTCCAAACTGATCTCCATACATCTCCTTTAGGAATTAGTTGAGAGAATTTGATAAAAGATCTTGCAATTTTCTCTATGGTGATCACTTTATTAATTCTCATAACTTTATCTCTTGACAATGTATGGATATTGTTAGGAGAAAACTGATGTTGGTCAGTATTGGGACTTAAAGGGTTAAGAAATGACAAAGGGAACTAGAGTCAAAATGCATCCTGCAAGTATCTCTGGGATTGTAACTGGAGATGCACTGGCCAGCCATTGGCCAAGTTTTTCCCCTGTCTCTAGTAACAGTCTCAGAAGTCTTTGCAAAAGTTAACTTGGCTTAGTTTTCTTTTCTTCTCACAAAAGACCAAAAAACTAAACTAACTCAATCTACAGTATTACTACAGTATGTACGAAAGTCTTACCTATACACTGGGTGGAATAAAACTTTGGTAACTGGGCTTCGGTGGCCAGTCAAGGAATATCTGTCACAGAAAAAAAAAGTCACATTAAAGAATTGCCAGAAATTTTAAACCTTTTTTTAAATAAGAGCGAGACTACGAGTGAAAGAATGTAAACATGTGACAAAGAGTGTACAGATGAGAAAGAAATTATTGACAAAAAAACCCAAAAGGTCCTTGACAATTTTGCCACATTCATGTAGGAATTACAACACATTTACACTTGCTCTAACCTTTCTGGAGGTCTAGGCATCCAGTCTTCTGGAGAGCGGTTTTTGCTCACTACAGAACCCGTATTGGCCTCTTTCTCTGCCTCTGACAATCTGGCTTCTAAATCCATAACCTAAAGGGATATTTTCAAACAGTTTAATTTGACAAAATACAACTTAATCATAGTGCAGCTAGTTATTTCTCTATCTATATATCGATTGGCTAAAAGCAAGATTTAGGTTTATTTTTACTGGTGTGCAAAGAAAGTAGTGTCTGATAGCCCAGGGCTACTGGATTTTGCTATTGGGGTTCATGAATTCTGTTGTTACTTCCACAATGGGCAAGTGAGGTGTTTTGGGGAACTAAAATTACAGAAGAAGTGTAATCAATCCTGCTCACCAATTTTTTTTCTTTTTACTGACAAAAGATGGCACCAAATGTTTTTACTGCAACATGCCTTCGGGTGGGTGCAAGTCAGCTGAAAACAGCCACTTTGTCTCTATAAATAGTTAGTCATGAAATGCTTCTGGAACAGCCCTCTTTGAAAAGCAACAAACTGAGTCCTCCACTAGGAATTTCATACTCAGCGATTTTGTTACCTCTGTGTCCTGCATCCCTGATGCATAAAAATCTCCAAACATGCAAACAAATTCATGAAATGTGCCCCATAGGATGCAAGATTGATTGATCAATCTGAAGATGGTTTTATAGAATATCCTGTCCCTGTGATTTCTGCAGTTGTTATTGTGGCTGTTATGTAAGTATGCATACTTGTTTTAGTCTTTTTTGAGCTTTAAATAGAAGGAATATATTTTCAATGCAGTAAACCGCAATAAAGAGTTTTGGAGTCTGTCCTCAGATTAACCGTCTGGTTACATAGAGGCCCAAGCATTTTAATTTTAGGACTTGTTTTTTTAACTGGGACTCGATGGTTCTCATGATTTTTCATAAGATGAGTCCCAGGACTCACCATAACATTACTATTTGTAGCAAAATCACTGCATATTGGGATTCAATTTTATCCTTGGTCAATCTTTTCCCCTTTACTTGAGAAGGGCAGGGTAATGTATAATAATGAGGTTAAAACCTAGGAAAATAAATTCTAAAACCAAGGATGAAAATGAGCCACAACATACATATATGACTTGTCAGTAACTGTGCTGTCCTCATAAAATGTCCTAGGATTTACTGGAACTTAAACCAATATGTGGAAATGCACACCTTCTGCGTAGATCCTTCTGATCAACAGTTAGCACATATAGGTAACAACAAAATTTGGTCTCTGTTCCCATAAAATGTCTGCAGGCTGGTAAAGTCAAGTACTTATAAAGTAATACAATCAAACCTCTATAAAGCGACCACCTTGGGCCCAGGGAAGGGACAAGACGTCGCATTATAGATGTTCTGTTTAGCCAGTGATTTACTGGATTTTTTGTGCTAGGACTTGAGTAATGGTACCCTGAGGTACAACGTAAACCAACCTTTTTCTGAAGACGAATAACAGAAGTCCATTTCTTTTCTAACAAACCACTATACTTTTTGTCCAGTTCTCCAGGCTGAAAATAAAAAGCAACCATGAGATAAGAGTTACTTTCCTTCCTCCAAAGAAAAATTCCTAGGACTAAAAGGTACTTTTGCCAGGTAAGAAAGGAGGTCACATGAAATATTTATCTTTTTATGACATACTTTATATTCAATATTGTCGTTGAAAGTCTATGATGTGACCATTCATTTCACATGAAACTTGTTTAGCATCAGTTTGTACAGATGGTTTGGCATTTTACTTGAATTTTTGTTTGCTTTTAGTACTCTAAGTCACAGCACTACTATTGCTTGTTTTGCAACAGGAATGTTGGACCCATTTGATGACTACCAGCCAGGGGGAACAGTAATAATCAATTAATCAACATCTCCTACAATAACAAAAAAACATGCACCCCAAAACCTTCAGTCAAGTTGTCAAGATGAAAGATTTTCTTTTTTAAATTAACTTGAGCAAAGATATGTTCTGACACAACACAATAATAAAAAGAGTGGAATAATGTTAGGCTGTATCCCTGTCTAAGCGACTATACACTAAAAAGAGGTACTGCGACACTACAAACTTCTACCCCTTTGCCTCAGGGAGAAAAGATTACACAAAATCCCCTGGAGGATTAAGTCAACTAAACATGGGAGATAAAAGGTTAAGAACTTTGATTACAAGGATATTTGACAGCATACAGCAGCAAAACAAAGTGTAAGCGAAATAAACAAGAAAGTGATAAATTTAATTCTCACCATATTTGCATCTTTCTTGAAAGCATTCAGGGCATCTTCGAAGCCACATTGGAAAAGATAGTCAGCAATGGCTTTGTGTCTGAAGAATAAAATAGCAGTTAGAAGGTGACAAAAGTCAGAGAAAGGAATATGAACGTGGAGAGGTTGAAAATACATTGTTCACGGGAAGTGAAACCTGCAAGAGTCCACCTTTGTCTGTGATCAACTACAATGCGCTAATCCGCAATGATCCGTCAGGGCTTTGAAAAAATATCGACATAATTGCGGTAAACGATGTTTCATAGCACGACATAATTATTGTAGGAGGTAGGACACTAATCTATGGGCACAGAAAGGGAAAGGTTAACTTGCCAGCGCAACCTCGATCTGGAAACAAGCACAACTTAATCAATTTACAAGATGAATAAATCAAGTTTTCCAAACCCACAAACTTACAGTTCTTCCTTCTGTCTGGGAGTCAAAACCATGGCTCAAAATTTTCCTAGTCTTTCCTAACAACTTTTTTGTTCAAATCAAGAGCATCTATGATCTTGAATTCCACTGAAAACATTCCTTTATGAGCGATCTGTGTACAATAATCATCGCGCTCACTCCATACTACAAGCGACACCCTCGCTTTGCTGCTTTGCTAGATTTCCTGTGAGTCATAAAACAACGAATGGATGCAAGGTTAGTAGCTTGAATCTAAAGAAACTAAGCACACGACGTTATACTGCTCAAAATTTATACCGGCAAGGGCATCGTAATATCTTTCAGCAAAAGAAGGTCACTGTACAAAGTTCTCTAACCAGATCAGTTCTCAAAAACTTTGGGTCTTGTAGATTGACATATGGTTTTCGCCATACGCGCATTGTTTATAGTACAGCTAAATATAATAGGAATTCAGAAGAATGGAGCTTTACAGGAAAAAATAAGTGAATGTCAGATTGCCACAGAGTCATAATATTACGCATATTTTAAGAGAGACATGGATAACCCACCCATGGTCTGAACTAACTATGCGCTGACTCTCCCAATTGGAATTACGTCAGTTCCCGCAATTATTCGAGATCTTCGAAGAAAATAACTCACCTCACGTTCAGTTTGCCTTCTGTGCTCCTTCTCACCGTTCTCAGCGGCTCTTTGACCACAATAATCGCCAAAGAATCGCCTCTTTCTCTTTCACAGTCTACCAATTTTTGAAACTCAAACACCGCTTGATTTCAAGCACTTCGCAAAAACGGCCAGCCCATGATGCAAAGCGACTATAATGCGCATGAGCAGCCAGCCAGTAACGCATTGTACCCTGGGTATTATCCATCATGGCCGATGCTGGCGCACAAAAAGCTTACAGAATTAATGTGGTATCGTCTTGCGATCATCAGGCCTTAAAAGAATGCTTAGACAGAAACAACGGTGACAGATCTAAATGCATAAAAGAATGGGAAGACTTTCAACGCTCCTGTGCTGAAAATAAGAGGTGCTTTATAGTGAATGTTATTTCATGTTCCTAGCCTTGTTGTATATGAAATGGGGTCATCCTCGGTGTAAAAACCTGTGAAGTTTTTCTTTGTTTTCTAACTCTTATTTACCTTGTCTCTATTGTGTTGACTTCTCAGCGGCTTCTTTGTATTAATTGTTTTACGTCACTCATGAGTTTCATATAGCTATAGGTTTTTACACTGAGTATGAGCCATGAAATGTCACATGCCAATGACAGGGCAGCAATTCAGTCGCAGTGTGCAACAAATGCAGACTGCAGACAAATGGCAGCAAAACATTGTTAGCAGACAAATGGCAGCAAAACATTGTTAGCAATGTTGTGAAGTGCTCTTAAAACTATCTCTATCTCTATTATTATTATTATTATTATTATTATTATTATTATTATTATTATTATTATTATTATTATTATTATTATTATTATTATTATTATGTGCTTGTCTCACACCTAGAAGTGGCCTTATTCCCCAAAGCATCAAGCTATTTCCTATAGCCTTAATTAGGTGTCTAGGGTCCTTCTTAGGAGCTTAGCTGTTCCCAACAAACAAGCTTTTGGGAGCAATGCAATAATCCCAGGTGTTCCCAACTGGCCTCTCTTTTCTGCTACCCATGTATCAAAAGGACAAGCTACATTGACAGGGTTCGTACGGGTCCTGGAAAACCTGGAAAGTCATGGAAATTTAAAATTTCAAAATCCAGGCCTGGAAAACCTGGAAAATATGTGTTGGTCCTTGAAAGTCCTGGAAAATTAGACTTTTCCTAGGACAGTGAATAAGTTTCTTTTCATTTTCTTCGCTCACATTTTCAAGTTTTTTGTGGGCGACAAATGGACGTGTACAATCTTGCAAAATCGTACCTGTCGTTAATCCCAAAACCTGACAGTTCAGAGTCTGGGCTCTAGCTACCCCTGCAGTTTTACGGGCTTCCCATGTTCAAAAATTTTGTTGTTTGTATCTGGATGAGAATTGCGCTGTTGTTTCGTTCTGTTTTAAATCTAGCCTGCAAAGCAGGCGTATTTTGGAGCGCGATCCATGAATTGTTTTCAGGAATGACGTTGTCCCGCCATCTTGGACGTTAATACTACCAGAGAGTTGGGACGTGGCGGCCACGATCAATGTACCTCCGAGTTTTCGTTAAAAAACGCCTGCTCTGCAGGCTATTTTAAATCAAGTCAAAACGTACTCAAAAGTATTCTTTCCGGCCCTTGTGATTAAGCTGAATGAACAATGCCTGGGAAGTGTACTTTCAAAGAAAACTGGACTTCTCACAAGATATACAAAGACTGGATATTACGAGACTCAAGCTCTCAACACAAAGCACGTTGTCGCTTGTGCCAAAAATCATTGGACTACTCAAACATGGGGGAATCCACCCTCAGAAGCAGAGCTGTCAACTCTCCCAGATAATCCGGGAGACACCAGATTTTGGACCGTATCTCCCAGTCTCCAGGTTAGAGTATGAAATCCTCCCCGATAATCGCCGAATTTTGCAATTTCTTGTAGAGTCGACTTTCCGACAATAAAATTTCAAATATTTTGCATTGTTTGAGTTATTTTTATACTGTTAACATCAAGCGTTGTAATCTCCGGTATGCCATTATACTAGAAGTAACAATGTGATTGGTGGGAAGTAAACCGATCAAGTCAAATGTTGTGCAACAACATCTTTTTCGCGCGTTTTGTGTCATCACTAATTCGGGGCGATCGGAGTCAACAGTATCTTTTGCAAAAATGACGTCATGTGCCATTTGTTATGACGTCATCTATCATCCCTCTGCTATCAATTCTCAATATTTGAAGACGTGGGAGGGTTGACAGCCCTGCAGAAGTAACAGGAGAGGGAGTAAGCACAAAGAATTAGCAGCATTAATAGCTGAGCGGTCAGTGCCAATTATCCAGTTTATGTCTTCAAAGGCAGTATCTTCATCTAGCTCTGACAAACCTGGTCCTTTGATGTCTTGTGGCTTACATTCCAGCCCTTCAGTACGTGATGCAAGTGCTGAAACACCAAGCTCATCTGCTTCTCTTAAAGAAACGGTCGAAAAACAGTCAAAAACCGGTCAGTAATTAAGTAGCACAGTCAAAAAGTCATGGGAGTTCCTGAAAACGAAAACCTGAAGAAGCTTCTAAAATCGACAGCGAAATAGACCAGAAGCAACAGACTCTTGCAGAAACATAGCAAAAATGCTACATAGTTTGTTGGTTTGTTTGGATTGTTTGAGTTTTCCTGGCTATTACTGGTCCTGGATTTTTGTAAATATGGTCCTTGAAAGTCCTGGAAAAGTCCTGGAATTTTGATGGACCAGTGGTGTACGAACCCTGCATCGACAATAAAGCAAACCCTACCCTCCTTTTCCAGCACTACAATATCAGGTTATGATGATGATGATGATGTTGATTATTATTATTATTATTTTATTATAACTACCGGTATCCCTAGACTCCATAGACTTTTTAAGTCTTTGCATACTTTTCTGGACATAGTTAACCATGTTTATCTACAAGTCTGTGGTCTTCCTTTTTTGCACATTACAACAGTTGCAACAGTTCGCTGGGAAAAGTTTTTGGGAAAGCTTCTAGAACCTTTGGATTAGATAAAAGGAAAAGTTGGTGGGTAGTGAAACAAGATTTTCATGGGAATTTTCAGACCAACCTTACATAGTTTTTTGCTTTTTTTGCGGCCTCCTTGACTGAATCATGCTAATTCTAGTATGGTTTCTAAGATCTCTTCACCCTGCACAAGTTTTCCTTGCCATTAAAACTGATGATGTCTCAAGTAGTAGAAGGAATGCAGATCTGCATGGGAAGTTATGGCAAGTTCAGGGGTAATTGGGTTAATTATAAACAGCTTCCACTATCATTCTTTTATGGAGCATTGTGTGTGTTCAATCAGTGTCAGCTTGCAGAGTTTCAAAGGGATGACTGACCTTCTTGCAAAAGTGAGAATTAAGAGTTGAAGTGGATGCATATCTACATACCACATAAAGATTTTATGGCACCAATAATATTTGTTTGTCAAATTCTCAGTGATTCAGATCCATGAAAAAGTGTTTAGGACAATCAAGGGCTGAATTTTCTTTGGACATTTTTAGTTTTTGTTGGACATCATTTTGTTTTCTTATGACAGAATAGATGAAAATTAGATCCTTTCGAGATACTTTTAGTTTAAAAAATACTTAAAATATACTTTCCCATGTAAAAGGTTTAGGAGACCTATTTCTTTTGTTAATAGCATTGCCAATGCATGACCACTATAAACTTAAATAATTATACTCTTTCAAGCTTGAAGTTTGTGTTTCCAGAATGAGATGTGAAGATATTTTGTTTTCCTCTTTCCTTACCTATTAAACATGGAGTGGATTTTAAAATTACAAACACAGCACAAAAAAGATATGTTCAAATGTGCGACTTTCATAACAAAGAAAAATCGTCACAGGATATTCTCATGTTAGCCAAACATACTCACATAAACTGCACTTCATGCTGTTGTTTTCTTGATCATAATCCAGCCACGGGTAGCTTCCAAGCCATCGTGGCTGAAATTTCTTTTGTTGGATCATTGACCTCATTCAAATCTTCATGATCAACTTGCATTGTTGTGCTTTCTTTATCAGATTCGTCTTTGCACTGCTTTCATTATTTGAAAAAATATGACAAAGGTTTTTGGCTCTTTTCAACCATAATTAAGGTCTTTCGTTCACATGGTTAGCTCAAAATAGAATCAAAGATGGCACAAGCATAAGTGCTCCTATTGGCTTTCATCTGACCAATTGCATGCACTGTGAAATCTTTGTGAGATATGTCCAAGATGGCAGCAGTTGCGTTGTTCGGTGCTCAAATTGTGGCTCTAACTAGGGATATTTTATGATATAATTGTACCCGTCTCTAACATTAATAACTACCACATGACACATTTAGAGTATTTCATATTTTATTTTCATTTCGAACATTTGTCATAATTTAGATAAATTTGTTCAGACAAATAAAAATTGTCTCAGACTTTGTCCAAAGACCTACTGACGTGGATCTGAATCACTGATTTCTTTTACACGCCAAAAAATTCTATCTGTAGTCTCCTATTAGGAGTAGTTGTGCAAGTCTTTCCTGTCCAATAATCCGTTTTCTGAACTTGACCAGCTAAGTTTCTGGTCATGTACATGTAACTGCTATAAACCTCTAAATATTTTTTTTCTGTTAATTTGTAGGAAATTACAAGAAAAACAAGAAACCGGAACTTGTGGTTGCGATTAAAGGTAATTAATTTCTGATATTGAATTTTATTAAATTCTCAACCTGGTATAATGTATTTCTAGCTTTCTCATTGGTTTACTGGATCTCAGTTGTCGTGCATTATACCTATTTTTGTTCTTTTACGGGAAATGAGTGCGATAGCAACAGCAACAAACTCAGCCCTGTTGACAGCCTGAATCCTGCACAACATTTACGGAGGACCTTTTGTTGTTAAATAGAAATGGAGAAAGTGAAGGCTGAGAATTTAATAAAACAATTTCCCATTCTCTATTGTTGGATACAGGATTTGTCACAGCAAGTTCAGTGCTTTGCTTTTCAATGGCTGTTTTACCAACATTATTTCATTGTTGAATATACTTAAATACCCATTGCGTGTACACCACAATGGGTAGAAAGATTTGCACCATTTTAAACCTAAATGTATCAAAAAAAAAACATTGTACACACATGATATTTTTTTATCCTTGTGAGCTCTACACCACCAAATTTGCCAGTAGCCAGTAGCTTTGCCGCTCCCACTATTTGTTTGCCACGTGCATTGTTGCCATTGCAGCCATCTTACAGGCTTCTTTCGTTTTCTTGAAAAGCGAGGGCCTCCTTAAGGCATGAGCGGTAAGGCACAAGGTTTGTAAACCACAAAACTTGCATTGTGCATGGATTGTGGTTGGACCACTAATTAGAGCAATCACAACTCAATTTGGGTTCATAGTATTATAATAATTACATTGGGTTGGGTGGACTCAGTTGCCTAGCAACAAACCCTTGTCGAAAGAAATGGGATGGTTCTTTTTGTGGCTGTTTTAGTAGTGAAGAAATACTATTGGCAAAGGATTTTGCCAAAAGAAGTTTTTTAGGGAGAAAATGGAAGTGGCTTGATAAACAT